CATTCGTCAAGTGGTAGTGTTGCGTATTCTTGCCGTTTTTTCGAGGCATAACTTGTGAAATCTTCTGCGAGTGTCTCCCAGCCCTGTTCTGCCAAGCCAGCTGAGTCACCGCTACGCTTCTGTCTGTGTCGTCTGTGAATTCTTTTTTTCAGTCGAATAAGTTAACGTTTGGCATCGAACGTAGCCTTCTCAGGCTCCAAGATAGTAGAGCAGTCGGACGTAAATTTACAGCATATAAATTTGGTCACATTTGCTGGTCAAGTAGAATTTGCAAGGGGGATTTAAGCCAATATAAATGGATAAATATTTTGAATGAATAACAATGGTTACAAAAGGAAAGAAACGCCATGTGAAGACATAAAATGCTGTATGTGTATGTCATAGAATCTTTCCGGGAAGAATTGGTATTAAGTTAAATTTGCTTCTTTCTCTCCTACACATTACTCTGTTGTGCTCTACACTTCATATTTGCCACACAGTTGCTGTTAAATGACTCTTGACTGTTGACTTGACTGTTGGGCAAAGTGTGTTAATCTGAAGAGCCTACTGTAAGAAAGACAAGAGAATTAATAGCAAAACTTGTAGAAATTAAAAAGCTTCAGAATAATGACTCACACAATGTACACCTTTACTTTCACTTATAATCCTTTCAGTCTTGAGCGTGTTGATTTTTCTGGATCATTCTTTTCCCTAGGTTACAAAGCCACAGTATAGCGAATGATGTTGTTACGGTCCCAGATGGAACACGACTCCCCATTTTAATGAACGGTCTTTTCAGTTTCTAGGCACTTCGTTATATCGGCGTCCACTGTAAGTGGAACTGTATTTTTTTTGCATAAGCATAGTTTGAAAATACCTTTATAGTTGAGTTCAAGACGGTTACTAGAATATCTCATCAAGGTCTCTTCTCAGTTTCAGTGGGTTTTGCAATGATAATCATTGTTCTGTTTTACAGTGACTGTCCATTACAGTAGAATCACGATTTTACGGATCCCCTGCCTTGCGGGGGAAGTTGGTTCCATGTATCGGCAGCCGGTTCACAAAATATTGGGGAATAGTAGGGGATGGGAGGAGATTCGGGAAATTTAAGGAAACGAGGATTCTGTTGTAGAGATCAGAAGGTGGTTATGTTGTTTTGTATGTTTTTTCCCATCACATTGAAGAGGCTTTTTCCCGTTTTTGAATAACAAATTGAAGACAAACACCCGTAGAAACGACATGAATGAAAAACCACTTTATAACTGAGAATCAGAGATTGTGATATATTTTATTGTGTGTGTTCTAAACCATCCATTAAACATCCTTCCTCAGCTTTAGTTCTTTCCCGCAGTTATCAGATCTGTTGCAGTTTGGTCCTGTAACCCCGTTTCTTGCATTTGTTAACCAAGTAAACTGGTAAAGGAAAGAATTCATTTATCCAGATGGTGGACCACTCTGCAATGGCCGCCCTGGCCTGGGACAGAGAAAAATTTCCTTGGTAGGGAAGTGGCCTTTGTAGAGAGGTTAAAACATAAACAGAAAGAAGCAGAGATTAGCCGTGTTTATGGCAGACGCATTAATTGTCAGACGAATTAAACGTCTGAAGTCAAGTGCGTCCGATCGACGCACTTAACAGATGAATTAGTCGTCTCAGACGTTTAAGGCGTCTAGTAGAAAAACGGGACGCACTTAACAGTCGGACGTTTAATGCGTCTGGACGTTTAAGACGTCTTCTAGTATAAATGCGGCCATTAGTATGTATACACGTCAGCAGTTGTGCAACTACTGTACAGGGAATGGCACGCCCTTTGCTCGCACAAACCTGATGCAAGATCGGTGGGCAAATTGTTTGAAAATAGACTTTTGTATAGAGCAGGTTTTCAAATTGACATCAATAAGATATCACTGAAGCTGGGGAAGTTTGTGTATAGAAAGAAAATAAGTAACGCTTCAAGAAGAGTGGAGAGAGGAGATAAAGAAAACTAAGACCGGCAATATGTAGTGGAACCGCCGGGCTCATACGGACTCAGAATAGACGGCGTGACGGACTTATGTTTCACCAACTGAAGGAATAAAGCATGTTAAAACTTCAAAAAACTTTCGCTTTTTCAAAATTGTTTCGCACCGAAACTAATGTTGCTGTTGTGGTTCAATTTTATCCTTGGTTTAAATTTTATTTCCCTTTGTGTTGGGGTTTGGTAATTTATGATAATGAGTTTAAAACAAAGGAAAATAAATTTAAATCAAGGATAAAATTGAACCACAAAGGCCTGTTCACAGGCTAATTTCCGTGCAGATCACCTGTGTTCGTAACTGAGCAAGATTAACATTGTGTGATCTCAGCATGTCACTCGGATCACGTAAAAGTAGGTCAGTTCTAGTGTCCGCATTGAGGGGGTCAGCGTATTCAAAAAAGAGGTATGAACTTTTTCGTCGGGAAAAAGAAAATTCACCGTTATATTAAAAAAGCGATTGTCCGTAGAGCTAGGTTGCATTGCAGTTCCTTCGAGGTTTAAGGTGTATGTATGTGTAAAATGTTTGGAAAATTTTATGGCTGTTTTCACTTGATCATTTACGCCGATTTGAAATATTTTCATAACAGCTGAGGCAATCTTTCTCTTTTACTCATAGATGTAAACACGAATATATTTCTAAATAGGTTCAAATGTTCAGCTGGGAACAGTTCCTATACAGAGCAAATTAAAAGATTATTTATTTTGAAAACAAATGCAGATTCACACTTGTTATGAAATAAATCTATTAGGTATTTATTAGAAGGACACTATTTAATATGTTATTTACTTATTAAAACTTACTGAATGAAGTTATACTATATTATGGATCACTAATAAATTTATTTGGAAGCATATGAACAGTGTTTAATTGAGTCTTTAATCGTGTTTAAGAGCCTGTTGCTTTCCTGATTTCAACTTACAAATTTCCTGCCGTGCTTATAGAGAGCCATAGCAAACACGCCGACGTCGAAAGTAAAAGCGATTGCCTAGTCCCTAGGCCTCATTTTTTCCTCGCGGCCAAAGCGTTTCGGGTCACGTGGTCCATGCGAAAATGGAGGCGTTCCCCGCCCGTTCGCCTCGGATACGTCACCGAAACGAATTGAGCGAGAGGGACTGGGAAAACGCCGTACAGGGACTAGGCAATAAAAGCGACACAAAACTGTAGATTTTCTGATTCATTTGAACAAACGTGCCCGCAGAAATCTTCTAGCATTTCTTTTCTGTTGATATATTAGCCGCAGTTAGATACTGGCCCAACGTCTGTAACTTGGCCTAAAATATTAGTTACAAATAATCTCCAAAAGTTTCAATTTTAAATTTTGTGTGAGTCACATGTGTTTGGTCATTTAGCTAATTGATCTGCAGGGAACTTGTCAGTAAGCGTTTTGGATGTCGCGTGGACATAAATTAAGTGGAATTTAACCAAATTAACTTGTGTCGATTTCGTTAGCGTGTCCGAGGTAGAAATATACGTTCCCTGTCACTGTTGCCTTGCATTGCTACCATTTTCTATCCCAAAACTCTTCTCCATTGCGCATGACTTAGCCCTTCCCGAGGAGAAAAAAAGGACTCTGAAATCAAGGATGACATTGACAAATGAGATACATGCGTAGTAAGGATGCGCATGGACAATGAAAAACGATGCGCACGAGCGTTCAATAAGGACACTTGTTCTCTGGGTATACAAATCGACTAAGGCTGGCTTAAAAAAACTTCTTTTGAACTACTTACGAACACCATTCCTGTTCCTAACTAGCTCAAACCGGACAGGTTTGTTTGTTTCGTAAAGGTATCAACTAACACGATGCTTTTGCTTTTCGCCAATTTAATAGAAAAGAGAAGGAGACTGAGCCGAGTTAACTTTCGCAAAGACTTCTGGGACTGTATAATACTCGGAACAGGAAAAAAAATTGACCAATAGATGACCGTCCCGTCCCCAGTAATGACCCCAGACACAATTTCGGGACCGCAGATCAAGAATCTCCATGAAATACAACAAACGACAAACACACGATTTAAAAAAATAACCTTTACTTAAGCGAAGTGAACTTTAGAGACAACATTTTGAACTAATAACAATGATGGCATGCTCAGCCTTGTGGCGTCTTTACGGTGCTTTCTCAAGATTAAACAAGATAAAATTCACTTGGTAACAACCAATCAGGTAGTGCTCAGTTTCTAATACCAAATCCCGTTCGCCTTTTGTTGCAAAGTAGCGGTAACGTGAGGGCATGAATTGACTACGATTCAAAAGAAACCAAGAACAGTCACGTGTGCAACTATAAACACTACTTGCTTTTTTCATGGTAATTGTTTTAACACTCGCCGCAGGCGGCAGCTTAAAGGGAGAGAGGGAGGAGTATGCAGAGGAATCGTGTCATGTGTTCCCCGGTTCCTTCCCCCCGTCACCGCGTACTCGTTTACGCCTACCGAATTTCTACATGGATCTCAGAACATTAGCGAGACTAATATTCACAATGGTAAATATAACATTGACGAAGTACTTAACAGAGATTCCTAACTAAGGAAACCACGTCCCAAAAACGCAACAACCAGGCATTTATGAATGGAACAGGTGCACTCATTCTCCGCCAAAAAAAAACAAAAGCGAAAGTTGGGGTAATAATTAATTCAAGAAAACTACTGCAAGACTTATCAAAAAACTAATATTAATTTTGCGTTTGACGATATTTTGTTTCAGGTAGGTACTGAGCATTATGTTAAAAGCATCCCTGTCGCAATTTTCACCCGTCATATTCTATTTTCGTTTTTTTATCTTTTTGCGTCGTAAAAAATGCGTTTTTCAGAAGAATCGCAAAACAGTTTCGCAAAAACAGAACACCCCTTATTCTCGCTGGAGTGCCAACTTATGCCAAATTAGATTCGCATTCTTCAGTAACGATCCTATTAAACTATCAATCTGTTATCAGTTTGTATGTGAATTAGCATTATTATTATCACTGATATTATTATTATTATTATTATTATTATTATTATATAAATTCACTGCACTATTCTATTTGATATATTATGTCGAATAATAAAAGTCACCGGCAACTCTGATACCACAGTACACCTACCCTCATCTATTACTTCCCGATCGCTAGTTATGCTAATCCCACTCACCCTCCCCCGGCCCTTTAATCCGGCAGGGCTTCCGTCACTCTTGCTTTAATTTCGCTCCAAATTATGCTATTACTTACAAAAAAAATATATTAACGAGCAACACATTATTAGACAATTAGCAGTATCACCGATTATTATCACGAGAAGATATTCTTTCGTACGTGTTCCTGGAAGGTCTTTCGTTTTCTCTCTCCCGGGGAGATGATGAGCTGCTTCCCCTACTGGATATTGAATATCTTGGACGTAATCTAGTTCCATTTGGTTCAACTTCATCTTCCTCTTCACGGATAAACGGCTTGTGACACGAGAAAAGCATACCTGGATGGTCATCCGGAACCTTGGCGCAAAGTTCAAGTATCAAAAGTAAGAAAGTGAGTCCGGTTACGAAGAAAAACACGCAGCAAACTTTATAAAGAGGACGATAGTCACTCTTTCGCCAGCTTGGGGAGTCACCAGGAACAAAATCTCCAAGACCTATGGTGGTCAGTGAAATAAAGCAAAAGTAAAGCGCTTCAAAGTAGCTCCAGTCCTCGAGTAACATAAAGAAAATAGCAGGAATTATAATAACAAGTACAATGGCACCGCACATGATGAGTGACAGATGGAGACAGCGGAGATACGCCGGCGGAACCCCGCGCACTGTACACTTGCTACATAGATACTTCTCAATGTAATCTGCTAATTGCAGTAGACGCTCCACTATGGCTGTCAGCATTATAGCTGTCATGGGAATACCAAAAACTGCAAACACCATGCAGAACACCTTGCCACCTTCAGATAATGGATAAACATTTCCATACCCTGAAAAGAAAAAAAAATCTTTGTATAATCATCAACAATTCACTGTCTAGTACTCAGGTTTCTCTCTCAAAATCTACGTTTAGTTTTTTCCATTCTTTTAGCCTCCTCATCTTGTGTGATTCTTCGAAGCACCTGTCAAGTAAACCTAAAAATGCAATATGTGACGGTGTCCATCGCAATAAGTTTTTTTACAATAACTGAGCGAATCCTCTCGCGCTGATTGGTCGAGAGCTATGGTCAATTAGAGTATAGACCATGGAAATGACGTAACATGTCACGCAGTGCCGGTTGTTTTGTTTTTGGTTTTTCGTATAAAAAACTAAATGTTATTGTAAAAAACAAATCGATCACAATTTTCCATGGTCTACACTCTTATACACCATAGAAATGACGCCATAAAATGTTCAAAACTTTGCAGTGAAACCACTCGCCCGCGGCTCGTGGTTTTACTTGAGTTTTAAACATTTTATGACGTCATTTCTATGGTCTATAAGAATGTAGACCGTTGAACATTGTGGTCGATTTGTTAAATAGCCATCGAGAGCAGAGGTATTTCCCGGGTTTGGTTTCATTTGTCGCTATTAAGCCGGAAAAAGTGTGTGAATGTTCTTGGAGGCTAAATCGTATTGAAGTTATTAGCCAATCAAAAACTGAATCGTAACTGATGTAATTTGCGCAAAGCTAGCCAATGTATTTTGAATCAATAAGCTGATGGTATTATACACTGCCCACATTATTTTTTTAAGGTTTCACATAATCCCCCTAAAGCTGCCCTCGATTTTACACCTCGGGTTCCCCTAGCAAGTTCACAGCTGAGCAGTCCATGGCCAGGCCGGTGCTACTTGGCAATCATGTACATGATCTGATGAAGACAGATGCGACAGTTTAGTCAGTTTTTGTGATGTGCCATATGATCAATGTGACTCATCAAAGTTTGGTGGCTCAGAGCTAAAAGCCTCAAAGCAAAACGCTTGATCTTGATCACTGAATAACTAAATGCTCGCTGATGATATGCTTAAATCGAATTCAGGACTTTTCGCGAAAAAAGACGAAACCTCATTCGTAAATCTAAAACCAGCCACAATATATACTTTTTGAGTTTGAAGGACATTACTTGGACAGAACAGGGAATTTTTGAACTGGATGATTTTCTGGGAGCAGATGTGATGACAGGTGTCGAAGCTCGTTAACTTGGTAAGATAATTTATCTCTTTGTTAAAAATAAATATAAAGTGACCATTTCTCTTATTTATTAATGAGCACTGGAAATAATACTCATCACTGAAGACGATCGCGGCCTGAGTTATCACCTCTGTTCCTCGTCTTTCTAGTTTAGATGAACCACAAATGAATCAGTCATTTCCATCTAATTCGAGACCTCTATCATCGAGTACAAAAATTAGAAGTTAAGTAGTTTGCCGAACCGGCAGTAGCTAACTAAAAAGTTGTATAATTGAAATTTTAAGCACATTCTTTAAGCTTCTACCATTAACTAGTTGATACGGGTTTTCAATACCTGCCGGTCACCTGTTAAATAATATTTGTCCTTCCTTACCTATGGTAGTTGCAACAGTTCCGGCGAAGAAAAATGAACTGCCGAATCCCCAGCTCTTCTTGTCACTCTCATTTCTAAGAGGCTGAATTCCCATGTCTTGGGCCGCCACCACATGCTTGACAAAATTCTCCAGCTCTTTCTCTGTAACACAGGGATGTTTTAACAGAAACTCGTCGCGCTTCGTACGCAGATCAGACAAGATTCTCTGTTCGTACGGTCCTTCGATCGACGAGAAGATGGCGGCACCCACAGAAAGGTAGAAAATATAAACAACTACCAGTGCAATTAGGCGAATTGTCGCACGTTCCATGAAGGAAATACAACAGGAAAATAGATTTCAGTTCTACAACTAAGTCTTCTTTTCTGCTTTGATATCAGTTTCTCCGGCTCAATGTGGCCCCTCCAGAGCAGTGTTCATCTGATCACGCCTAAATTTAGACGGTTACTGGCCGTTTAAGGGAAAGTTGTCACTCCTTCGATCGCTTTGGAGATTCTTGTGTCGCGGAACGATGTCGAATGTGTTAATAAGATAAAAATCAACATAACAATGTAGTTCGAAAACCAGTATTTAAATAAAGGAAATCAGTCCGACGTCAATCAACTATATAGTGGTCTGGTGTGTTTGTCTCCAGTACTTTTGTTTAGGAAATGTCGTTCAGTAAAGAAAAATACTAGAAACTATGAAATCCAACGATTATCCACTGTAAAAAGTTCCCGTTTCTGAGGAGCGTTTGAGATATCCACCGTATTTTTCTCATTTGCGAGCGTCTATGCAAATATCTGTTGGCACGACACATTTGAATATCAACTTTTATTAATAACTTGTTCACGAAAAACGGTTCAATAATTGCTCTCACAGTGCACGAAATTCTCGAGAATTCAACTGATAAGCCCAACATCAGGAAGTAGATTTGACCCTGTTAGTTAGTCCTTATTTCTAAAAAATGGTGACGTTACTTTTAATAGTGCAGCTTTTAAGTGCAGGAGTAACGCCAATTCCAAATTGAAAGTCCTAACAATTTGTTGAGTAGTAAATTGTCTCTTATGGCAGATCACTGCGTGTCCTCGGGAGAATGTACAATGGATTTTGATCAGTCGTATGCAGTCAGTTCCACTTGGCTTTGGCGGTGTGATCTTATGAAGCACTTTTAAACTGTAAAGAATGCGGCAGAGTATGTCTATGTACCAGAAACTCGTAAGCAGTTTTTCTAGATTCAAAATATAATACGCGTTTTAACCTACGCATTTTGAAACTGAAAAAAAAAGTTTCATTTCCATCAGCTTTAAATGCCGCAAGTAATTTATTACGCACTTAAGGAAAATCGCAAGAGGTTTGAGGTTGTTTGACGTCATTTATCAAGAAAAGGATACTTTAAAATGTTAAAAAAATAGTATGCAAAGTGACGTTACTTCAAAAAAGGAAAAACATATAGTGAAGACAACAAAAGACGGAAAACAAAGACAAGATTGTAGAGCCGTATGTAGGCCAAAATTTGGTTAAGTGCACTTTGAATGCATGGCATAATGGACTTGCAATTAACACTAAACTCTTTCAAGAAAAAGAGATAGGAAAGTTTAAAAAGTTGTGTCTAAAAACTTGTACTATTTTTACAACACGAACTAAAATAACCTAAGGCTTTCAAAAGCCAGCAATACTGTTTATCATATTGAAAGTGATGACGCCTCAGTATTTACCCCATGAACGGGTCTTTTCACAGGAAATATCGTTAATGATCCTGTATCCCCTAAATTAACCTCGACTCAGACAAGCTATTACCATGCCATTAAGGATTTTAACTCCCTTAGCCAGACAATCCGCGAATGTGAATATATTTTTAAGCGTGCTCCTTTAAATCTTTGATTCACTGATTTTAGTTGATATCTTGTACGTTTCATTTTATAGTTGAATGTGTATTTTGTATTTTTAATCTTATGAGATCCTCTTTGAAAGCCATACTTGCATGAAAAAGTTGTCTCAATAAAGATTATCATTATTGTTATTATTAACATTACTATTATCATTATTTCTGTAAATTATGTACGTATTTTTAAAGCTCAATAAAATTGTTGTTTATTCATAAAAAATATTATTTATTATTATTATTATCATCATCATCATCATCAGGTCACTGCCGAAAAGGTAATTTTTGTTAAATCTCTCGAGGGTCTGGCGTGAGCGTTAGTCCTGCGCGGCCAAACAGACCCCGAAGGCTCTGGAATCGAGAATGGAGTGAAGATTCACTTAGTGTCCACGCATTCAACTTGGGTAAAAACTGTCCAATTTGCAGAACAAATAGAGCCATTTATACAAGGAAAAATAAGACGCAAAGTTTTCGCATAAAAGGAAAATCTCGTCTAAATAAGACGCGACTTAGCTAAGACGCGTCTTATTTTAGAACAGCTCTTAGCACCTGTTCTTAGATAAGTCGCGTCTTAACTAAGACGAGAAAAACTTCGTATGACTTTCGCATCTTACATAAGACGCGAACGCATGGTACGGGTGCGTTAATTTTTGGCGCGCCATGTTGGATTGCTGTTGCTACGGGCAACATTCACATGAAAACGAGTCAAGAACAGAAATAAGACGCGAACCATTTATACGAACTGTTGTCGTCTTAGATAAGACATGCTCGTATAAATGGTACAGTTCGGGTCTCATTTAAGACGCGTCTTATTTTTCCTGGTATAAATGGCCCTATTGTTTAATGATCAATACCAAAATACTGACAAGATGACGATCTAATAGATCTGATACGTATTTGGGCGTTAAGCTATCATACTTTCATAGTTTAACAACTTCCGAGTCTGACATCACCCATCGGACATTTTTTTTTTCTTGGTCCCATTTTTCCGCCCACACAAAACAAATTAAACCTGGATGGAGCAGGGTAAAGCGCTGTAGCCGGCGTGACTTGTTACAAATTCATACAAAGAGGATCAGCATAACAGTCTAGGAAAGCGCTACCAACATTTGTACCCCTTCCTAACCAAAAGTTTTGCTCCAAGTGAGAAGTTAGTGTTAGCGTTAGGTTAAAGGAGGGGTATGTGGGTAATCTTATCTTTGTCACGTTGAGCATGTTAGAAACAAGACTAATTTACACTGTGTTCAGTCCTTTTTCCAAAACGAATGAAGGGTCGCTTTCTTTGAGGCTGTATCGGAATGTTTCCGTTTCCTTTTTCCTCGTTGAGTTCCCGTTTCAACTCCTTTACCTTTATAAGCAGATGGCATAACGCTCTCAGTAGCGGAAGATGAATTATTCTGCGATACAATCTCCCTGATGGCTGCCTTGTTTAGACACAAGTCAATATGCTTGTTCAGCTCAGTCATAGCGTTTTGACCGAGCTTTATCACCTGTTCCTGCCCGCACACTGGACACGACAGAGGTGAGGGATGTAGCCAAGTATCATTACTCGAATTTCCCTTGCAATCTTCTGCGTAACTGGAAACTGGCGAAGAAGCAGCTTCAAAAAGCAAACCATCAGAACTTGATTTGCCAGGCTGAGAATAGTCTCCAGATGAATCGGCGAGCTGGTATGTAGCCTGCGAGGCTAATGACTGTGTCATCATATTGTGTTCTGTAAGAACGTCCTGACCTGCATGTTCAATGGCAACTTCTTCCTCTATTAACGTTTGGTTGATCGTGTACGAACTTGGGGCGTCCGTGAAAGACATAGTTTTCTTTGGTTTCAAAAAACCCGTAATAGTGTTCTGTTTCCCTTCTCTTGAAGAAACAGAAGTCACGTTTTGAAAATTCGATAAACGTACTCCCATAAGCCGCAGTCTTAGCGGATCAGGAAAACATGCTGCCATTTCGTTTTTAAGAAGCTCTTTAGCTGCTCGGGAAATTTCCTCGTAAGTTGAAACAGGGTTGATTGGAGACAGAGATCGAGATTTTACCTCAAAGTTCACAGTCTTCAGTTTAATTGTGACGGTTTTTCCTTTGAGATTTTCTTTTTTCACATCTTCAGCTAGCGACTGACATAGTTTATCACACATATCTAATACCTCGTCTGGTTTGCTTATTTCGGGAAATGTTGTCTCCGTTCCAATGCTTTTCCTTTTCGAGTCAGTCATAATAAAATTTCTTCCCAGACCAAGTGAGACCTGAATTAAGAATCTAAAACTGATCGGAGAGTGCAGTAAATAGATCAAATCTCTGCTTGTGTACAAATCCTTGCATGTCTCTATCTGCAGGGCTTTGAGCATCTGTTCGCTTACTCGACCAATTCCACTTATTTTTCTAATTGGAAGTTTATGTACAAAATCTAAGATCACGTTTCGGTCTGGCTTCAGGAAGAACTGACCATTTGGCTTGTTTCGATCAGAGCAGACTTTCGCAAGCATTACATTAGGCGCTATTCCAGCGCTAGCTGTAAGCCGCGTTTTTTGTTCAATTCTAAAACGTAATTCCTTGACTATTTCTTCTGCACTGCTTCCAAACTCCACAATCTCATCTGCCGCATTTTCCTCTACAAGATCTTCCTCACTTTTAAGCTTTGAGTGTAACCCGCTTTTCGTTTTGGTGAACGTTGTTTTTTCTTTGTTTTTCTGCCTGTTCTCGAGGTACTCAGTAAGATCTAAGTAGGCTTCATCTAGACTAGCCATTGCAAAGTTAGGATCATATTCAGCAAGGACCTCCTGCACTTGATGGCTGTATTCTTTGTACTTCTCAAAGTGCGGCGGCACGATAACTAACTCAGGACATAATTTTTTGGCTATAAAGCCTGGCATGGCTGCTCTAACGCCATAACGCCTTGCTGGGTAGTTTGACGTCGACAGCATTGCGTTACTTCCCACCGCCATTGGTTTGTCACGCAATTCAGGATTGTCCAAGATTTCTACCGCAGCGTAAAACGCGTCCATGTCTATATGAACGAAAGTTCGGGTTAGATCACGCGTGTCATCGAGCTCTTTTACGATCAAGTCTACAGTTTGCAACGCTTCTTGTCTCTGCTGCGCGGTGATCTTTTTTAGACAAGCTGTCTGCTTAGTTATTCTCTCAGACACTTGCTTTTCTTTCTTCAATTCGTTTTCGTAGAATCGGGAACCTTTACTTGCTTCAAGTATAATTTGGTTGATTTTTTCTTTGTCTAAACCTACCATACCTGCCTTGTGATCATTAAGCTCCATTCTGGTCAAGCTTTTTGAACTGTCCATTGGTTTGCACTCATTATTCTCCACGATCATTTTAACTTGTTCGACATGTTCTCCGGTCACTGATATGTCCTCCCTGTCGACATCATCTCTCACCGAGATACCAATATTTCCTCGATCCCCGAAGTTTCTCCAATGGTTTTCTGGAGCATTGAATATTTCACCCCAATCATCACCTTCGTCTTCTTCCTCCAAATCAAAGTAGTTTCCTTGACCATAACTCAGCAAGGAATCCGCCATTTTTGATTGAGAGTGTTTGGTGATAGGTAACCTGGCCAGATTCTCTTTTCCCGCCAATAAGAGAGAAGTTCGTAGAAGATCAAATCGCTCGATGTGATGGAATGAACTCAATGAACAAATTTCAAGCAAAGATGTCTAAAAAACGAGCGCCTTTATTATGTCATGAAATTCCTCACGATCATTTCGGTGAGTGGTCATAACAACGAACAAATAATTTGCATACTCTGCGATATTTTGTATAGCCGTGTATCATGTGATACAGGGTATATTTTAAGCTTATCCTTTCGAGCACATAATCACGAAGGCCATATGGTCGTCAGACGCCCGTATTCAAGCTAAATGCAAGCATACGTATAACTTTCCAAAGCCTTTAACAAAAGAAAGTCAAATGCAGAACCTCAGAAATACTAATTCTTCAAGCTGGGGCAAACATGTGGGAATTTCAATCAGTTTGTTATCAAAAATTAATCAATAATTAAGGTTTATGTATTAAAGCTGATGTTATTTTATGATTTTAAAGTCATTAAAGTTTAATCGTTATTGCTGAATGTGCATGCAAAGTTCACCCTTGGGTGTTCATCATAAGAATTATTGTGTATATCTCTACAATAAATATTAATAATAATATTTTATAATACAAACACCTCTCAACACATTAAAAGTCACACAACCACCAGAACAGTAATACTTTTTGTAGCTGTTGTTGGCTTGTTTATCTTTGGTTATTCTGTGTGTAACAGCTACAGAGTGTGGCCTAATGAATTGACGTGATACGAAAAAACCAGAAAATGAAATCTGAATAAAGGCCAGCTTGAAATGTAACCCAGCTGTAGGGCTTGTGAATCCAAACTTGTCATGTTTGTTAAATCCTGAGTAGGAGATGACAGCCCTGTGTTGCTCAATATACCGCAGATGCAGAAACCTTTCAACCATGGTGAGTTTCTAGATAATTTTTAAAGCAAAATGATTGCAAATGTGCATCACAAAAGCACTTCTGGGCCGATATTATTTTGCACATCCTTATTTATTTTAAAGATCACTTCCTACATGTGATACTGATTCAACAAAATGAAAAAAGGATCAGATCAGTTCTACTGCCCTCATTTGATCAAATGTCTCTGTGAATAAGATGTGCTTGATTAAGCTTTTACTCTATAATTTGTGGTTAAATCAATGTCGTTATGAAAAATGGCAGTTGGGAAAATGTACTAAATAGGCTTATTTTTATTGACATATTGGTATTTTTTAAATTGATGTGAAGGAATGATACTAACTGGAAAACTGACTTGTTGTTCTAATTCTTGCTGTAAACTCTCCTGCCTGACCTGGGGGGCTTATTTTGTCAAGTCATTTTTAAGAGGAAGGGGTACTTATTGTAGAAGGGCAATGTTTACTATTTTTAAAACTGAAGCGGAAACTCTTGGAAATTATTCATTTTTTGGGTTAAAGGATCTTGTAATGACTGGCAAGTGTCTTCTTTCAGGGTCGGCCAGGGTTTTGGGGTATACGGTATACGGGGGCTTTTTAAATTGGGTATACGGTATATTGCAGCTTAAATACGGGTATTCGGTATATCACTTTCTTTGAATTTCAGGTATAAAGTATACCTGGGTATAATTTTGGGTTTATTTGGATGAATTTTGGCTATTTTTGGGTATTTTGGCGAATTTTTTTTCGGGTATACTGGTATACCACTACCCCCCCTGACCGACCCTGTTCTTTATCTGATCGTAAGCTCTCCTTTCTTTTACTTCAGGTTGGCAACGGGAAATTATTTACCGACACATAGGAGCTAGCCGAAACAGTGAGGTTATTTACATAACACCTTGTGGAAAAAAATTAGTAAGTTGGTGCAGAATATTTACCTTAACCCTTTTAATCCTAAACCAAGTTAACAGTATAATGGTGAGATTATTTGCCATTCTAAATTTGGAAGAAATCTATCCATCTGTAGAAGAATTCTTGTCAGTTAGACATCTTGTATAATTGTACAATTTGTACAAAAGACAAATTTTTTTGAATTTTTTACTTTGACCACTATTAGGACTGGAAAGTGTTTAAGAGGTCATGAAATCACTACTTTGTATAACTTGCCAGTGAAGATCTTTTTTTTTTTCATACAGAATTGTCGCGGTGATGTGGACAAGTATCGTAAGTCCTTTTCTTAAATTCTCCTGAATTAATTGTGGATTTCATCCAGACGAGTATACACTCAAAGAAAATCAAATTGCAGTGTTATAAAGTTTTTAAAGACGGTTGTTAAAAGCAACAGCACAGTCTATGTAGTAGTGTTATAATAGTACCTGTTACATCAAGATAATGATCATAAGTTGTTCACCTTTGAATTAGCATTTGGTTCATACTAGTGCCTTGTTGTTGATAGACCGTTACCTCGGACTGGATTTGCCGAAAAATGGTGGCAAGAACATTATTTTACTCGTTGTAAACTAGAAATACGTTTATTAGGACCCCTCGTGAATCTGTGACAGGTCAGCAATATGAATAAATTGAAACCAGCCAAATATAGGTAAAAAAGATGGTAAAAAAAAATCAAAAACAAAACTGCCCAAAAAAGGAAAAAAATTCCTCGTGCAGGAGTCTAACCCTGGACCTTAAACATGTAAGGTCATCTCCTTGTCAATTGCGCCACTTCACCGAGTGTTAATTGTTCATCTTGAATTAGTATGATGAACATTTTTGCCAATGAACCTGCCAGCAGATGGTGTTTGAAGCTGCAGGGTGGAGCTGTGTTTATCAATAATTAAAAGACATATACAAGGAATAAATAAGCAGGGTTTCAGTGTAAAAGCCCAGCTACTTTAACTCATCTCGTCACATTTATTATTCCTGGTATTTAAAAACTGGTATGTAGACAAACCATTTTGAAAAACTGATCGAATGCCTTTTGTTTTTTAGTAAAGACAGAGAGAATAGGTTATTTATCACCAGACTGGTTTTCTTTTGACAATCATGTCCTGGTTGGTGGAGGAGACAAAGAGGTACAAATGTTGAGATGTTTTAGTTGTTGTTACATTTAATGAGGAAGTATTATACAGTTTATATGTAACTATCTATTTAATATAAACCATGAGTATCTGCTTTCATTACTTGTCGCTGCTCTCAGGAAGTGTGTGATTTGTTCCCTAAATTCAAAATTCATATTATATGTTTCATTTATCAACAAAACTTAGTTAAGCCCTTTAATGCTTGTGCACAATACAGTCACAATACAGTCGCATGATTGTGACTGATAAGAGGATAACTTGACAGCTGATTTTGATATGGATGGTGTATGTCACCTAAAAGGCCAGCAGGATAATCCTCATTTTTCAGTCCGGCTTTTATGTACAGGATGGTTTCAATAGGTGATCATACAAACAATCATGTGATAACCAGAATTTCTCTCTAGGACAGCTGATAACCAGTTTCTTTTTTACCCATGGTGCTCTGTGCATGTACCCAGAGCTCTTCTATTAACCTTTTAAACCCTAAGATCAAAATTTGAATTCTCATTTGTTGTCCCTATTCATTTCCTACAGAAGTAGTGGGGAGAAGTTGATAAAATATCAAACAAATTTATCTTGTGTGATCATGTCCGTAATTCTCATGACCACTCTGTTTTACAAAGCATTGATATTACAAAGAGAAATTTGATGCTGATCACTCTGTTTTTATACTAAAGCATTTCTGATTTGATTGGCAAAGAGAAATTTGAATTTGAAATAACTACATGAAAATTACAAACCTTTTGTGGGTAGTAGTATAAACAAATAATAATGATTTGTGGGTTTTGGCAAAATTAATTTCAAAATGGTGAAATTACAGGTGTCACTCGTGGTATTTATGCCAAATATGACTACAAATCATGCTATTACCTATACTAATAAAATGGTGAATTGCAGGTGTCTCGTACAATGCCAGCAGCACCTACACCGTCTGAGCCTTGGAGAAAATCCAAGTAAGCTTCATTATTTTATTTTCTATTTTCTCATGTTTTTCTGATATTTATGAAACAAATAAATTGATCATGATGATTGGTCATGGTAGTTGTTATACACAGTGTACATCATGTCTGCACACAAATTATGAGGGGCTTTTTGGGGTATATGAAATATGTTAGGAATCCTGCAAATGTTCATGGGTAAACTAGTTGGCCATCTTATGAGCATGGCCATGAGATATTGAACTCATCAGGCCAAGGGATATATAAATGGGAACAAATTCAGCTAGTAGTCAAGGCGAGACTAACTGACTGCCAACTGATTGCAAATAAATGCAAGTCTTGCACTCTAACCACATGCTCACCTGGCCTTCAAGTGTAATGTTTTGTGTTACTTATCTTGCATGAAGCATGTGTTGAGGTTCTTTAATATTCTAGTTATATTTGTTTCAGCACATCAATGCAGAAACCGGCCTTTTGAGTGTTATTGTGCAAAATTATAAAGTTATTTTACAGTGCATTATAGGAAATTGATAAATTATTATTCACATGATGTTAAGCTTGTCTGTGCATTACTTATAGGTGGTCTACAGTAGTGATATGTACAAGATACTGTCCAGAGCGAAACAACACCAGGCCTTCACTGCAATGCAACTTGTGCAAAGCTTTTTTTCACCCTGAATGTGTGTTTCTTTCTCCAACTGAAGCTAAGAAAGTGAAAGATTCTTATGTTTGTACAGTAAGTTAATTCTTTTAATTTATCAGAATGCAAAGAATAGAATGTCCGATAGCCCAGCCGGGTGAGTGGATATTGCCCAATGGGCAAGCGAAGTTTTTGGGGAACTGAAATTACAGAGGAACTGTTATCAATCCTGCTTGTCAAAATATTGTTTTTTTTGGGGGGGGGAGGGGGGGGCTAGTTAAAATAACTCATGGGCAAGTACATGCCAACTATAGCTTCCCCAAATGGCAAGCTGCAAAATAGACTCTCTTTGCACCCTGATGATGGTAGTGAAATCTTATTCAAAGTTTACACAAGACCAATGTGAAGGGGTTATGACTGTCATCAGGATATTTGCTGTTTTAGGTCAATTCCATGCTGAGGTCATTACTTACTGCCTTTACCCATTTATACAAAAAATGTTCCATTAGAGTTATAAAGAAGATATCAAACCAATGTGATCAAGGAACGCTAACCATACAGTAATAATGATATTTAGTTGGTGATGTTTTTTGCAGGCACCAAGCATTAAAACTTGAAAAAGTTGACCCAACTTTTACATGTTTCAATCCAGGTGCTTTCATGCCAAATCCATATTAATATTATTATAGACAGCAGGAAACAGTTTCAATGCCTAAATACAGGCTTAAGTAACAAAAGTGTATTATTATCATTTAAATTAATGTGTTTTAACTTTTTAAAAAGATAGCAAATAATGCAAGCATAGTTTTAGTTGTCAAGAAAACCTGTATTGGATCAACCCTTTTATGTCAGTAAATCCATGCTTTATTGACACTGTGACATCATTAAAATGTACAAATTCCTGTGATATCTTTTTCTGACTTCGCATCAATGTCTGGGAACTCTTCAAAAGTAGTAAGAGCAAAATGTTTACTGGAAGGAAACAAAGGAAGTCATTTTAGGCAATAATTGTAATAATATAAGTGGTTTCTTCTGTAAAATAATATTTTTTTTACAGAAGAAATCACTTTTTCCATAATTCACCTCAATCAAATCTCTCCATAAAGTCAACTCAATTTCAATCCCTTTTGGTGAAGTGGTTAGCCGAAGTTGTTGTTAAAATTGTCTAGACAATCTGATCCCCATTTTAACTATTTTATTATGTTGTAGCACTGTTTGCTAGAAGAGAACCCAGATGCACTGAAAGTAAAAATCAAATTAACAGATGTGTGTCCTGTTCTTAAGTTATCATTTGATTGCCTCCTTCATATCTTGTCATATCTTCCTCTCAATGATTTGTGCAGGTAGGTCTCTTACACTTCTGTCAATTCACTTACAACTTTCAGATTCTATTTTAGAGCTGCCATTGTTTATTTGATGGTTACATGTAAGATTCTTTATTAGGACTTATGTGACATAACACTTTGAAAGCATCCCACTGTTAAAAACAAAATGAGGTTTTTTATCTTCAAACAACAACAACAAACTTTTATTAATAAACAGAAAATATGAAGATATAACGAAGAGACAAAATTCTCTGTTACTCCGAGTTTCGTGCTCACGCACTCATCAGACAGTATTTAATGGAGAATAAACCTATCAAGTTATATATATACACGCGTCTATTGATTACAAAAAGCAGGGCAGTGCGGTTCTAATTACAATTAGGTGTGAGGAAAAACTAATAGAGTGTTGTTTTTGAGTCAATTGTTCCTAAGGTAAAACTTGTTTTCGTGGCGGCACTTGAAAATCAGTTCTGATCTTTTATTTAGGATTCTGTCGGGGTTTGCAGTAATGATCATTAGTTTCTCTGTTAAGCATAGGTCGCATCGTTTAGAAATGTTGTTGTAGGGTCTTGCACGGCTGATTATAGTCCATTTGATGTTGAAGTCTTGATTATTGTCACGTAGTTTCCAGATGTATTTGGAGAGTTCGGTGCTGTTCGTGTATTTCCTGTGTTTAAATGTCGCTTTGTGTTGTGAAAATCTTTGTTTCTTTGTGTTTTGAGTACGTGAGCACGAAACTCAGAGTAACAGAGAATTTTGTCTCTTCGTTATATCTTCTTATTCAAAGCTCTACACTTAAAAAGTGTATTGAGCACTGTTTAACGGCTTTAGCCACTTTATTACACGTAAACAGAAAATATATTATTACAGAAGCATTGCCCTCAGCTAGCAAGGCTATGCGAGTCGGGACAATGAGTGCAAAATATTAAGTTAAGACTATAAAAGGCTAACTAAGGGAAGTTTACAGTTTACAAATAAATGAGTAATGATAATAATAATAATGATAATAATTTTTTATTTTAGTGCAAGTTGTGTATGCAGTATGTGGAATCAAGTGTCATCCCAACCCATCCTGGTGAGAAATGAAATAGTGGTTATTGTGATGTGAATTGTGACGCTGTAGTCAGTATCATCAACAACATTCATATTTATAGGTGTATACGTTAATGGTTAATGTTACCAAATCTGTCAGTCATTGCTACAATGAGGGTCTCAAGAATAGATGCAGAATCATATTTTGCATTTTGGTTGTTTGCCTTACTAAACAGATTATCATAGTTACAATAAAATTGTTGACTTTAAATACATGTGAGGCCTCTATTATAGCTTGTAGTTATTCAGTACAAGACATCTTTTTTCATAAATTAATGAACAGTGAGAAGATTTCAGTTTGCTGATTCAGTTGTTTTCTTTTTTTAGTGGAGGAGAGTGTCACTACATGGTCTGCAAGTTAAGGACTGGGACATAGCTGCAAGAACAATGGTGCAGTTTTCTACTCAAAGACTGGTGAGCTTATAAATAATATTATTACATGTATTGTAGTACGTGAAGCTATTTAATATCCCAGAGTGCAGTGTTGCACGATTTCTGCAAGGAACTGAAACATTTCTAGGCTGCCATCTACTGGGCCATTGTCAGTTTTAAACCCTGTTAGCTCAGTTTATAATATTTAAATTGTAATGGTATGCATTTTTCTGTTAATCACAGGATTTAAGGGGTCTCGTTCATGGCAAGAGTCTCACTGATTCTTGGTTAACCATTGGAAATGTTTTGCGTCAGTTGTCCAGTGTAAAATGGCTGGATTTTGGACTGGTGCCAACATGGATTCTTCATCAAGTGACAGAAACTTCACCAGAGTAAGCAGTTGGGCATAAACTTGTTGTTAATTGAAAAGGCTCTAAAGGCTCCTGATCTAATGTCAAATTCTCTCAGTTTCATAAGAAAATACATTAGTTAATTTGTTGGGAAAATCTCACTGTTCATTCTCACTTCCGGTAGAATTTGATCACATCATCCCTTTGATTTTGAAATTATATCTTCTGTGTTTGTAGTGTCATATTTTTGTGGATAAACAGGGATATAGCTAAGAGGTGGCTGCAGCCAGTGAATTTCACTAGCTGCCACAGAGCTTACCACCACATCAAATTTCTCCCAAAAATAAGATGTAAAGTAGTTTTTTGGTAATTTTGACAGGTTACAAGGCAGTAACTCTTTTAAGCTTTTATCCAGCTACATCCCTGGTCAAGACATACATTCTTAACAGTGGTTAATGTGTTGACTGTCCAAACTGACTTAAGACCTGTTGACATGTTATCCCTGGTCTCAACCATTCTTGACACTACTTCCAGAGACAAGATGCTGCATTTCACTCTTTTTTCCACCTACAACAAATAAGCCCACTTTTGGCAGGACACTGTCCCTTGGGACCTACTTTAGCTGTTTGTCATTGTATGTGTGTACAGTGAACTCTCTTAATGCTGGGGACAGCACCACAATGATAATCTTATCCAAGAGAGAGAGCATCACTCCTACAATAAAGCTGCTTCAGACTTACATGTAATTCTGGTCTCTTGGGTATCCTGTGGCTTGTCTGTCCAGTCATGTTCACAGGCACACCAGTTAAATACTGCATTGTATGTGCTCTTTGTTTTCCAGGCAGATAGTAATACTTTTAATGAACCTATCTTTCACAGCTTGGAGGTCTTAACTGCAGAATGGATAAGTGATACTGAACCTGGCAAATGGTATGTTAAAGTCTGTCTTTCTTAGATAGCATATACAGCTGTTGATCTATACATTTTCTATGCACATTTTAGGAAGTGATTTAACATACATTGTGCTAGATATTGCACTCCTGCAAAACCTTCTTGTTACTTGACATTTCGATATATTACACCCCTTAATAGTATTTTTTTCGCACCATGATAAGTCGTGTTTTATTCTCAGTTAGGAATTGACTTAGCTCATAAACCAACAGTAAAAATCTTGTTCTTTGCAGGGAATGCACATCACATTTGGATTTTGGAAAAATTGCACAGCTCACATGCCTTAAGAGACTTCGGCTCCGGGCAGCTTGTGGTGTACTAACAGTTCCATCATTTACCTTCAGTGGAGGATTGATGGCCCTTGGTAACCTCAAAGACCTTACTAAGCTGGTAAAACATGATCATGTGAATTTATGTAGAATTCACTCAGTTCTTTACTGTTGGGTGTAGTCAGTCGTTGATCAGGAAAATTTTAAAACATCCATTTTCTAAAGATAAATTAATTGTTTACACGAAGGTAATGAACGTTTATTTTTTCTTTGAATTTCAGTCACTAACCACTCTAAAAAATGTTCCAAGCTCTGAATTTGGATTTTTAAGAGATCTTCCAAATCTTGAGGAACTTGAGATAGGAGAGTGTTCAGACTGGGATGATGAGGTAAGAACTTACCGTAAACTTGGTAACCTGTGTGATGAGATGTGAGCCTGGGCAGAGAAGGTGACAGCAGCCTTTAGATTAGAAATAAATATGTCGACTGATAGTCCACCGACATCTCAAGTGAGCGTTGGCCGATAGTGTTGACCGATACTCAGTCATTACACAAGATCCAAGTTCACTATATTTCACTGCAATCTCTTTGACTTTAATGTGCAACATTAGAGATTTGTTTTTCTTGTTTGTTTTGTCTTTTTTTTTTCAGACTTACGAGTGCCTTGGATGCTTAACGAATTTAAAATGTTTAAGATTAGAGTGCGGCAGTTCTCATGATGGACTTGCACAGGCCTTGAAGGGTATGCAAAGGTAAACCAGTCATAACGGATGTGCTCACCTTACAGTACTACAGAAACTGGCCTTTCAGTGGCTTCAGGGATTCTTGTGGTTCACTAGATCGTCGTTCTGCCTTTGTCAGGATAAGGATGTATTTCTGCATACGTTTTTGTTACAAGCCTTCCTGAAAAATTAATAACAAGAATGGTCTTCTCAAAGCCAGGTTACCGAAACGTGATCTTACGGTGAACATCCTAACGGGCTCTTTATGCGAAGATACCGTTGCTATTTCTTTGCGGACTTATTGCGGACCTACAAAATGACTAATACACAACTCGATGAGGTTGCGCCTCTGTGGAGGCTATAACCAGAAAAAATATTATTATGGCCTGATTTATCACAGCTTGACAATCTTGTAATCGCAGTATGGTGTTTTTCTGTTTGCAGACTTGTTCATTTGGATCTTATCATGTTTGGTATACCTTCTACTTTAGCGGATGTTCTTCAACTTCTCCCAAGCCTTAAAACGCTTTCTGTATGGCCACTTGAGGTAAGGGATTACTGAAAATAAAAGAGGGTTTGATCTTTTGGATTCTCGCGACGCTTGTTTGAATTTGAATTACTTTAAATCACTAACAGAGGTTGGGGAGGGGCATTTGAAGGGAGGAGGGATGCGCAGTAGTTGTGGGGAGGGGGGGGTGGGGGGAGAGGGGCACGTTGAAAGCATAGTTAATTGAGGAATGGTTATGAAACCCGCGTTGCATTAATTTATTCCGTAACAATTTGCCAACAGGCCCCGTCCAACATAAACTGCAGCACTGTTGTTTTTATCATTGATGTTTGCCGGATATTTTTAAATGTTGAAAGGACGGAACTTTCCGGATATTTTTAAAGACGGAACTTTCTTTCTCCCTGGCTTTTAGCCCTCCGTCCACACGATGCCGGCTTATCCTTTTCATGTCGACGGACAAAAAGTCAGGTTTTCGTGTACAATGATACCATACATCATAAAGCGCATGCCCTGTAAGGGATGCTATCTATTGTTTTAGCGTTTTCGTGTTGACGGGCGAAGACGAATCGAATACGCGTACTTTTTTTATAAGAGAAAAAATCTCAGTTTTCAGAAATAACCGGATACACGTGGACGAGACCTAAAAAAAATGACATCGACGGCGGCGACAGCAGCCAAAACGCAGAGGTGCTTATTTGGAAACTGAAGCAGGATTCACGGCCGACCCTTTTTAAGTAACTCGTGTTAAATGTGGGATGACTGTCATTTTTGACTTAAATTATCATTAAATATAGAAACGTTTGGTAAAATGCCATGCGTTATATTGCGATTCCTGTGATTACAAGTCCTGACTATTCTCAATTCTGTATGATATTCGCTCATTTTCTCCCCGGCAAATGCAAGGAAACTTTTCAGGGGAACTTGTCCTTTAATCCACAGGATAGTACAGTAAACAGCCGTTACCTTCAGGCAGTTTGTCAACTGTCTGATCTATATTGCTTGGACTGGGGTGTACTCACTGGACTACAGGCTTCCAACATCACGGATTTGCCATCCTGTGACTCTCCCGCATCAAATGATGTGCTTTCCAGAGATGAACCGTTGATACCGATCGCACCTCATCTGTGCTCTAACTTAACATCTCAATTTAAATTTCACAAAGACTTCAATAACAATTTGATGTTGTCTTTAAATGAACTAAACCGCATCTTATGCAAGAGTCTTCTCATGACAGACATTCGTGTCTTCAGAGTGCCAATCATGCCGGAAGGCAGGCTGTACTTCTGAGAGTTTAAAAGAATCTTCACAATTCTAATTAACCAAAAAAAGCTGGACTGCACTTCGCTTCTCGGAACAACCCGACACTTTTCAATCGCGAGACTTAATTGTGTCAAGAAGGTATTTAACTATTTAAAATCAGTGTTTAACCAAAGTTTCCTCTGAATTGGTTAGTGAGCCAATCCTCCCTAATGTGGACACCATACGAACTGCAGAGGCAAGTATCCAGTCTATAACAGACTGAGAGGCGTCTGTATGGAAATTGTGGAGGTCAGAGGGAGCGCACAACTATCTAGAGAAAACTGGGATAAGAGAGTGGCCTTGAAAACTCATTTGTGCCACAGTTCTTGAGGCCAGTCGACCCGTTTTCTAGTTACGTTCTGGCCAAAAATAACCAAAGCTACGCAAAACGCTGTTATAAGTCGACCCTCCAGATCCACAAGCCAATTCAGTTTAGTTCATCGTGATCATCCATTCATGCCGCCAACTCTCTATAATGGCTATAGATTATATTTTAAAGATGACAATTGTTTCGTTAGCGACAAAAAAAATCACTTGCCTTCTTTATACCGCTTATCAGTCTGCCAGATAACTAGAGGGACAGAACACGCGGTTAACCCTATATTAGCTTTTCAATATCTGGCAGCCACGTGGTAACAACACCTGACTAAAATCAACTGACAAACTTAGCAAGCATTTACGATTAGTAAGGAAAGGGCAATAAACATTTAAAAACACTGTTTTTCAAACCCCCGTTCTTAACATAACCCAAGAGAGGCTTGCATAATCTCATAAGCGTCTGATTTGTGGTTCATTAATTAGACCCGGAAACAGTGTTGGTTAAGACGCTGACATTTTAATCTAAAAGCAGAGAAGTGACTTTCATAATGTGATATGCTTGGCAGATAGTTGAGCATTTGATTAAATCGCCGCACAGATTCAAGGGAGACCTCGCTCATGTACGCCGGATGTTTTGCAAGTCTCATTTTTTACAAACCTTGTTACAAAGGTTCCAGACATTATGAAAATAAATAAGGAATTGTCAGTGTAAACGACTTCAATTGAAACCAAACGTTAATGGAATAGTACAATATCAATGAATGTTGATAAATTCACACTTGGCTGTAAGGCTTGGGGGAATAAAACAAGAAATCACCTTTGTAGTTCAGAGGTGAATGACGCATGTCGTTAGTCAGTATTCCCCCAAGCCTCGGAGCCAAGCATGAATTTTAACATATCTAAATTGTTCAAGTGTCTCTCAGTAGAGTATAATCATCTCAGTAGATCTTGGCTTATTTGTGTCGTGCGGCGTCACGATTGCCTTTAGTGCCCATACGAGAAGAAGAGGATTTCGATTGATCTTATTAGCTTTCATAGTATCTCCAGAGTTCACTGTTTACTGAGTCTGTTAGCGTGCCATAACGGACTACAGATTACATCCCCGCAGTTGTGTAGGTCATTAAACGAACCATCCTCCGTGAATGACGATATCTCCATCGCTCAGGAACCTCTGGCGGAGTTTTCTTAGAGCTAACCCCAGAGTTATCAATACTTTCACAGGTTGTTAACTCTTCGCGCTTGAAATTAAGTCCGTAATTCTCTGAAGACTGTTATCCAGGTCTGTGATGGATTGTGAAAGCTCTGGATGAATATTTCCAGTTAATGAGTCGGTATGGTGTTTCTGTAATAATAAGAATACAAAATATATCAATAAATCACCAGTATACACCGTAATGAACGATTAGGGATACAGTTTCGTGATGCCTTATTACCCTTATATAAAGCAAAAAGGGGTTTCCTTGTACTTTACTGACTTACCTTGGCTCTCGTGATCAACTGTTTAAGGACAAGCTTGGCTGATGACAGAAGCTGAAGTGATTCAGTCTTGTTATCTTTGCACTGACTTACTTCTACGTAAACTGTAAGAATGAATATATCAAAAGATCACTGATCCACTGGAAAGGAACAGGCAGGACAGTGCAGATAATTTACCGGCTTGTGTATAGAGCTGAATCCGCGATCAAAGACCTCCTCAGTTTGATAACCTTTCTCAATACACCTTATCACGGTTTTGGAAGCCATCTTGACGGGCAGGCAACCGCGTGAGAAATTACAGTGTCCGTATGAGAGTCTAACGTCCGATGATTTTTGTAAAACGGCTGTTTTGAAAAAAAAAAATGAATTGTAAATTAAAACTACACTGACAAAAAAGGATTCTACTGACTAAATGTGAGGGCCTTACCTACGCTAAAACCCGTTAATTTTCAGTACAGTTGTGTGTAAATATTTTTCTTGATTCCTGCCGACTTCAATTTCCCGGGAAAATTGCAGACAAATGTATGGAAAATCCCTAGAAAATCTACAACAAGAGACCGGGAAAATTTAACCACAGGTGCGGCCCCAATTTGTTACTACAAGCCTTTGCTGTGAAGATTAAGTTAACAATACACATTTCTTTTCAGAACAGCCGTTTTAAAATTATTCGACACAAGATTCTCATAAAGATTGCTTCCAAAACCGTAATAAAGCCTATTGACCCTGCGTATTGGTCTGGGAACCGACCAATACTCAAGGTCTGAAAATAACTGAAAAATGAACCGCCAGACCTTTGCGTGGCTCGGAGCCGACCCACGTAAATTGGCCGTCCCGTCTCCAATAGGATTCGTAACCGTACCAGTAGTAATCACAGCAGTGGTGTGGAATCTTACCGTCACTAAGATGAACAGTCAACGCTATAACGTCCTTGAACTCAGTGACGTCATTCTCCCAGCCTGTAGCCTGGGTCTTAGTTCTCTGGGCCTTCACCAAAAAATGAAGCGCCTGAAATTAATCCAAGAAATGAATTGCTTAAGGTGGCTCCGTAATTAATACAAGAGCATTTAGCTGTGACAAATTTTCCGTCATAACTTTTTCGATTTTAACGCGATGGCTGCGAAACTTTGCAAAGAACAACAGATATCATTCGGCAATAATACGAAATATTCCGATTTCATTGATGGTAAATATTTCTTGAGAAATTAGCGCTTAAAAGGACCCTACTGTTCAAAGAAAATTGCGTCTAGTAAAAAATTTTGCTGATATTTTTTACTGAAATTTGGTATCGGCTTCAATTGATATAATAAATATGCCAGAGGAATTTGAGAAAAATCGTTGGAGCAGAAATCCGTAACTAAAAGTCGCTCAAAATTCAGCTGTGAAATTGTTTTGGAATTTCAAAAATAAATTACTATCAGGAAGAAGGAGACACCTCTTTCAATTTTCGGGACAAGTAAATTCAGTGTTTGCTAATTCTTAAAACAGAAGCCGATTGCCTCTCGTGCTATTCTTTAGAGGATATTTTTCAGTTTTAGAAGCACTATAAATTGCTCCAAACTTTGCACTGACGTCGAATGACTTGTTCCTCGACATTTTTAAAATATCCCTTGGCAGTTTTGGTTCAAACTCCTGCTACATACATTTTGATGTATTGCAATGCATCCTCAACGGCTTTTCCTGCTGTACGTTGTTTCCAATTCAGGAAAAAGGTATTGGGATTGTAAGCTACCTTGTATCGAAGCTCAGACAGAACTGTCGAGCACCTTTGTTTATGACCAGAAAATGAGCACGAGCGGCAACTCTGCGAGGAATTCGCACCTCAGCGAGGGGGGAAGAATGACAATGATGCCCATGTCTGTGAACAGATCTGTATAAACATGTATTGCAGAGCAAAACATAATAATCAAGAAAAAAAATACCCATTCATTGAAGGAAGGAGTGACAAAACTTTCAGAGTTGTAAATTTATTCACGGGCAGTATTTTTGCGATAATTTTATTTTGCACTGTGATGTTATTCGGTTCACAGGCATGGTCATCATTGTCGTTCTCCCCTGGGTGAGGTGCGAATTCCTCGCAGAACTGCCGCTCGTGCTCATTTTGTAGTCATAAACAAAGGTGCTGGACAGTTCTATCTGAGCTCTGATACGAGGTAGCGTCCAATCTCAATACTTTTTTCCTGAGTTGGAAGCAACGAAGACTGTGGGTGCAACAAAAATTGGTAAGTCATTTTCAAAGGAGAAAAAAGGAAAAGTCGCAAAAATGCTTGAGCTGACACCTCAAGAGGTTGAGCAAACACCAACCAACTTCCCAGTTTTCAAACACCGATTTGTATTTCTTTCGTTTGATAACTAATTTTCACCCCATTTACTGTTTTGTCCTACCTATCCTAGAAATTTTGCAGTTATTTATCCTATAAAATTGAAAAGTCAATCACCGGTTTTAAGTTTCCTTTTCACGTATACTTTCCTTTTCTCCGCCAATCTACTTCAAATGAAAGCGCTTCATTCTAACTTGAACTAAATTTTGCAAGGACATTTTGGTGACGCAAATAGCGTGAAAAGACTATGAACGAGTCGGGTGGGATCCTTCAGTGATGTGCAAGCGAATGACGAAACGTTTGCTGAGTGAAGGACAGTTTTTGTGCACTGGAAAAGTCTAAGCAATCCCTCGAAAACCCCGATCTCAATCTCGCAAAGTCACTAAAGCGAGAGAAAGTATAAGTGTACATTTAATCGGCAAATCAGTCCAGACCTTTTCTTTCTCCTCTTGTGATCCACCATTCCAATATAGGTCCGAGTATAACTTCCATACATCAGGGTTGTTCGTTACCTTAACAGATCAGACAGATCACAGTAGCTATATGATGATCAGCTTATTTCTAAAAAAAACTTTATCTCTGAAGTGGTTGACGTTTAGTTAGATTCTTTTGTTAACCAATTTGGAGGTTACGAGCAGATTCTATGGTAATAAAAGCATCATATTATAACTATTATTTGAAGAGCAGCTCCACTCATTGCTACGTTTTTTTTTGTATTGGAAGGACAAGGGCTATCATATTTCTTCAGGTTCAAGCCTACCAACAAACGTAAACGAATAATTAACTGTTACTATATATATATATGAATGTAGAAAAGTCATTTCGTGCACAGAACTCACTTACCTGAGATGTAAGCCTTCCCATTAACTTAAGAAGGTTAGGTTTCAGAACTGAAGCTGTAAATGAAAAACAGAAATCCTCTAGTGAAACTGACATCATTAAAACCAGTTCCATCGATGGCACTAGGCTTTGATGGAAATATATACAAAGCAGCAATTCACCTTTTTTGAAAAATAACTATTGCAATCAGTAATTTTCATCTATATGTTTACGGCAACAAGTTGGATTTCAACATTTATCAGTAGCAGTTAGGAGCAAGGGTGGCCCGCCCAGTGGTGAGAGCACTCGCCTGCCACCAATGTGACCTGCGTTCAAATCTCGGCGTCGACGCCATATGTGGGTTGAGTTTGTTGTTGGTTCTCTCCTTTGCTCTGAGAGGTTTTTCTCCGGGTACTCCGGTTTTCCCGTCTCCTCAGAAACCAACATTTTCAAATTCCTTTTCGACCAGGAATCATGTAGACGAAGAACCACTTCGTGGATGTGCTTACATTAATAATTCAAAAGATTTTCAGGTACCTGGCTTCTGATTGCAGTCCAACAGTCCTTGACTCACCGCTTTTACAAGAATCCCTAAAATCTAAAGCCATAACACGTATTTTGAGAATCAAATTAGTTTTGCTTATCTTTACAGAAAAAGTTAACTTTCTAGAAAACTTCTTTTGTAACCCTTTTTATTTTTATCTCCTGGCATATTTCTTTTTTACATTTTGAACTTTTAGTTTTACTTTTATTGTCAGACTCAAAGAGCAAAATATATTTCGTTTTAAAACTTCTAGAACATTTTTATTTTTACCTTTTACAAAAATGTGATAAAGACGTGATGTCTTTTTTGAATGTCCCAATTATTCGACATGGATATCATATCTTGATTTACATTTCAAAACTCACTACTAAAGGTTCCGGAAAAAAAATTTAAAACATGGATATCATATCGATCATATCATCGTACTAAAGGAAAGAAATGTAAACCGCTTACCTCTGTATCACAGTACTTGTCACGCAAGTCCATCATCCGATGAAACGCGTTTATGGCATCATTGAAAGCCCCTACGTCAACACTGACCTAGCAAACAAAAAAAAAACAAACAAACAAACAATTAATTTATCAAAACCTACCCGCGGCAGGATTAGTTCAGTCGGTAGAGCGCCTGACTGCCGAGTGGGAGGTCGTGGATTCGATTCCCGGGGCCGGACCAATACTCAGAGTCTTAAAATAACTGAGAAATGAGGATACTACTCCCTTTGCAAGAGGCTGGAACTTCGCGTGGCTCGGATGACCACGTTAAATAACGGTCCCGTCTCTTGTTGGAGAAGTAAATATAGTGTCCCCGATTAGTATTCTCGTGCTAAATACATTGACACTCAAACTATATATATCTCGCCAAACCAGCTGAGTAAAAAACAACTGGCCTGCAGTTTTAAGAATAAAGCAGGGGAGTTCAAATGAATTTGCCAACGTAAGGTAGGAGATGTCTCCTTTCTGTGGAGAAGACACAGAGGAAGAAGAACACCTTATTCAAACGGTTCAAGAAATCAAAGTTGACACCGCACTTTTTGAAGACAAAAGTATCAGGACAAACATTGTACAAGCATTGGAAAAAATCATTTCTAATTAGTGACGGAAAATTTCTTTTGAAAAAGTGAAATGTTTTTTCAGTTTATTAGCTCTACATGAGACTTTATTATCATCATCATTCAGACGCCTTCACAAATCCTTCGAGAGATCGCGCGAGACGAGGTGAATGACTGATTGTCGGAAGGCAAACTTTTCCCGTCCCACCGTCCTTTGCACCTGAATTAACACAGTGAGAGAGTCGACTGGGTACGAGTGAGATTTACACAACCATCACCTTTACCAATCTACCACATGGTTTCAAGACACACTATTGCCAGTCCACCAATGTACTCACCACTAAGTAGTTTTCCCAAATGTGCCAACTCTCATAATTTCCTTTCAGAGCTTCCTGGAGGGTAAGGTGTGCACGTGACCTACGTGACGAACAAAATAGAAAAAAAAAACGTTTTTTCACACGAATGTTTCTTTGAACTTTTCTCCTCCAAAGCTTCCCAGGAATCAGATCGTTTCACTCTTCTTTTTTCTCCCATAAGAAAACCGGGAGACTTATGGGAAGCCAATGAAAGCTCTTTTGCTCTTGGTGGTGACACGTGGCGAACATGCCCTGGTTACTGGTAGTTCTATCACAGCGGAGGACTTAAAAAATAAATAATCCAAGCACATGATAGCCAGACCACATGTTAAAACTAACCTAACGAAAATAACCAAACTGGCCCATGAGTCCTAAAGGAGCTCAGTGGTTAGAGCAGGCTTCATGACCGTGGTTGCAACGGTCAATGGTTCGAATACAACCTTTGCCAGACATTTTATCTTTACTCCACACCTGCGACAAACTGAATATTTATCCCGTCTCAGCTCTTCACCAGGAATCACTACTCAAACTATCAATTGTTTACTCACTTTTGACCATTTTTGATGTAAACATGAGAGAGATTATTCCAAGCTTCCGCGTTCTGTTGGAGTAACGTACACATATGAACACGCCATAATCAGAAAATTTGATAGAATTACTAGGCAATGTCATATGACAATATCTCTCCCATATCGGTGATCAACGCATTGGTGAAAAGGTCAAACTCTCAAACAATCGCATTTATAATGACAAATGGAGTGGTTGACTGTTATTCTTTAACTGATCAAAACAGTGAGATTCAAGAGGCTTGTGCCTTTTTGTTGTTTTTTTTACCACGTCTAACTTCTATAAAGTCTGTAGACAAAATCCAATAGTGTTCACAATGCTCGCTATTTCTCAGGATTTTACAAAAAAAGTGGTTTTTTTTTTGGTTTCTTATGTCACTATTAGAACTGAAAGGGTTTAAGAGGACCACAACACGAAATTCTATCAAACCTGACTGTCGATGGAAACACAGCGATGAAAAGCCTTCGCACAAATTTCCAAATCATTTGTCGCCAGTCCCGCACATCCAAGCGAGAACCACACTCCTTCCTAGAAAATACATGATGAATTTTTACAGTGCAGGTTATCTAGTGAATCAGCTTCAACAGACCCTCAAAATAGAGAATTAAAATGTTAGCTTCCATGGTAAGAACCTACTACAGTTGTCCGTGTTTTGCTACTTCCTCCAAATAGATCGCAGGTTACCACAGAGTAACCAACAAACATTAGGACAACTTATTTTTTAAATTCTAAACCACCGGTTTAGAACGTCGAGAGGAGACTGTTTCAACTGAATCTACATGGCATGATGAAACGGAATCTGTATCAAGTGTTTAAACGCAATAATTTTCATTTGTCGTAGATTTTAAAGGATACCGTGGTTGAGTAATACTCTGTGGACTGCTATACCTTTCAAAGATATTCTGATTAAGTTTTTCTGATTGTCGCAACCGGTCTGTAGCGGGAGGTCGTGGGTTCAAACCCCGGCCGGACCAACACTAGTTTTAAATACAGGAGACTGGTTATGAAGGCTGGCAAACATCAAGTTGAAAACAACCTGGCACTTAAAGAACCCAGTTTACGTTGCCCGTGTAAGCTCCACTTTCACCGTGCATCAATCCATTTTCATATTTTTTTAAGCAGTCTGGTCCCCGAACCAGTCTTGTAAATTATCCCTGAAAAGCCCTGACTGAATAAGATCAATTTACAATGTATCGATGTCAGTTTACTTGGAAGCTCCCTCACAGTGCATAATTTTTTTTTTTGTTGACAAATAAATAAATCAATGTTCTCTTTTTAGTCAGAAATGATAGGAATTCTATTGAACGTTGTACAGTCAGGTTCAAAAAAGCTAACAAAAACATATAACAAAGGAGTCTAACGTGTTTCATAACAATTCCACTTTAATAACTATGGTACGTGCAATACCGTATAAATTTATCAATCTTACCTTTTTAAGAAAGATTTTTCACCGGCCATATTACAACACAATGAATCTTAAACGGTATAACTAAACTGAGAGTAAATTGTTCTCAAACTGAACCGGTTATTAATTAAGCTCACTCTTATCGTTCAATGTAATACAAATAAAAGTAGACTAAGTTTTCGCGTGTCCTACCTGTAAAGAGTTGATTTCCAGTGACTTTTGAAAGCAAGGTATTGATTTGGCGTACTAGAAAAGCAAAACAATTGGGCCAATTCTTTCTCATTCATGTCAAAAATACTTTAACTTAACAGAAACTCGAGAAAACAATAAACTGCTTCGTAAATAGATGAAGAAATTGCTCAAGACAAAACTTTCTTTCCACAAAGTGACACGATAAAAACTTGGTCAGCCCTGACCACTAAAAAAAGGGTAAATCCTACTCGACAGCTGGCTTGTAATTCTTAAAATGAGCTCTAAAAAGACAGAGAATTTTGGAGTGAAATGATTTTCATGGAACTATTTTAACTCGAGTATTCATCTTGCGTATGAAAGCTTTATGAAAGAACTTCTGAGGAATGACGGAAACAAGGAAGAGCATTCTCACCGACCTCTTTATTTCTCAAGTGGATGAATCCCAGGGATCTTTGCGCTCTGGAGCTGCGATGCCCTGATATTTCCCAGGCTTTCTCATAACAAGAAGCATCCTAAAGAAATAAATACGTATTTTTGTCAAAAAAAAATTAATTAAAATAAACAAACCACTAGCCTATCCGAGTAAATCAGAAACATAAGAATAGGCTTTTTAATAGGGAGATACTAAACTCAAATCTTAAAGTTAGGGATATCCGAACATCCGTACCGGTTTGCACTCTGCTTAAAGTTGAAACCTCATACGTTACAACAATAATTCAGTGTACCTTTAATGTATCACCTAACAAACACCACAGAAGTGCACTTTCATTTATCTTCAGCTGTTCCCGTAAGAGGTTTTCTGCCTGTAAAACAAAACCTCGTAAGCATGAGAACATGTCGGACACAGAAAGTTCACAATAACTATTTCTTGTTGTTGTTGTTTATTTCTTCACTATTTTAACAGCGGGCTAGGAACACTAGTTCACCCTGAACACTCTTGTCCTCTTGATTCTGTTTAGACGTTCTCAAAATCCTTCGCGGTTACAGGGGGGACCCGACCGGATACGGGGAAGGGAGATTACGCTAACCTTTCACACACTTCGTGCACAGCGGTCATCCCGCTCGCACGATTTCACGCTCCGCGATGCAGACCACGGCTATCGCCTTTTCCGAAAGCCTTGCACACATTTTGCTTGTAAAGAGGAACCCCGCCTTACGGCCACCTCGGTAATACCATCACCTCGTTATGACGGCCACCGTTTTTTTAGCCAGGCAAAATGGCCATACATTTCCTTTTAAAAACCCTCGTTAATGCGGTCAGCCTTTAATACGATCAACAGCCACATTTTAAAAATCCCAGACAGTAGAATCATCTATAATATCACCTCGTTAATACGGCCACTCGTTCGAAATTTAAAAAATTAAGATGTCTGTGACATGCCATTTCCTTGACCTAGTAAGCTGGGCATGTTCTTGTATAACCTGAGATCAGGCATCTTTTTTTTTTTTTTTGGCTTCTTTGGCTCGAGAGGGAAAAAAAAATAACGCCTGATACATTTATTTAACAAGCAGTCAACCGCCCCCTAATTTACATGATCTACCGTTTGCTTGACCTGTCATGTTTTTAGCCAATAAGCGTTTACCAAACGGGAATCAAATTTTGGCGCGATCTTTTGAAATCATGATCAGTTTTAGGGGAAAAAAATTTTTTAAGTACGTCCGTGTTCAGATGGCGCTTCGTAAAAAATAAAAAAAAAATTAATGTGTTGTTTTTGTGATGAAATACTGCTAGCTGGAGCTGTCGTACCTTTGTGAATAGCTACAAATAATAAAGAATTTACTGGTTAAAGCTCGTTGACTTCGTTCTGTACTACGAAAGCAGTGGAAAAAAAATTAGGCTGAAGCATCATATTTCACGAACTGAAAGGTGTTGTGAAAGCGAAGATCGCTCAGAATAATTCGCAGCATGATTTCTGAAGGAGGAAATACAGTCAAACCAGGTCAAGATTCCATTCATGAATTGATTATTTGAAAAGTGAACCCGTTTGTCGCTTCTGTAACTTGTAGCCGGTATCAAATTGCATTCAAATGATCGGTGAAGTTTTGACTGCAACTGTTTTGGTATACGTTGAGATGGTAAATATTTCAATGGATGAAACTTCTATTTAGGCATTCTTCAAATTCAAGAAAACTGAGCGGGCAGAAATTTCATAACGAACTCGCGTGTGTATTCACTGCTTATTACGCAAGCAAAAATGCAGACTGAAATCAACAACAACTAACGGATGGCGTCATTTTGGCCAATCGGAACAGCGCAAATCATCCGCATTGTTTCCTATCCAATCAGAAAAAAGTCCAGATTCTGGCATTTTTACATGTGATCCGACAAAGAAATGTATCATGCCCTCTTCCCGTGAGAGACATAAAGGGATAATAGGGAGAGGGCATGATCTCAGGCTAGTTCTTGTATTGTTTTTAGACCACAGCACACTTAAAATGCATTTAAGGCTGTTTAATAGCCAATTTTTAAACGTGTTTTATGTGCTAAAGGAAGATTACCAGTAGTTTTTACAATTACTGCACGCGATATCTACATTCCGGTTATTGTTCAAGAAGTCATTAAATTTGAACCTGCCCCGGTAATACGGCCACATTTTGGGGGGCCCATTGGTGACCGTTTTAACGGGGTTCCACTGTACTGAGAATTATTCATCGTGCCAAAATTAGTTCGATGTCTGTACATAAGAATTATTGACCAATCAGACCAAGCTCGTTCACCGGTCAAGATGGCTGGATATTATATTGCGGGCCAAGTTCTTTTTTGCGTTTTAATGGACGGAGATGGAGTCGAGGTCAATAAAAACGCAAAAAAAGAACGAGGCAAATTGCCAGCCGTCTTGACAAACAGACGGAACGTAAGTTTATTGAATGCTTCATTTTAATTCTTAGTATGAAATTCAAATAGTTTAAGAAATTCTGTATCAGTCTCCACTAACCTTAGCATACCATCCTAAACTTTGATAACAGGTTACCACATCCTCCCAGGAGTTGATCCGCTCAAAAATCTCCAAAGCACCCTTGACTACACCCATTTGAAACAGCAAGTTGGCTAAATCTCTCTACAAATAAAATCAATAGCACTTATAAACTATGGTTACTTCTCATAAACTATGGTAAGTCGTTAGTCATCGATTATCAGACACACTCGTCTTCTAAAAAGAACCTTTTCAAAAGAGAACGTCGAGTCTGATATTGATTTATGAGCCTTTTCAATTTACGAACAGACAAAACATGCACGAACGAGCTAAAAGCATTATTATTCACTCGATTCTCATTGAACAATAAACACGTTAATGATTCATTACACAATGGAACATCAACGTATTTTTTCCTAGGAACGCCATTTGAAAGAAATCCAAAGAACACCTTTGCATTAATGGCAAATAAAAATAACTGGCCAGGTCTTAAACGGCTATTCTGCTACCATACGATGAAACTCTTCTGAACAGACCCAATTTAAGCTCGAGAATGAAGCCCTCCTCATGCACGATCTGATCAACGTTTATGCTTCCATATACCCTACCTGAATGGTCCACTTTGGTGGAAGGGGTACAGAGTAAAATAATGCTTGCCTCTCAGCTGCCTAAAAAGTTCGTTAAAAAATCGTTATTTACGACAGACTGAGTGCATTTCACCCTACACCAGGAAAAAGTGAAAAAATGAAGGAAGCTTCCTTTGTTTATGCATAATTTTAAATTAAACCGTCACTGCATTCCTGTGATCAAAGGTACAACTCAAGGATTGGTCTAGTTTCTTGGTTCTGCGGACAGGGGCAATCACCAAAGGATGTAATACAAAAGATTGAAAAGAAACGTCCAATAATACTCACATCACAACACAACCGCAAACCAACAATGGTTTCCACAACACCAAGAAACAACCAGGATTGGGGGGAACAAAATACAGTGATTTGTCTGAATATTGTCCACCCAAGCCGTGACTTTCATTGTTTATGTACGCTTACCAGAGCGGAACTGACCAGAAAGGTCTCAACAGGATCCATTATTTATATTTATATCCTAGTCAAAGAAGAACCTTATACTGCACCTTTGGGGATGGATTTTCAATTGAATCTACCAAAGCCTGTAAAAAAGTAAAAAATAAAAAAACCAACAGTTACCAGCGCCGTACAAACGACTTATTGACGAGATCAAGCAAAACTAACTACGAGAGAACGACTGGAGAACTGACAATTTGACTAACAACAGACGACTGTTGAACTGTGACAACAGACGGATCGAAACGCACCAATTACTGATTACGAGTCTTCATAGCCAATGACATCACGGCTTAACTGACAGGCGACCAATAACATCGCAACGTAATTGACCAATCAGATCAATAACCAGAGTATAATACCATCAACTGATGTGATACAACTCACTTTGAGTCTGAAGATGACTACCGCACAGGTTGTCGAAACGTCAGTCACTGTCAACAACAACAGTCCTATTCACTACTACGTTCACTCGGACAATCAAACTCAAACTACTTTTGAAAAAAAAAACATTGTCCCAAACTAACAATACAGCTACTATAAAATCAGCAATACAACTGTTGGCACTTAAACAGTTCTCTTTATCAGGTCACCTCAAACTCCAAATGTATAAAAATGCAGTCAATTATACATCATATACCTGTAGCTGCATCATGGATCGCTCCATCTTCCTTCTTGAGTCCTTTTCCAATCTGCTTCTCATCAGTAATGCCATCATTTGAACACACCAAGATTTGGGTTGACTTGTAATCACCTAATAATATAAAATAACAGTCATTTGTTGTATCATAATCATTACTTTACACAAAGATATGAATCTGTATCTTAATGTGCCATAATTACATGCATTTTAATCCAGCAAAACGTGTTTCATTAGATCATGCAAAGCAGGAACTTTAAAATGCATGTGACATAGAACAATTTGATTCAAGTGAGCCAAAATTAATGTTTCTATTCAGGGTGTAGGTTTGAAAAAGAAATGTTACAGCAAAAATCCATCTATTCTTTTTAGCTGGAGAGATGGCAAACCCATTCCACTAACTTGCTTTGGTAACCAATTATGTAAGCACAGACCAATGTAAGGAAAATACTCTATTAAGTAACATACTTTTGTCTGCATGATTTTCTTTTCTTTTTTGTTATACATGTACATGCCACAGAGTTTTCCAAAGAAACATCTTCATATTATCACTTCAATGATATTGTTTCAAGACTTTGTAGTGAAACCTATTGCATGTGACTTGTGGTTCTAATAATTGAGTTTTAATGCGGTTATTTAATTATCTTACAGTCAAACCAGGTCAAGCGTTCCCGTCGCTAACGAACTAATGAATTCATTCACGGAAAAATGATTTCGTTTGTTGATTCAATAATCCATTCATAAAATGAACAATCCAATAGTCATATTTAGCCTCGATTCCATAATCGAATGTTGATTCGATTACTGTTTTTTGAAAAATTACACTTTCCACAAGTTGACCTCAGAATTTTGGTTTTTCCTCTTTTTTTTTCTGAGAGTCGAGTGCTGGCGAGTTCTGAAGTTCAAACCCAAACAAACTGTTACATGTACGCCAGTTTGCTGCCAGTAATCAGTGCAACAGACCTAGGCCTGACCTCTTAGAAAACACGACGGTCAAACTGAGGTCAGTGTGTGTGCAATGATTGGTGGCATAGGTGTACGGGCCGGGGGGGTGAGGGGGGCTGCAGCCCCCCCCAAATTTTGGGCAACTCAGATTTTTTGGGCAGCGAGAGAAAATTCAGTTTTTAAAGAGGTCTCCATGTTTATTTAATTATTTTAAAGACCTGAATATTAACCTGAAGTCGGCGTAATAATCCAGTTACATTACAGTGGTTGCCTAGCATGTGATGAGTAATTTACATATTTGCAGTTTTTTGTTGGGCACTATACTGCACTGCACTAGCTGGAATGGGCTATTTCCAGTCGTGAATTGGGGGGGGAGTCATTTCGTTGCTATGACAACTCCGATGTCGTTGCAACCCTGATGATGACAAATTTTCATCTTAATACAACTGTGGTCGCAATTTTTCCAAATGTTTGTTTATGGCGACGTAGTTTATGCTAAGACTTCGTATTGACCCTGAAAAACCGTATCGAGCCCCCTTCATATGCCAGGACGGCCTGTGTTGTTGCGATATGGCTCTCATTTCTTTTCGACTCTTTCGTAAATTTTTGGGCAACTTCCGTGAATTTTTTGGGCAAATGGTTTACCGCCCCCCCTGGCAAAAAATTTCCCGTACGCCTATGATTGGTGGATTTCGATCCTCGGCCTTTGTCAGTTTCTTTGCGTTTGCGGTCTGTCTATTCTAGCTGTTATTTTGATTAAAGGCAATGAAAAACGCAATCGTAAACGGCAGGAAAAGGGAAGCAAATACGATTGAACACAACGGACAAGAATAAAGAACAGGTAGATTTTGTTCATAAACCAAATCAACATTTGATTATTGAATCGAGGTACAATTTGACCGTTGGATTATTCATTTTATGAATGGATTATTGAATCAACAAACGAAATCATTTTTCCATTAATGAATTCATTAGTTTGTTAGCGACGGGAACGCTTGACCTGGTTTGACTGTAACATGGCCGATAAAATATTAACATTAAAATTACTGAACCTCTAGGTATGCCAGCAGTTCCTCTGTATTTAGTCTGTGGCAGGCCTGGCTCTTTTGACTTTCAACACTACAAAAAATGATGAAAAAAAAGTATATAATTCCCTACAAGGTAGTCAAAAAATGTGTTAATGTCCAAAATTAGGCAGAAAAATTGCAACCTCAGCATTATTTTGTGTACTTAAATAGTATTACAATAGCACAAACTTTATAGCATTTGCAGAAGAAATGCAAAAAAAAATCACCTCATCTTGGCTGACTATAAAAAGACTAAAATTAATTAATTTTTGAAACATTTTGTCTTCATGTTTAAAGCTGACGCACTCTCCAGGGCTTACTTCACTCTCACATTTTAACATCACAAAATAAATTCCGCTAACTTCAGACAGACATACAGTGTAAGCTAAGTGTACAAAGCTATTATCAATGTATTACTGACTACACTAAATGCAGAGTTTGAGCTGCCTCTGAAGAAATTGTTATTCAAGTTGCCCAAAAAAATGACCAGCAGCTAATGTCTTACGTCAATCCCAGGATGACAGCTTGATCAAATGCACTGAGAGGTTCATTGCTTTCTTGAAAATTCACATCTTGGAATTTGACTTTTTGCAGTAGAGTATCATCATTAAGCATCACATCCTACAAGAAAGTAAATCAATGCAAACATGACACATTATAAACAGTTTTTGCAGGGACTATTATCTAAAGGGTACATTAATACATTTCTGGCATGGGAGGGGGGAGCTAAAAAACTAACCAACAACAGAAAACAAATTGATTTAATTGACAATAAAATGTAAAACTTTCATAAAATTATTTTAAAAAATTACCGTTGGCATGTTTTGTGGTTGATCAGGTTCTTCAAGTGGTTCAGCTAGATGATGGAAATGGAGTTAAAATGAATATCGACTAAAAACATTCTAAAGTAATACTTTTATCATCTGATGGAATGATAAAAGTTAAAAAACAAACAGAATGTATATAAAAATTAATATGCAATTATCCAAAGCTCTGTTTACTACATGTATATGTTACAGGTCAAAATTAAATTCAGGTTAAAAGTTTTTAACCTAGGTTGATTTTAATTTCCTTTGTCTCAGCCCTAATAATAACAGTTTATTATTCATGAATTACAATTTGTAGGGCTAGGATACAAAGAAAATTGAGAATCAACCTAGGTTAAAAAAAATTTGACCTTAGAAGCTTAATTTTGACCTTAACATATACAATTTATGTTATAATCAATGAAAACATTATTATTATAAAAAAATGTCACCAGTAGTTACATAACTTTAAATCCATTTCACTCAAAACCCTGATGATGTAACATACAGCTGTAGTCTATTATAAAACAATGAAATTGTTTAAATCCATATACATGTACCCCTCAATAGTTAGCTATAGTACAGCAAATGATTATACACAGTTGTCACAGCTGAGAGCAAACATGCAATGAACCTACCCCTAAAGTCCTTTTCTTTTCAACCAGAAGACACAACTGAGAGACATCTTTTTGCTGAAACTTTGTTCTTTTTCCAAGAGTACCTAGTGCATTTTTAATACACAATAAATATTTATATTTTGTGGCCCTCAGTAAGATTTTTGTTTCTTAGGTGTTAACTCATCCACTCAAAAAGCTTTTTGATTTTTTATTATTACTTTTGGTGAACTGTACAACATGGACTGTCTAGTTTTTCAACATGTATCAATGTGTTCATATACTCATGATAAAATGTGACTTAAATAGGCCTAGGTTTGGAGCATAGTCATTCCCGCAGTAAAAAAATTGCCTTTTGGAGTGCAGGGAGCTTGCATACTACTGGCCAGGGATAAGACAAACACACAAAAGGTGTATACCCTTTGAAATAGTAATTTCTTTTGTAAGTACGTACTTCTCTTCTTGTTTTACAAGTCCGCGTTTTACCAGTCCGTGTTTTACAAGTCCGCGTTTTACTAGTCCACGTTTTACAAGTCCGAGTTTTACAAGTCCAGTCCAGTCCAGTCCAGTTCGCGAAATACAGTATGCCCTCTTGCTCTCCAGCAAGGCGGTTTTGTAATACATGTACATGTGAATAACAACTGCAAAGGGCCTATTGATACTCTGTAATCTTTGTATATTTTTAAATTTTGACAAATACATTTTACCTGAAAGTTCAACCTTCAAACCTAAATTGGACTGTGCTACACTGAAATGTTCCTATGGATTAATGGGGGGATAAAGAATCAGTAAGATTTAGTATTTTTATTTGATAATTAGCATTACTAAAGCAAATGAGAGAAATATAAGAAGGAAACCTTCATCAATACTCCCAGTTAATGAGCCAAAAGTCTACCTCATTTCCCACTTTTGGGTCTGATTACTGGCCAGTAAATTATTAATTACTAAGAGAAAAACAATTTATACAATCAGATCACAAACTGCCCCCTAGTCCTGCCCCCACAAAAAAATTATGTGTACAATAATGAAGACACTTTTTTAAAAATGTTTATAGAGACCCCTGCTACCCTGCAAAATGTGGAGTTGGGGGTGGACTGCATGGATATTTTCTGGAACCATAGAATCCAGTACTGATAATACCTGTACATATTGTGTATTATTTAGTAACAGGACTACAAGCAGAGTTAGCATCATTTAAGTCAGGGATTTTCGAACCATCATCTTTAACTTATTTCTTTGAACTGGGCTACAAAGCATCATCGACAACACCAAAGAAGTAACAAAAGCTCAAAATTAAAATCATTGTTTATTTCTCTCTCAAATACATATACCGCTACTTAAACCATTAATAAGAAATAATAAAAGCTCTGTCAATATCAGTTCTCTTAGATAATCAGCAAGTATCAACAACAACAACTTTGATTACCCTCGCTCTTTTAAATTCATAATAGTAGAGGTACAAATAGGCCAACTCAAGGTGAACCTGGCTTGATAGATACCTGAAATAAAAAATAGAACAAGCTATTATTAAAGACCAAGGAAACATGTGTTGGTCCCCGATGTTAAGCTAGATCACTGGAAATTTGGAAGGAAAAAAGGTGCAAGCACAGATCTTTAGAATTAGCAACAAAATTGTTGACATACCTGTCATCAGACCCCACTCTCTACCCATACCACCCCTGATACCAATGGCACAATATTGCTTGGGGGGAGAGAGGGAAACTTGCTTGTAGATAGCGTATATGTAGCCAAAAATGGAAAGGTTGTTGAAGACAAGTGTGTTAACTTATTTTGTCAGTGATTGTTGGTCAAATTCATGGGCCAACTTTTATAAACAACTTTTTAGGTCAAAAACAAAAGCTACGGAAATTAATACTGTACTAGCAATTAAGGCAGTCCAAAAAAAACACAAAAATGTACATCACAGAGCCTTGTGTTGCCTTTGGGTTAATGACAAAAAGTAGGAAAGAGGCCAGTAGGGAAAAGAAGATATACAAATATAAAATACACAATAGGGCCATTTATTTGAGGAAAAATAAGACGCGTCTTACATAGGACGCGTCTTAAATAAGACGCGAACTTTTCGTATAAACGGCACATTTCGTCTAAAACAAGACAGGGCTTAGCTAAGACGCGTCTTATTTTAGAACAGCCCTTAACACCTGTTCTTAGATAAGACGAGAAAAACTGCGTATAAATGACCTTCGCACCTTAAATACCGGTAAGACGCGAACGCATAGTATGCATGCGTTAATTTTTGGCGCACCATGTTGGATTGCCGTTGCTACGGGCAACATTTACATGAAAACGAGTCAAGAACAGAAATAAGACGCGAACCATTTATACGAGCTGTTCTCGTCTTAGATAAGACGTGCTCGTATAAATGGTACAGTTCGCGTCTTATTTTTCCTCGTATAAATGGCCCTAATATATAAACAAACAAAACAAAGGTACAATAACAACCCCACCCCCCGCTCCCCAAGCAAAAAAAAGAAAGGAAGGGAAAAAAAAAAGCTCTTCCAGGAATCAAACCCCGCATATCTTGTTCGTTGGGAAATTGGTTACACATATACCACTTAAGGATGAACAACCAATTTGTAAATTAATAATGTTTTACTTAAAGCCTTTCCCATAGAACTTCCACTGGCAAGTGCTGTATTGAACACAAATTCAAAGATATGTTTCAGTAAAATGACCGGTGCTTTGACAGTAAAAACCCAACCTTAAACACATTTCATTGCATTTAAACAACATATGCCCATTAAAGCTGATTATGGTAACTTGTCTGCGAAGTGGGATTGCAAAACATATGCTTTCTTACCTCGATATTTGCTCATATTTAAAAGCTAATGGTTCCACTTTCTCGTTCAAGTAATACTGCCTTCAAAATTCATTGCTAAAGACCATTTCTTAACCTCTAAAGTAGCCGCTAAATCAACCCAGCCAGGTTTGTGGCGGTTTGTTTACTCGCTGCTTTGTTGCTAGGCAACTGTGGATCTCAAACCAATAAAATTATATATCACAAAAGTAAGATCACACTTGGGTAAAGCAATCCTCATGGGAGTCATGCACAAATATTGATTCATTTTACCACACAATCAATGTGAATAATACATGTAAATAAATTATAAAAAAAGATCCTCTTCTACACACCTGTTCTTTTCACAAGAGAGTAAAAGTTTTCTTTTTTCAACTGCAGAGAAAACAATAATAACAAGAAAATAATGAATGAACATGTAACACTGAGGTGACATTCTTGCTTACATATACTGGAATTCTTCAAGTTTTAAGGGATGAAAATAAACCATAATCTTTATAATCAGAGATCAGATACAATGTAATTAATTATAATGGCACAAAACTGATATACTAATCATGAATCTAAGTTAATAGTAGTTACCAATGTACCTAATTAATTCAAAAAGTTTTTAAAGAAACTAACCTTTCTCCATTAAACTAAAAATTGTGTTTTTTGTTGTCTCATTTTTTTCAGCTGAGAGCTGTCTAAGAACTGCTAGACATCGCAAGGTCCAGAGGCAAGCAGTCTGCAAAGGAAAGGATGAGGAAAATAATTTGACCTCTTCAATTTTGTTTGCATCTTACTTCTATAAACAAGTGTAAACTGCAAAATGGGTACTCTGACAGAAACAAAAAAGGGGTGACTGAAATTAAACTGAAAACTTAAAGATGTTTGATTTTATCATTTATATAAGGTTAATTAACATTAGCTTAGAAAACAGCTGACATTTTGCAATGCCACCAATGGTTTCCCTGCAAAAATATGACTTCTGAGAAACAAATTAAGTGCAGAAACTCCATACCAATGTCGTGTCAGTACTCAGATCAGGTAAGTGACACGTCACCAAAGTGGAATTTCTGCACTTGTTTGTGAGATGTCATTGCATGGTGAAACCATTGGTGGTGTCACAAAGTATCGGCAGTTTTCTTAGACCTGGTCAAAACAAGTTTATACACTTTAGATTGTTAATAATTTTACCTGACATTCGGTAAAGTTTTCCTGAAATTCAACTAATATAACTTTTGCAACAAGAAGAAACAATTGACCATCCATCAGAGGATTAGTAATTGGCTGCAACAAAAATTGTTGTTTAAAAAATTAATAAATTGCAGAAGGAATAACCAGTATTGTATTGATCAGACTTTATCTGCAGTTTTATTGTTGTCAATTAGTAGTATGAAAAGTCAGAAAAAAACAAAAATGTCTACAGTGACTTCACTTGAGCCTGAAATTAAACTGCCTATAATAGACCCAAAAAACTTCAGTTCCCTCTGCTAGACTGACAATTTGTCCTTCCACTTTACACTTTGTATGCTTGTAAACCAAAAAGGGGACAATTTTAGATCATGCCCTTTCTTTATCCTGATAGCATACCATTCGACCATAAAAACCCTTCTGTTTAGTAAGAGAGGAAAAGCAGGTTCAAAATTTCTCAGATCAACACTCCCAAAAAATAGGGTTAGGAATGCAGGTGTTGATCTGGTCTGAGTTTTAGGAATTGTCATGGTATACACACCTGCCCATCTTGACTCAGTGTTGCCAGTAATTGCTGGTTAGCTTGCCCATTGTTAGCAAGAACAGGATCCAAATTAGGCTTAGGACCTGTCCAGTTACACTGAATAAAGAGTTCCAAGCAAGCAACTCCGACGAAAAGAATCAGGACATGTCTACAGCACAAAAACGTGAAATTATTTTCATTTAAACAATTATTCCTCAAATCAGAACTCTCTCTACCTACAGTATACTGTATAGAAGTAACTATAAGAAAGTAAGAATTAGCTACCAGTTAAGCCAAACACAGTGATAAATGAATCAATAATTATTATTTCCTTTATCTTGTCTCATGCTGTGCATGTGTTTTGTACAAGTACACTTACCTGAGTTGTACTTCAGTACTCTCCTGACGTTTTAACAACAAAGAAATTTCGTTAATTATTTGATCAACATCTGAAATAAAAATTGGACAGAAAATTTAATATCTAAAGCCCAACCTCCTCCTTCAACAAAGTCATACAATCAGTCCCAAGGAAGGACTCTACACTAAATTATTTAAACGGGGTGGGGATTCTAGCTGGAAAACAGACAACCAAATACAGCGTGCAAAGAAAGTAGTGTCCAACAGCCTGGGGCTAGTGGATTTTGTTATTGGGCTAGTGAATTCTGTTTCTAACTTTCCCCGACAGGCAAGTGATGTTTTTTTAGGAATTCAAATAACAGAAGAACTGTGAAATCAATTCTGCTAGTCAAAACGTTTTTGGGGCTTGTTGAAATGACATCTGGGCTAGTAAATGCTAGCTTCAGCTTTCCCGAATGGCAAGCTGTAAAAATGATTTTCTTTGCACCCTGCAAATAATATGAACTATAGACATGAAGATATTTCATTAAATGTTTTCCCTCTTTCTGTCTCTCTCTCATTTTTTTTAAATTTGTTTATTCCCTTTACATGTTGCCCTGATTGATAACTGCAGGGGAAAAAATATTGGCATCCTGGCCTGAACACCCAAAGTGAGACGAAATTAATTTTGCATACTCCGTTTATAACATGTGCAAGACAACAAGCATTACCACCCCTTTCACGTGGAAGCCTTCAATCCCGGCACAGGATACCCAACCCTCTCCATCCAGTTAATGGGCAATTCCAGAAAATATCCATACCCAACCACGGACGGCTTCCATGTTTTAACCCCCCCTTGCCTTCAGAAATTCCAAAATGCGCTAACCCCCCATGCCCTCAGAATTCCATAGTCGTGAACCCCCCCTCCCCTTCAGAATTTCCGGTCTTTTTGGAAGTACATTTTCGACTTAGCAACGCCTATAAGAACAAACGAACATGAATTTATGCCTCCTCAAGGCTGTGATCTAGCGGCGCCAGGTGACAAGCTTTACTCTTCAGTGACAAGAAAAACCTACGCTAGTTGCCAGGCCGTGCAAACTCCTTTTTAAGTCCGAATTTGGCTATAAAAATAAACACCACTTAAGGTAATTTTACTCCTCTTTGTTTTCTTGTGCTGTTTTGACGTTTACAAAGGAAAATAGCTCAAACAGACTGTTAAAATCTTTTGGCGGTCAAATATACCGTCGAGTCGTGTTGCGTCATTTTATACGTCATGTAGTGCGCCGCAAAAAGCGTTCTAATCTGACAGGCGTTCCTTGGAAGTGAGGGACTGGTGCGAGTTTTTTACTGTTTATCGGACGGTTTCGGACGGGAGTAACAAGAAATTTGCAAGCGGTATTAAAAGATACATTTTCAGTTTTTATTCACGTGACAAGAAATTCATCAAGGTAAATGTGAAACCAACGTTTTACTGTTCACTTCTATAAGTTATGAGCGTAAAACGTGTCTGATCTATCGATGCTTGTCTTCTGCTTCCGCGGTCATACGTTCGTGGTTTATTCTGAACTACAAAAGTCCACAACAATAGCGTTTTCCAGGAACTTACTCTACACTTTCTACTCCAGAAATCCCACCTGTGGAATTCCCCCATACCTTCGGATTTCAAATCGTAAATACCCCCCCATGCCTTCAGAATTCCATAATCGTGAATCCCCCCTCCCCTTCGGAAATCCTTAAAGCCGTCCGTGGTATGGTATGGATATTTTCTGGAATCGCCCAATGTGGGCAACAACAGTCACCCACCTGAGGTCTTTGCATTTATCAAAATTTGTAACAATCATAAACTGACCTGCAGCTGTACACACTGTATTTAATATCTGTTGGGATGTTTTTAACTGTAATGCTGCTACATAGTCTCTACTGCACAGGCAAATAACTGTGGCCTTCAGTTCTTCTAATATATCTATAAGATAGGTCAAGTGATTAAAATTCTGTTTACCTGTAATTTACTTCATGTACAGCAGTATTTAGACTTGAGAATTTGCTCAGAAAAGTTGTGGTAAGGCAAACAGCTGCAGAAGTGATAGTTTTTTACATGTAAACAGACATTCTGGAAAGGTCATAAATTATCAAAACAAAAAGATACGATCCGGTAACCACTATATTACTACTAGTTATGGGGATCGGAATATTATAACTGGAACGTCCCAAACGTGAGCAGAACAAAAACATATGTTTTCAAGCATTACTCACCTGAGTGAATACTATCTTTTTGTAGAGCTTCGATTGAAGAAACAACCTTTCCTTCATTTCTTTCTAACATAGCAAATTCTAAATCATGAAACGCTTCTGTTGGAGCCATTACAGTACTGCTCGGTTGTAAACAAGTCAAAGAGTGAACACGGTCTCGAAATTCCAAATTTGAGCGTTTTCTTCCAGGCGTTCTCGTTTGGAAAGCACGTGCCAAGAGGGTACTACCTGGTGTAAGACTGCCCAAAATGTCCCGGGCCACTACTGAACAGCAACCTCGGGACATTTTGGGAAGTCTTACACCAGGTACTACCCTGCCAACCAGTAGTGCCAGTAGCAAAGCGGTCACGCAATTAATGCCTGGAGCATTCGTGCAGTCGATATGGCAAATACCAGAGTGAGAACTCTGCGGTTTGTACCGACTTGTTTTGTTACATCAGTCAGATATCTTGCAAGTAACTCTTCGAAATTATTTAATGTCGGAGACGAAGCAGAACTTCGGCAAGTTATTTCTGCTGAAGATGTTCGAAACTTTGCGCAGCTAACAGGTGATGTGAACCCCATTCATCTCGACGAAAACTATGCCAAGAAGACTCGCTTTGGAAGGACTATTGTTCATGGCGTTATACTAAATGGGTAAATGGAATTTTACCCTTTTCATCTGCTTTTTGTACAAGTTTACCGAGATTTTGACCCTCAAGTATTGCTTAATGGTGAAATCATTTTATCTTTAACAGGGGCGGATTTTTTAGGAGGGGGGTGCACTCGTCTCTTGCTCTACTTCAACACCAATAAACCACATAGTTTTTTCTTTGCAGAATACCAGTTGTATTAGAAAACCGCAGGTCATCTCAGGGGGAAGGGGGGGTGTGCACCCCCTGCACCCTCCCCTTAGATCGGCCCCTGTTTAACCAAGACATCACCCACAGATGTATGTATTAAGGGTGAGACAAAAGGCTAATAAGAACAGAATTACAAATCAGTCTCATCTTTTTCTATGGAGAAAATGGATTTGCAATGTCCTGAAGGCGTTTCCTTCCTAAGAAACCTGAAATTGAGTTTCTGGCTGAATTTTATCCTCGATGGCACAAGGTGTTATGCATCACAAAGTTAGTTCCCTTATTTTGTGTGTTACCCTTGGGCAAGAGTTTGGCTACTTACTGATATTTGATCGGCATAAGTTTCCCCTACCCTGGGTTGATGGCTAACATTTTTGTACTAGTCCCATCCCCTTGCTCATTTGTATTTGCTAAATTCAGTGACTATAATAAGTAGGAATATGATCATCTTGGTAGTACTATGGTCCTAGTAAGCACTGTAATGTTGACGGTGACTGAGGTTTTGACAACTTTTGCAGTAGTCATCTTCAGAGTCAAAGTGAGTCGTATATATTTGTCATTTCTTGGTTCTCTGGTTATTGATGACCTGATTGATCAATTAAGTTGCTGTTATGGGTTGTCTGTCAGTTGAGCTATGATGTAACTGTATTACTTGTATCACTTTACTAATGTTTATCGGTCTGTTTTATGCATGGTAATACGTCCACATTTTTGTATTTCAGATTGATTTCCACTATCCATGGAACTAAGCTTCCAGGTCCTGGATGTATGATGTTGTCCCAAGCCTTTAAATATCCTGCGCCATGTAAGTGAGTTCATGGCGATATTTAATGGTGCAGATTTCATATAGCAAGATTGTTAGAAAGTGTTTGAAGTGAATTAAGCCAATAATCACAATCATTATGCTGTCATTCCCTTTCTTCTTTAAGTAGGATTAGGTGGATCAAAGAAAGATCATTCCCATTGAGAGAAAATCATGATTAATCACATGCAATAATTATTTATTAATACTGGACATGTTAATTTAAATCTTGGAGCAACGTTACAGGGAAGTTGTTTTAGTGAAGAGGGTGCATGTTTCCTGTCTACATTTTAAAACTCTTTGTTGTGTGGATTTAGGAGGAAGCCATTTTCATGTTGGTATTTTAATCATGTTATATTTTTGCTTGTCTTTGTGGTCTTGTATTGTTTATGGAACTGTTTCAAAGCCATGCTTCCTATCAGAAATCATTTACCCCATTGTGGGTATATGGCCTCACTTGGGTTAAAGAGTAATAAAATAATGGTCTTCATACTGCGGTAGGATTTGCTCAGTCGGTAGAGTGCTTTACTGCAGAGCAGGAGGTCACAGGTTCGATTCCCGGGACCAGACCAATACCCAGCGTCTTAAAATAACTGAGAAATGAAGTTACTTCCTTTGCCTTGCAAACAACTAGACCTTTGTGTGGCTCGGATTACCAAGTAAAATGGCGTAAAAATTAGTGTCTTAATCAGTACTTTCGTGCTAAATACATTGACTCTCAAAAAAGTGGTCAATTTTTTATCAAGCAACATGATGCTTACAACAAGTGAATTTGTAACAGCAGTATGTTGATGTTATAAGTAGTATTAGAAGTACAGTTACTGTAGCAGTGGTTAGAAGCAGCAGTAATACATGTATTAGCTGCATTAACTAGAGGTTTGCTGTTTTAGTTTAGGTTTTTTACATTAGTTTGTTGTCATGATCTTTTCGTTTTAATAACATCTTAATCATGCTTATATCTCCGTTAAGTGTTTCCTGGAGAAGAGGTCCTTGTACATGTCAAGGTGGCAGAATCAAGGCATTCCATAATGACTTGTCATGTTTCATGTACTGCAGTTCAGAGAAATATGGTAATACTACATTCTAAAAGTCAGTTACACTGCTTGATCATTTTAATATTACAGCAACCATTTGCCATTTTTCGGAATCTGCTCTCTGTGCATACAGAGAAAGTTTTCGGAATCTGCTGTCTGTGCATGCAACAAAATAAACAAAATGGTGCATCAGAAGGATCTATCATTTATTGTCATATTGTAATGTAGTGGTCCTTGCCAGGGCTGTGTTCTAGCAGTGCCCCATGGCCCCTGGCACCTTTCTTTTGATCTTGGGTATTTCTTTGCTGGGCACCCTGCTCAGAGCTCTGGGCTCCCTTCAATTAGCACTCGTGACAAGACTCTGTCCTTCTTTTTGGAAGTGAAAGGGTCAAATATTACTGAGGTGTCATTTAACTTACTTAATCTTCGTTGTAGGTTGTTCTCTCAGGCAAGACAAAATTACTGGTTCCCCGTAAATTGGATGAGAAACAGTAAAATGGAGGATTGTTTTGTAAGTGTGTTCTTACTATTTTTAAGTCAAATTCCACCCACTAATTTTTCCTAGCCAAACAGAAAAACATTATTTTAATTTATAATTGGAAGCCAACCTTGTGTTTCAGGGATGTTCATATTGAGTTTTCTCTGTGTGCAAGAAAATAATATTTATAATATGATACCTCTTATTATTAAAAGTGTCATTGCAGCCAAGGATGTTCCATTGATTACGTAGTCTCACTTTTGTAGTTTCTTTGTTTTCTTGCTTTAGAAAAGAGATTTGTGTTTGTTACAGTGACGAAAGGAGAAATCTCATCTCATTTTAGTTCACTTTGGGGAAGATTTAAGCCTAAGAATTTTCTTAAAATTTTAGTAAAATGTGTTGGCCAGTTCAGGTATGGTCCGTTGTTCCATGATATGCACATTGCAACATTTTTCTTCAAAATCTAAGTTAAGTGTACAATTTACATTCAGACGCACTGTAGGTCAAATGGTGAAAAAGGTGTTTGATCCTCTGAGCCTTTAAAATGCGAGAATTTCATGACATCAAATCGTGAAAATCTAAGCAGGTTTTTGTGGCTCACTTCATCCCCAAAATGCAAGTTTGTGATCCAAATGTGGCAAAAAAATCTTTATTACATCAGCACACTACCTTCCAATCAAATCATGCCTTACTGTAAAGTGTGTCAAGAAAACACACTGAATAACTGGCTGCCCGGAGATCATGCTATATTTTCGTTTCACTTGATAGAAATCTGGCCCGACCATGTGCAGAGAACAACTATGGAAGCTGCTAAAATTTGGCTTGATGTAACGTTAGAGAGAAAGTGTGAGAGCTGCTTAAATTTGGCTTTATCCGGCTACGGAAGATTGAATTCATGAGAGTGGAGTAAATTCTGTTTAATCCCACGAAAGAGAGAAAGTAGAAAATTCGTAAAAATTTTTGCCTGATCCAACGAAATGGAATGTATCAGAAGAGCCGCTAAAATTTGACTTGATTTCACGTTAAAAGGAATGTATCAGGGGCACCCAACGAGAATAAAGTTCAAAACCTCTTAAACATAGCATTGTTAAACGTATTTTAGCATTTAAACGATCGATATAGGCATATTTTTATCCCCTAAAAATTTTTCATCTATTCGGAGTTCCTAGCTGAAAGTCTAGTGATCCGAAAATTATAGGGATCGAAACTTATCTTTTCGAAAACTTCAGCCAGAAAAAAAGGCTCACGAAAATTCTAGGTGACCTTTTTAGGGTAAAAATCCGTTAAAAATGGGCAATTAGACCATGTTTTAGATGTTCGAAAATCCTAGGAGAGGCATGCAAGAAAGAAATTTTACAACAAATGTTCCGAAAATTCTAGATCTCAAATCGTCTTCCGAACAGATATTTTCCGAAAATTGACGTTGGGTGCCCCTGATGTATGAAAGTTTCTAACATTTGGCCTTGTCCCACGTAAGAGAATTTATGAGAGTGGCTTGACTCCACCATGAAACGTGAGTAAATGTATGAGAGTTGCGAAAATTCGGCTTGGACTTCAGCCACAAATACGTTCTGATGTTTAAAAAAAGAGATTAAAATATTAATTTCTCGAGTTTATCGAACGATGGAGATTTCATGTATAATCGTGTATAATATAATAAAAATATTAACACTGTATTTGAAGAAAGAAGACTGTCAAAGAAAAACACTCTTCCCAGACTCTCTGAGATTATGGCCAGAAAGGGAAAAAATAAACTTACCTTCAAACAATGGGGACGAGGTTGAGTTGTTTTGGTTGTGAAAACAAAAAATGGTGGACATTTCACTCGTTTCAGGAGTAAGAAATAGGCGAAAAAATAGCTGAAAACATGGCAAGAACAGCAAGAAGACAACTCGAAGGGCGACATCTGCTATTTGGAGAATATTTGCGGAGCTGAACAACCCTAAAGGTGCACTATCGAAGGTTAACCTAACATCAATGGGGGTAAGCATGTTTTAGCTTTGTTTTTAAACTAGGAATTATTTTGAATGAATAATGAAACAATTATTGAATTCGGCTCTCGTATCATATGAAGAATTATGGAGATCTCGTCTTAATAAGATACTCAGCCTCATTCATTAATTGTTAAATATATTTCTAACACGCTGTTAATTTACTGAACTTTTTAAAAGTTTATTTAAAAAGTGCCAAGTGTTTGAAAACTGGAACTACAGTTACTACTGGCGCCATTTTGTGAACAGAATTTCGACTTGGTCGAGAAGCGTCAGAAAAATGCGAAGATAGTCGTATTAACAAATTCTTTATATATCCTGGTCAATGTTTTCACTTAATGGTGATTGAAATCCAACTAAATAAATTAAAAAACGCCTCCGACGTTTTACCGCGGTTTACTTTACTAGCAGGATATTCTCGTTTTAACCTTCCGTCCGCATACCGTGGATTAACACGTAAATTGACCCATGTATAAACAGAATTGGTGGTTTACCCTTTTGCTTAAACCCGATTTAAGCTGAACGTAGTTTTGATAGTCGACTTAATGCATTTATGTTTCAGGGGTTTAGTTTTTAGTTTTGCTCCGTTTTACTTTGCCTTGTTTTAAAAGTATCAGGTATAACAGATTTTGTTTCATAAGAAAATAGTTGATCCTTAATTCTGTTCGTATTAAGGGATATGAATAGCCTAAGTCTTTCTCAACAGAGTGCCAGTACCAGACGATATCGTTTCCAAAATTTTGTGAACGTACTTTTTCCTGGTCAATTTGTCATCTGTAAAAACTCCCAATGATTTCATTCACGACGTGGTTGATAACCCCAAGTGTCCCGTCAGTTTGTATTAAGATTTGCTAATTGTTTTGCAGCCATAATCTTTGGCGTTGTGTTCAGCAGATTTGGCTATAATTACCCAGACTTCATTTATGATCCATTGTTCATCTTCTTTCGACAGAAGTGAAGGTCAGACCGAGTCCGCAGGGTAATTTAAGTATCATCAGCATTCGCTCTTCATGCAGTCCTCTTCAGATGATTGATTTGGAGAGGTTGTTAACTTATAATATGAGAAAAGTAAATGTGCTCTAATATCATAGTATCCTGAATACCTACCCCACAAGTGATTCGTTTGGCTTGAGATAGACGGCCATTGACTTTGCACTTTTGGCCTCGATTACTTCGGATACAACACAAAAAAAACCACTTAAATCCCTTATAAAGCTTGCGTAATAGTGTGTGATGATCAAAAGTGTCAAGGTTTTTTAAGTCGATACAAATGACGTTGCTAAACGAACTTTTGTCAATTTTCCGGACCAACCCACGAGGATTCTATTCAGCAAAGCTGTTCAAGTAGTACTACATTTACGTAGTATCAAGACCGATGGTTGCGTAATAGACTATATTGATCAAAGTTTTGATAAATTGACCAGAGATGACTTTTTCAAATATTTTGACAACTTTTGGAAAAACAGATATTTTCCTGCAATAGTTGACGTGTAACCTTGGCTTAGATTAATCTTAGTTTTAGGCGTTACCTGAGCTTTTTCACTTCCTTTTACAAGGAACTATTCCAACACTAATCATAACTATAACAAAATTCTTAAATCTGATTGGCTATCAACTGCCCCGATTTCAGCCTTAATATGACAGTTAAATAGGACAGTACGCGTCATGCTTAAGCAATTGGACAGTACGCGCCATCAGGCGCTCGCTTAAATGGCTTTTTTTCACTGCTAGCAAAGAAAATCTCGGAATTTCTTGTGTTTTGATTAAAAAAAACAACTTAATATATCACAAATTTTGTTAAAGTTATGATTAATTGGTAACAGAACTTCGTGTCGTCCAATTCGGTCTGTAATCATACTCGTGATTAAACAAATCGGACTCCCGCTACGCGGTCGTCCGATTTTGTTAATCACTCGTATGATTACAGACCAAATTGGACTCCACTCAGTCCTGTTACCATTACTTATTGAATAATGCACAGGAATATCTCCCACAAAATTCAAAAGGTCAAAATAAATGTGATCAAACACATTCAGTGTTGTCTTAGCATCAGGCTTTTCTCGTTTTTAAGTTACCACTAATTAATAGCTGAAATGTTTTTATCAGTAAACGTACGAGTTAAAAGTATTAGTTTACGATTTCATTCAACTGAACCGGCCGGCCGGCAGAGCCAGTGAACATCTCGTGGTCGAGCTCCCTCCCACCCACTCAGTTCTTGATTGGTTTGAAAGTTACATGTAGTAGATAGAAACAAAGTTAAAAGGACTACTTTATTTTTCTGCCTCCTCTGCAAGCCGGGACATATTGGTATCCGTAGATATGTTTGTTTTTCCTTTTTACGCCTGTTAGGGTTCATAAGGTGTTAATACCCTGCCGAGCGAATGTTGTGATTTCTCGCAAGAGTAAATGCCGCAAAAATAACGACTTTATTTTGGGCCGCTGAGTGACATTTCGTCAAATTCTAAATTCGGCAAATTTCGGCAAATTCTAAATCATGAAACGCTTCTGTTGGAGCCATTACAGTACTGCTCGGTTGTAAACAACTCAAAGAGTGAACACCGTCTCGTTTGGAAAGCACGTGCCAACCGGGTAGTAATTGGTGTAAGACAGCCCAAAATGTCCGGAGCCACTGCTAAACAACCCCGAGACATTTTGGGAAGTCTTACACCAACTACTACCATGCCAACCAGTAGTGCCAGTAGTAAAGCGGTCACGCAATTAACGCCTGGAGCATTCGTGAAGTCGATATGGCAAATGCCAGAGTGAGAACTCTGCGGTTTTTACCGACTTGTTTTGTTACATCAGTCAGACATCTTGCAAGTAACTCTTCGGAATTATTTAATGTCGGAGACGAAGCACAACTTCGCCAAGTTATTTCTGTCGAAGACGTTCGAAACTTTGCGGAGCTAACAGGTGATGTGAACCCCATTCATCTCGACGAAAACTTTGCCAAGAAGACTCGCTTTGGAAGGACTATTGTTCATGGCGTTATACTAAATGGGTAAATGGAATTTTAGCCTTTTTCATCTGCTTGTGCAGGTTTACCGAGATCTTTACCCTCAAGTATTGCTTAATGGTGAAATCATTTTATCTTTAACCAAGACATCACCCACAGATGTATGTATTAGGCTAATAAGAACAGAATTACAAATCGGTCTCATCTTTTTCTATGGAGAAAATGGATTTGCAATGTCCTGAAGGCGTTTCCTTCCTAAGAAACCTGAAATTGAGTTTCTGGAAAATACCGAATTTCATCCTCAATGGCACAAAGTTTTATGCGTCACAAAGTTAGTTCCCTTATTTTGTGTGTTACCCTTGGGCAAGAGTTTGGCTACATACTGATATTTGATCGGCAAAAGTTTCCCCTACCCCGGGTTGATGGCTAACATTTTTGTACTAGTCCCATCCCCTTGCTCATTTGTATTTGCTAAATTCTGTGACTATAATAAGTTGCCGGAATTTGATCATCTTGGTAGTAGTGTGGTCCTGGTAAGCACTGTAATGTTGACAGTGACTGAGGTTTTGACAACTTGTGCAGTAGTCATCTTCAGAGTCAAAGTGAGTTGTATATTGTCATTTCTTGGTTCTCTGGTCATTAATGACCTGATTGATCAATTAAGTTGCTGTTATGGGTTGTCTGTCAGTTGAGCTATGATGTAACTGTATTACTTGTATCACTTTACTAATGTTTATCAATCTGTTTTATGCATGGTAATACATCCACATTTTTGTATTTCAGATTGATTTCCACTATCCATGGAACTAAGCTTCCTGGTCCTGGATGTATGATTTTGTCCCAAGCCTTTAAATATCCTGCGCCATGTAAGTGAGTTCATGGCGATATTTAATGGTGCAGATTTCATGTAGCAAGATTGTTAGAAAGTGTTTGAAGTGAATAGCCAATAATCACAAGCATTATGCTATCATCCCCTTTCTTCTTTAAGTAGGATTAGGTGGATCAAAGAAAGATCATTCCCATTGAGAGAAAATCATGATTAATCACATGCAATAATTATTTTTTAATACTGGACATGTTAATTTAAATCTTGGAGCAACGTTACAGGAAAGTTGTTTTAGTGAAGAGGGTGCATGTTTGCTGTCTACATTTTAAAACTCTTTGTTGTGTGGATTTAGGAGGAAGCCATTTTCATGTTGGTATTTTAATCATGTTATATTTTTGCTTGTCTTTGTGGTCTTGTATTGTTTATGGAACTGTTTCAAAGCCATGCTTCCTATCAGAAATCATTTACCCCATTGTGGGTATATGGCCTCACTTGGGTTAAAGAGTAATAAAATAATGGTCTTCATACTGCGGTAGGATTTGCTCAGTCGGTAGAGTGCTTTACTGCAGAGCAGGAGGTCACAGGTTCGATTCACGGGACCAGACCAATACCCAGCATCTTAAAATAACTGAGAAATGAAGTTACTTCCTTTGCCTTGCAAACAACTAGACCTTTGTGTGGCTCGGATTACCAAGTAAAATGGCGTAAAAATTAGTGTCTTAATCAGTACTTTAAATGCTAAATACATTGACTCTCAAAAAAGTGGTCAATTTTTTATCAAGCAACATGATGCTTACAACAAGTGAATTTGTAACAGCAGTATGTTGATGTTATAAGTAGTATTAGAAGTACAGTTACTGTAGCAGTGGTTAGAAGCAGCAGTAATACATGTATTAGCTGCATTAACTAGAGGTTTGCTGTTTTAGTTTAGGTTTTTTACATTAGTTTGTTGTCATGATCTTTTCATTTTAATAACATCTTAATCATGCTTATATCTCCGTTAAGTGTTTCCTGGAGAAGAGGTCCTTGTACATGTCAAGGTGGCAGAATCAAGGCATTCCATAATGACTTGTCATGTTTCATTTACTGCAGTTCAGAGAAATATGGTAATACTACATTCAAAAAGTCAGTTACACTGCTTGATCATTTTAATATTACAGCAACCATTTGCCATTTTTCGGAATCTGCTCTCTGTGCATACAGAGAAAGTTTTCGGAATCTGCTGTCTGTGCATGCAACAAAATAAACAAAATGGTGCATCAGAAGGATCTATTTATTGTCATATTGTAATGTAGTGGTCCTTGCCAGGGCTGTGTTCTAGCAGTGCCCCATGGCCCCTGGCACCTTTCTTTTGATCTTGGGTATTTCTTTGCTGGGCACCCTGCTCAGAGCACTGGGCTCCCTTCAATTAGCACTCGTGACAAGACTCTGTCCTTCTTTTTGGAAGTGAAAGGGTCAAATATTACTGAGGTGTCATTTAACTTACTTAATCTTCGTTGTAGGTTGTTCTCTCAGGCGAGACAAAATTACTGGTTCCCCGTAAATTGGATGAGAAACAGTAAAATGGAGGATTGTTTTGTAAGTGTGTTCTTACTATTTTTAAGTCAAAATCCACCCACTAATTTTTCCTAGCCAAACAGAAAAACATTATTTTAATTTATAATTGGAAGCCAACCTTGTGTTTCAGGGATGTTCATATTGAGTTTTCTCTATGTGCAAGAAAATAATATTTATAATATGATACCTCTTATTATTAAAAGTGTCATTGCAGCCAAGGATGTTCCATTGATTACGTAGTCTCACTTTTGTAGTTTCTTTGTTTTCTTGCTTTAGAAAAGAGATTTGTGTTTGTTACAGTGACGAAAGGAGAAATCTCATCTCATTTTAGTTCACTTTGGGGAAGATTTAAGCCTAAGAATTTTCTTAAAATTTTAGTAAAATGTGTTGGCCAGTTCAGGTATGGTCCGTTGTTCCATGATATGCACATTGCAACATTTTTCTTCAAAATCTAAGTTAAGTGTACAATTTACATTCAGATGCACTGTAGGTCAAATGGTGAAAAAGGTGTTTGATCCTCTGAGCCTTTAAAATGCGAGAATTTCATGACATCAAATCGTGAAAATCTAAGCAGGTTTTTGTGGCTCACTTCATCCCCAAAATGCAAGTTTGTGATCCAAATGTGGCAAAAAAATCTTTATTACATCAGCACACTACCTTCCAATCAAATCATGCCTTACTGTAAAGTGTGTCAAGAAAACACTTCTATACACACTGAATAACTGGCTGCCCGGAGATCATGCTATATTTTCGTTTCACTTGATAGAAATCTGGCCCGACCATGTGCAGAGAACAACTATGGAAGCTGCTAAAATTTGGCTTGATGTAACGTTAGAGAGAAAGTGTGAGAGCTGCTTAAATTTGGCTCTATCCGGCTACGGAAGATTGAATTCATGAGAGTGGAGTAAATTCTGTTTAATCCCACGAAAGAGAGAAAGTAGAAAATTCGCAAAAAATTTATGCCTGATCCAACGAAATGGAATGTATCAGAAGAGCCGCTAAAATTTGACTTGATTTCACGTTAAAAGGAATGTATCAGGGGCACCCAACGAGAATAAAGTTCAAAACCTCTTAAACATAGCATTGTTAAACGTATTTTAGCATTTAAACGATAGATATAGGCATATTTTTATCCCCTAAAAATTTTTCATCTATTCGGAGTTCCTAGCTGAAAGTCTAGTGATCCGAAAATTATAGGGATCGAAACTTATCTTTTCGAAAACTTAGGCCAGAAAAAAGGCTCACGAAAATTCTAGGCGACCTTTTTAGGGTAAAAATGCGTTAAAAATGGGCAATTATACCATTTTTTAGATGTTCGAAAATCCTAGGAGAGGCAGGCAAGCAAGAAATTTTACAACAAATGTTCCGAAAATTCTAGATCTCAAATCGTCCTCCGAACAGATATTTTCCGAAAATTGACGTTGGGTGCCCCTGATGTATGAAAGCTTCTAACATTTGGCCTTGTCCCACGTAAGAGAATTTATGAGAGTGGCTTGACTCCACCATGAAACGTGAGTAAATGTATGAGAGTTGCGAAAATTCGGCTTGGACTTCAGCCACAAATACGTTCTGATGTTTAAAAAAAGAGATTAAAATATTAATTTCTCGAGTTTATCGAACGATGGAGATTTCATGTATAATCGTGTATAATATAATAAAAATATTAACACTGTATTTGAAGAAAGAAGACTGTCAAAGAAAAACACTCTTCCCAGACTCTCTGAGATTATGGCCAGAAAGGGAAAAAATAAACTTACCTTCAAACAATGGGGACGAGGTTGAGTTGTTTTGGTTGTGAAAACAAAAAATGGTGGACATTTCACTCGTTTCAGGAGTAAGAAATAGGCGAAAAAATAGCTGAAAACATGGCAAGAACAGCAAGAAGACAACTCGAAGGGCGACATCTGCTATTTGGAGAATATTTGCGGAGCTGAACAACCCTAAAGGTGCACTATCGAAGGTTAACCTAACATCAATGGGGGTAAGCATGTTTTAGCTTTGTTTTTAAACTAGGAATTATTTTGAATGAATAATGAAACAATTATTGAATTCGGCTCTCGTATCATATGAAGAATTATGGAGATCTCGTCTTAATAAGATACTCAGCCTCATTCATTAATTGTTAAATATATTTCTAACACGCTGTTAATTTACTGAACTTTTTAAAAGTTTACTAAAAAAGTGCCAAGTGTTTGAAAACTGGAACTACAGTTACTGCTGGTGCCATTTTGTGAACAGAATTTCGACTTGGTCGAGAAGCGTCAGAAAAATGCGAAGATAGTCGTATTAACAAATTCTTTATATATCCTGGTCAATGTTTTCACTTAATGGTGATTGAAATCCAACTAAATAAATTAAAAAACGCCTCCGACGTTTTACCGCGGTTTACTTTACTAGCAGGATATTTTCGTTTTAACCTTCCGTCCGCATACCGTGGATTAACACGTAAATTGACCCATGTATAAACAGAATTGGTGGTTTACCCTTTTGCTTAAACCCGATTTAAACTGAACGTAGTTTTGATAGTCGACTTAATGCATTTATGTTTCAGGGGTTTAGTTTTTAGTTTTGCTCCGTTTTACTTTGCCTTGTTTTAAAAGTATCAGGTATAACAGATTTTGTTTCATAAGAAAATAGTTGATCCTTAATTCTGTTCGTATTAAGGGATATGAATAGCCTAAGTCTTTCTCAATAGAGTGCCAGTACCAGACGATATCGTTTTCAAAATTTTGTGAACGTACTTTTTCCTGGTCAATTTGTCATCTGTAAAAACTCCCAATGATTTCATTCACGACGTGGTTGATAACCCCAAGTGTCCCGTCAGTTTGTCTTAAGATTTGCTAATTGTTTTGCAGCCATAATCTTTGGCGTTGTGTTCAGCAGATTTGGCTATAATTATCCAGACTTCATTTATGATCCATTGTTCATCTTCTTTCGACAGAAGTGAAGGTCAGACCGAGTCCGCAGGGTAATTTAAGTATCATCAGCATTCGCTCTTCATGCAGTCCTCTTCAGATGATTGATTTGGAGAGGTTGTTAACTTATAATATGAGAAAAGTAAATGTGCTCTAATATCATAGTATCCTGAATACCTACCCCACAAGTGATTCGTTTGGCTTGAGATAGACGGCCATTGACTTTACACTTTTGGCCTCGATTACTTCGGATACAACACAAAAAACCACTTAAATCCCTTATAAAGCTTACGTAATAGTGTGTGATGATCAAAAGTGTCAAGGTTTTTTAAGTCTATACAAATGACGTTGCTAAACGAACTTTTGTCAATTTTCCCGACCAACCCACGAGGATTCTATTCAGCAAAGCTGTTCAAGTAGTACTACATTTACGTAGTATCAAGACCGATGGTTGCGTAATAGACTATATTGATCAAAGTTTTGATAAATTGACCAGAGATGACTTTTTCAAATATTTTGACAACTTTTGGAAAAACAGATATTTTCCTGCAATAGTTGACGTGTAACCTTGGCTTAGATTAATCTTAGTTTTAGGCGTTACCTGAGCTTTTTCACTTCCTTTTACAAGGAACTATTCCAACACTAATCATAACGATAACAAAATTCTTAAATCTGATTGGCTATCAACTGCCCCGATTTCAGCCTTAATAGGACAGTTAAATAGGACAGTACGCGCCATCAGGCGCTCGCTTAAATGGCTTTTTTTCACTGCTAGCAAAAAAAATCTCGGAATTTCTTGTGTTTTGATTAAAAAAAACAACTTAATATATCACAAATTTTGTTAAAGTTATGATTAATTGGTAACAGAACTTCGTGTCGTCCAATTCGGTCTGTAATCATACTCGTGATTAAACAAATCGGACTCCCGCTACGCGGTCGTCCGATTTTGTTAATCACTCGTATGATTACAGACCAAATTGGACTCCACTCAGTCCTGTTACCATTACTTATTGAATAATGCACAGGAATATCTCCCACAAAATTCAAAAGGTCAAAATAAATGTGATCAAACACATTCAGTGCTGTCTTAGCATCAGGCTTTTCTCGTTTTTAAGTTACCACTAATTAATAGTTGAAATGTTTTTATCAGTAAACGTACGAGTTAAAAGTATTAGTTTACGATTTCATTCAACTGAACCGGCCGGCCGGCAGAGCCAGTGAACATCTCGTGGTCGAGCTCCCTCCCACCCACTCAGTTCTTGATTGGTTTGAAAGTTACATGTAGTAGATAGAAACAAAGTTAAAAGGACTACTTTATTTTTCTGCCTCCTCTGCAAGCCGGGACATATTGGTATCCGTAGATATGTTTGTTTTTCCTTTTTACGTCTGTTAGGGTTCATAAGGTGTTAATACCCTGCCGAGCGAATGTTGTGATTTCTCGCAAGAGTAAATGCCGCAAAAATAACGACTTTATTTTGGGCCGCTGAGTGACATTTCGTTTTTTAAAATATTTTTGTCTCTTGTGGAATCTGGGCGGAGCAACACAGAAAATATATAACACAGTCACTCTTATAAGGAGTGAGGTATAACCGAGTACCGTGCACTCAAAGCCTTGTGAAGTAAACCCCACTTGAGGGAGTTTTATTAACTTGATTCATCAAAATCGTTTGTTAACGGGAGCGTAGCTAACCAGTTGCTACTTTTTTATTATTTTTCTGGAGAACAAAGTTTCTTTTTTGCAAAGTTAGTTTCAAATATCGGGCGCGGTATAGATGGAGGTGAAAGTTTTTGAAGTCAGCCTGATCGTGTTTGTAGTGATAGGCGTGTTTCTAGCGGCTTGCAGCTGTGCTCCGCCTGCAGGGTCATCAGAAAAACCAACTTCGAATCCTGACTTGGTGAGTGGAATTTTTTTTGTTTAGTTCAGTGGCAAAAGTAAAAGGCTAGGCATTTCCGAGAGGTTCTCAGTCTCCTTTTTTTCAACTGCCTTTGCTATGATATATCATCAATACTACCATAAGCGGCCAAGAGTCTTGAACTGACTCATCCAGAAATAAAGTTTGCGAAAAAGACATTTTTTCTCCTAAAGAATTTCGTGAATCATGCCTGACTTCAGTTAAATTAACCATCGGTTTCTTCTTGTAGTCAATTTTTTTAAGAGGATTATTCTTACTGAGAAAGAGCGGTTTTTTTCACGGCTTTCAAGCTTACCATTTTTTGCGCATTTTGTTACTCAAACTCCTGCAAAAAATCATTTCACAAGCGTTAATTTTTGTTTTGTTCTGAAAAAGATTGAAAAAGAGTCGTTGCGTTATTAATTGGACTGATGATAGTAGAGAGGATTTGTTTTAAAATACCGGCTAAGGAGATGAAAATTTGACATAAGTCGTATGTAAAAACCTAGTTTGCAAAACCAGTCCATATTGACTTTATAGCAGCTCTTAAACTGGTACTACCAGAACATATGAGCGCGGTGTTAATTACTTCTTTTGTAAACCTCTCGACCGGTCTTTGATCCTGATTATTGTTTTGTTATGCTTTCTCAAAATAATCTCAGTAGATAACATATCCTATTTAAATTTTTCTGAAAACGCAGCCTGACTAGGGAGAACAAACATGCCGAAATACGACGGATTAGCAAGATAAATCTTGCAGAAACTTGACTCTCCAAAAATAAACACTAAACCTTTATATATACGAAGTGCCGCGATTTATTGTTCTTAATTTTAGTGGTTTCACTTACAGTTTTAAGCGGATAGTACGCCGGCTTCCTCCGTGAAATCAAGTCGCTGTTCCTAGTCTTTTTCTAATGAATTTTTCTGCAGAAACAGTTCACCCTACATGGATGTAGTTATTAAGTTTTTCTTATTAAAGTTCTAGTGGTCTTGGCTTCTTACATGTACATTTCTGTCCTTTCCATGTATCTCTTTAGCCTTACGGCTCACAGATAACGGAAGATTTTTGATGAAGGAAAGGGATGCCCTTTCTACCGAAAGCAAAATATATTATTCACTATGGCTTACATTTGCCTTTTTTCGTCTGTCAGTTCAGTTTCCTACAGATATATCTAAAGCTGTATCTCATTTAAGAAAGCAAATAATAATTTGATGTTAGTCAAAGACGAGTGGGTGCGACTTTCACCTACTGCAAACTATTTTAAGGAATTGTCGCGGCTCAGCTATCTTGAGAAAATTGTTCAAAAGAATAAATCTTAAGTCGCTTGTCACATGAGTCTTTTTATTTTTTTTTTGGAGAAAATGCGAACAATTGTATGTGAATAAACGTATTTGTCATTTGTATTCAGTCTGATTTACCCTCGTTTCACTGAAAAGCTGCCTTTTTCTACAGGAAAGCGATGCCTCTGTGAGCGAAAAGAGATCCAACGCTTCTAAACTCACTGATGCGGCTAAAGCAACCGCAGAAACGGGTAGTGAACTTAGAAAGAATCAGAAACAGCAATCGATGCACAAACGCGGTCACAAGGAGGAAAAAAATGGATCAAAACATCTCCTTCGCCGTCTACACAGCCCACAACCCTCAGCCATTCCAGTGTCACAGGCAGCGCCTTTCTCTGCGAAGAAAATAAAATCTTTGGACCTCTACAGGCCGATAATTTCTGCATCATTTTATAGCCAGCTGAGGTACGAATATGCGCAAGCGGCTGATCGTGGAAGAGGAATAAAGACAGCTCAAATTGGAGGAACGAAAAAGGCTGCTGCTCCATCAGCTGCTGCTAAACCTTCTATGAATCAGACCTCAAGAGTGAAACCAACACAGTCAGCCGCAGGTACAACGGACTTGAGTCAATTGTATACTTTGTGTGTAGCCATCTTCATCGAGATCAATCATTTCAGGGTTTTTTTTCTTCTTTTTTTTTTTTTTTTCTGTTTAATGGGATTTCATTTACCAGTTAAAGGATTAATACGAGTATGTTTAAAATTGCTTGTTAATGCACTATTAAATAATAATAAAGTGGATGAGAATCAGCCACAAGAAACCCACAAAAAAAATCTGAGTTCCAGCTGTGATTATAACGCATTTATGTTTTGTTTTTTGGGCTTTGACCGCAACTTAGTTGAGTTGTTTCTCGGCGGCAGTTACGAGTACTGATCGCCTCTGCGGTCTGGCTTATTCTGAAATTGTCTCCTGTTACTGGGAATTTTTAACCATGTTTTGTTTTGAGTGAAATACCTGTAAAAGAGCTGCAAAAGCCAAGTGCTCCTCCATCAGAAACAAAGCCTGTAACATTTTTTCTGTATTTTTTTCATCGATATATTTTCCGGCAAACGTTTAAAATGCCTCGCACCCGGACAAAATTATTGTGAGAAATTGTCTCTTTTCCCGAAAAACTTCAATGGTAAATTTTTTTTGAAAAGTTCTGAACTTTATGTAAATCCAGGAGCTCATGACACTGGGGAATCAAAAACATATTGACAAAGTGAAAACTTAAAATGGTGAGAGTACCAACCTTAGCTTAGAGCTTTGTTCCTTAGCTTTTTGCAAATGGCTCCACTTGGACCGCCGTGAAGTTGCGTAGTCAGTGATTTGTGAGGGAGTATTCCAGTTAAAGTAGACTTAAGGTACAAACGAGTATTAAAAAAGGACGCGTCGCAAAAGTAAATTATAGTCACCTCATTACGAATGCTCATTTTCTTAATTAATGAATGGATATTTTACTTTCCTACACCAGTGTGTGGACGGGACTGGAAAGTATTTTAGCATGTTATGTCAAATGCATTTTAAATTATTGATCTACATTCCTGGCGGCTGAGTCACTTTTGTGTTATGTGTCTCATAACTAATCCGCAAAGCTTATCGATAACGCGGATAGAGGTAGTAAGAAGCCTATTTTCCCGCATTAGCTACTAAATAAATATATGTATAACATAAATAGAGCGTAAGTATAATCTAATTATAAATGAATATATTTTCATAATTCTAAATATAACCGATCGACAAACAGTGAATTCAAGTCAAGGTCAGTCCCGTCCTGAGAAGCTCTTGAGTGATTGCGTGGTTCATGTGATAGAATGAATTTCTGCCGTTTGAACTGCTCCATGCCACTACCCGCTGTTAATTTTAGAACGTATAAAAATCTATAGGGATAGAGAACGTAGCCTTTGTTTAATGATGGTAAAAATCGTTTAATGTAAAAGTCTTCTTTATACGGAAGAAGATTCCAGTTTTAATCACTATCTTATCTGAAAAGTTACAGTCCAAAGGAATGGCGTGCGTCCTTTGTTATTTCTATTAACTCTGAGAGGTTCTGTATTCGTTGTTCAGCAAGGATTATAGCCTGCATAGTTGGTGGTCTTGTTTGGAGGTAGGGGAGAGGGGGTTACCAGAGGGGAGCGCGTTCTGGGCGTGTTTTGGCGGCTTTGCTGCTCATTTGCGCGCTCGCACAACAAACCGCAGCTACGCAGCTACGCATGATTATCCGTTGTGGTTCATCTTCCAGTGAAGAAATCGGAAAAGCAAACTGATCCTCACGGCGAAGAAAAGAAGAAAACAGAAATTAAAATGATTGTTTTAAAGATCAATTAGCCGTTGTTTCTTTATAGTTCTTTTCTCTCTTTTTTTTTTTTTATCCAGTTCTTGTTTAAAGATTCTACCATTGAGCTTTTGGTCTGTAGTCGTGTTTTTATGTTCCTTTTTGAAGCTCATCTTCTGGTGATCAGCCAAATTGGCGATGGGTGTGTAAGAAAAACATTTTCGATGACAAATATATTTCTTTGTTATTCTGAGGGTTGAATAACCAGTCTGTTACCTTTTTTGCCATCACCTCATCGCAAACACCAATCTCCTGAGAATCGAAAGATTCTAAGCCTTAACTATTAGTCATAGATATGGGTGTATAAAAGCAAAATTTTTAAAACAGTGAAAAGCTTAAACTTACGTCGGAATGAACATTTTGATAGTTAAGACTGTAACTGACCTCTTAATGTTACGTCATAGGAACTCCAAAAAAGTCAGACGATCCCTGCGCATTATGGGAAAAATGTGCCGTGAATCAAAATGCAAACGTCAGTCGATGGCTGAAGAGATTACCAAGCTGCCCTTGTCGTGTTCAATTATCAGAGTTTCTCTACAACAGATCCATTTACGATAAGGAACTTGATAAATACTTTGACTGGGGATACATGCAAGTTGATCAGCGGGCAATACTCAGGCGCACAGCTCAGTTCTGCATTCGCCAGCGGCCTTTGTTCACGAATCCCAGCTTGTCGGCGCAAGTTTGCTGTTACGATTCCAATATGACTCTTATTACAAGGGGAGTAGGTGCAGGGACACCTTTCCTTGTGTCGCCAGACTGGTACATGTACAGAGAGTTACATATCAAGCATGATGTGCTACCCATTCAGCTTTGCAATGGGGACTGGACACGCTATCACGCTGTGCGCCCACCCAATAATGGCCGGAACTGCACTGCAAACCCGGATGATGTGGAATATGCACGCCAAGTCGCCATAGCCCGTGATTTTTAACTGAGAAGCAATGCAGCCGTAAATTAGTGTGTTGTGATGATTAGAAAAGAATGATGTAGCTACTAGTCTTTAGTTTGGCACCCTATTAGATAGAGCCGAGTATTAATTATATTATATAGCAATTTGTTTAGTAGTATATTATCAGCGTGATAATACCAAAAATAACTCACTCATTTTTCAAAACTTGAAATCTAGAAAGTATTGACTGTAATGATCGTTGAAATAATTTTTTAGACCGTTTAAGGGCTCTTCAGTTAGTGCAAACCTGAAAAAAGGACTAGAATACACTGTAAATCAGAAAGATCTGTTTTAGCCTTAAAAATGAGGCCGTTTCAGTGACTAACATACAGCCCTATTTTTTTTAAAATTGTGCGCGAGTGGCGCCAGGAAGGGCTGAGTCAGACTTTGGCCTACGGGGCTGAATTGACACTTTGGGACTGAAACAGATCTTTTTAGTTTTCGGAGTATTTCGAAATTGCGTTTGGGTATCGTTGGAGGAAAAATACTAATTCTAAATAACGATGAATATCTTAATCATCAAGTCACCATCACACAGACCTCTAGATATCACAATATAAACATAAAAAGATGACTGATATAACGTAGAGCAGCGTGATTCATTTGGTTTTTCAAATATTTTCTCTGAATCATTGAGGGGTACGTCCGAAAACTGGATATGTTTAGGTAATTTTCCCAGTTTCGAGAGCAACCTCCCTCTAGAACTGTAGGACTCTTGTAAAAGTTAAAAATCCTAGAGTTATGACCGACCCACTTGAAGGTATTTTCATTTCTGGGTGACGTTTTCAAGAAGAAAAGAATTTTTGAATTTGCTTATATACCACTCCACTAAATGTACTTTTGACATAATGGCTAAAATAAATTTGCCGTTGAAGGATGCATATTCTTTGCTGTGAATCGGATGTGCCGGGGATGTCATATCATTTGTCATTCACTGGTACACACTGAACATTGAGTATCTTTAAAAAAAAAAATCCATTGTCATTTATCCACTTGAGGTTCTCTTCATTCTGATTGACGATTGCAGGAAACGAACTGTATAGCGCTTACCTTAAATGTATTATTGATAAATGGCTGGAATAAACTTGCGTTTGAAGGGTGATCACTGCGTTCTTCTGTGGATATCAGGGACTTTAAGATCCAACGACGCGACGGCGACAAGAACATCGCTTAAAAATTGAATATGCGTTCTTTCAGTCTTTATAGCGATTATTCCTACCCAATTACTTTGTCAATTGTAGGCGAACCCTCTTGAAGCTGAATTTCAAGGGACCATAACCAAGCTCAAAAAGAGAAATAAAACTTCGTCGTTGCTTGTTTACGTCCTCCATAAAACGCGAAATTAGGCATTTTCACGTCGCAGTCGTGCAAAAACGGGAAAGAAATGTACAAAAAAGTGTGATGCGCGTGCGAAATTGCGGTTTTGCTAATTAAACCTATTGTTTTTTTTTTGACGTTCTCGTTGTCGTCCGCGCCGTTGGATCTTAAAGTCCCTATCGTTTCATCCTTAGAGCAGATCTTTTGCACTTGTCCTTCGTACTCTCGCCCATTCCAAATTTGTATGGAAAACAATGTAATATATTCATGAGACCGCGTAAGCTTGTGTAAGGGTCTGTTCCGCCACCTTCTCATCATTGCAGTCAGTAAATAGGCCGAGAATGAGTGAGCAGATTGGCGTATAATAATATGCCGAAAAACCTTATAGAAAATATCCGGCTTTGCGTGGACGGCGATCCTCCTTAAAAGCTCCTTTTTCCTTTGGCTGTTTTTTCTCTTTTTCATCAGTAATCATTGTAGAGAAGTGAAGTAGAAGTGTTACAATAGTCTGGGTTGTGGGACTGAAATCAGTATTCTCTAGCTTGATGTCTCCAGTTTTTCGTAATTGCCATTAAACAACGGAGATAGAACATTACTGGAACCGCTGGAACCTTATTTAATGACAAAGAATATTTGCGTATTTACCCTGTTTCGGTATCATAATTATATTGTTACATGAAAGTGAAAATCAATTTTAAAATTACCCTAGGACAATCGGTGAATGATGGTAAAGTATTTTGACTTACTTTCTAACCGCCTGGCAAGTATATGAACAGAAAGACCGTTTTTTTTTCCACAGGTAATGTTGGTCAGAAATACTCAAGTTGTTCATGAAAGCCTGAGACTATGGGGTTTACCTGTAGGAAATGATTTATCGGCGCAGATTATGGAGTTGAATCAAATTTGGTCCTTAACATTTTGAAGTATTAAGATTGTGTTAATAAGTCACATGGTATGTCACGTGACCATTTTGCTAAAATCGTAAATAATTGACAGGCTGGTGACTGGACGGGTTTAGGAAATCAAAAGAAATCGAGCAATAGCACTTTTCTTATTCATATTGAATATTTCTAACACTTCACGTTTGGAATGACTGTCCAATACACTTCAATAAAAAATTATGAGGGAAAACATGATTTTAAATGCCAAAATTTAATCTTGAATTATTTAAAACTTTAATTTTAAACTTCGTGGACATTCAATCCAAACGTAGAAAGTTAGGTACGTTTATCTACTATCAGAAATGCCAATTTACTTAATATCTGAACAAAGTAGATTCGTCACCAATTCGCCAATTTCCTTTATTTTCAATTTTTGGTCACGTGACATGTCACTTGACTATAATTAAACTTTAAAGCACAACGAAATCTCAAGATTAACTTTTGTGGAAAATTTCATTTGGTCTAAGTCTCCTGGCGAGCGATATTGCCAATCAATAATATGCCGTTAACACACCTTTGACCCAGGCCTTAAACCCCTTGAGTATTTAAACAGTTTTTTGTATCTGTTTTATCCGGCTGTTGCGTATTTTAAAATGTAAAAAAGAAAAATTGAATGATTTATTCAAGTAGCCACTGGCCGATGAAAAAAGAGCGAAGAAGAAGACGTGAGAAACAGTTCGCTTTTTTGATTGCGAAAAAACAGTTCGTGTTTTCTTAATCTGCTTGAGCTTCACTTTTTTTGTCAATTAAAATCCGTCAGACAATATTGCTTCCATTTAGACCAGCTGCGACAACGTCATAGTCATTCCCTACTTCTTTCAATTTTTTAGAAAAAGTGTATTTACTTTTGTCACAAAATTCGCAAATGCTTACCTCGTTTGGATCAATATACCACGGTTGATTAATAACTATGTTTTGCATGAAAAATTTGTTCCATTTGCTCTCTGGAACTGAAACTCATAGCAGTCATAGTAATGTATGTTACCTTAACTTTTAAATGCCCCATCGAGGGAAAATGTAGTGCTTTTGTAATAAGGGTTTTAGGAAATTATGAATTGGTGTGGCAGCTTTTGAATGAATGACAACTCCTCTTTTTCTAATCCTTAAAGTTTCAAACCGCACGTAACACTGAGGGGAATATTTTTAATCGTTTAGACATCATGGCTGGGTTTCCCCTATCCTTAATGTTTCTCGTTTAATTTCAGAAAATCACGGAGAGGATCCTTGGAATAATTATATGACTGAACAAATGCGTCGTTTAGATGTCAGATCGAATGTCATATTTTTAGTGGTAATCTTGTTAAAGCCACGAATATATAGAATATTATTTTTAAATATTTTGAATATCTATTAAGAAATATGAAATAATAACTGCTAGATATCAACCATGTTAATATGTGAGTTAAAAGTAGAATTTAGTCCTTATTTGTATTTGCTTACTTACTTCTCAGCGAGGCCGGATTAGACCGCAATGATTAAGAAACTAATTATGAGGAGGACTTTCACTTTTGACGTCAATGCATTTGATATGCAAATTAATGTCAGTCCTCTTGAATTAAAACAGGTGAAAAAGTAGAATATATAACAGTTTACTTGAACGCTCTATAACACCGCATCATTCTGTCACCCATGTCGTTGGAAAAGTAATTTCATATATTTTAAGCGAAAGAGAGCGTAAGCTGGTTGAAAACCGTTAATCAGAGTCCGTTATGGCCGGTGACCACAAGATAGTACCTTATTGTAAGCTTGTGCTGGGGCGTCCTAAATTATGCTTTGGTAAGACTTCAATCTAAGTACTAAGTGTTCTCGAATCATATTCAGTTTATAGAATAAGCAATTGGGAAAGTTGAAGCCTAAGAGAATGAGCAAAGTTATCGGGCTCAGCAGTTTCATGAAGACAACCCTGTATGCCGGTCTCTATAAGAAATGCGAACATTATTCGATTCAGCTGTCTATTTTATGTATACTGACTATACTTTGTAATAACAAATGAGTAAGATGTCGAGAAAAACCATTTCTTCGTTTTCAAAAATCTCTTTGCCAGATAAACACGGAATGATAAAACATTGCCTGCGAAAAATCTCAATCTGTCCCACAAAACTTACCGGAAATTTTGCGTAACAATATTGCAGGTAAAAGTGATTGTTACTTGTGCAGTTTAAAACTGACATGTTAAGCCCAAGAAGAGTAAATGTTTGTTATAAATTTGATAATTTTCCTCTAAGGTTTATTGCACTTATTTAATACTTCAAGGTTTTATTTTGTCCCACAGCCATTGCACTCGCTGCCCATGTATCGGTTATTTTACTCACTGCAGCTCTTGACATGTCTGGCTACAACATTCTCCCGGTGGATTTTTCTCGAGTTCCGCTGAATTTGGAAAACGACAATTCCAAGTTGAGAGCAGATGCTTGGAAATTTGCTAGCGAAGATCCGCGCGTTAATTTAAATGCAGCCTCCCTTGGCGTTCAAGGAGAAAGAAAGGCGAAGTATGACTTGTTGTTACTCGTGTACGAGTTAAAAGAAGGAAATGTGTTCACCAAAGAAAATCTTCAGCTGATTCAGAAAACGGAAGAAGAATTGTTTTCTAACACAAATTATCAGGAAAAGTTATGTTTGTTGATGGAAAGCGGCATATGTAAAGCACCTACTTCAATTATCAGATTTTTTGATGGCACATATAAAATGCTTCATCCTTTTCTTAATGACCCGGATTTTGAAAATATTCCACGAGTTTTGAACACTGCAAAAGATATAAATCATACTCGAGTAATCTTAGACTTTCATCTCAGCAAGGACGCTGTTATAACTCCTTCAATTGCCAAATCGTCATACACACGATCTTTCCTTACGCTCGGGTTCCCATTTAAAGGTTTCCGAAGTGTTTCAGACAGCCCAGATGAGCAATTTAATTTTTCGCAAGAATACTCCGGTAGAGCTTTCTCAGAGAAGCTTGCTAAGCTTTACAAATCAGGAATTGGGAACTTGAACTTTTATTATGATCTGAGGTCGCTGTTTTTTGAAGCCACTTCTAAACAAGTCATAGCGGATCTCTTGCTTGTTTTTGGTAGCTTTGCGTTCATTTTCATTTTTATGCTTTTTCAAACTCATTCTCTGTGGATCACCGGTTGGGCATTGTTCAGCATATTTGCATCCTTTTTTAGCGCTAACATGATTTACAGGATTGTCTTCGATTTCCGCTATATTGGTATTTTTCATGTGCTGTCCATTTTCATTATTCTTGGAATCGGCGCTGATGATGTTTTTGTCTTTTATGACACTTGGCGCTCGTCACAAGAGAAATCTTTTCCAAACCTCCTTACCAGGTTCTCGGCTGTGTATCTGCATGCTGCTGGCGCTATGTTTATTACGTCTTTTACAACTATGGTGGCTTTCCTTTCAAACGTGACCTCTCCGCTGCTAGGCGTTTCATCATTCGGTACGTTTTCAGCGCTACTTGTCTTTGTCAACTACTGCTCAGTGATCTTTTTTTTGCCGACTGTTCTCATTACGTACGAGTTTTACTGGAAGGACTGGGAATGGCCGTGCTTCAAAGTGTTCAACGTTTGTGCCAGAATTCCTAGTGACAACCAGGTTGCTCCAAGCCCCACAAGAGAGAATGAAGAGAAAGCTGACGCTGCACAAGACATCCCCGGGAAGACATCTAACCGCACTCACAAAATGATAACAAGGTTCTTTGGAGGGATTTTCGTCGATAAAGTAGTTGGTCATAAAATTGTCCGCTGGGTCATCCTGGTCATTTTTGTAGCATTTATATCCCTGTCTGCAACATATGCAGCACAAATAACCGCTGATCAGGAGGAGGTACAGTAATACACACTTTTGTTATACACGGAGCTTAATTCCAGCAGCGAGAATCCAAATCTTTAAAATCCTCTGTTTTCTAAACCTGTAACGAACCAGGGGTGTCTTTATTATCTCAGAAAAACACTGAAATTTTTCCCCTGATTTTCCAAGCTCGCGATAAGTTAATCAAACTTCTATTTTCGCAAGAACTGGTAAAAACTATCTGCTATTTCCACTGAAATTTCTGACAAATAGCAGGAATCAATCCCCAGTATAACACGAGCAACTCTTCCCTGACGAGAGGCAACAATTTTAGACGTCCAAGGAAAACGTTTAATTCATATACGTCCCTTTCTTCCTGTCAAAACCTTCCTTTAAGTTGTAGTAATTCTCGGTTGTGGTAATTAAAGTAACAGTTAGCGTACTTCGCAGCATAATTCCCTGCAATTATTGAGTGGTCTTCACAGCCTGACGCGTTAAATTAGAAGGAGACCAAATGTAAGTAATCATTTTTTGGAAGGAATGATGCGCTTTTGACGGGAGATACTTGAAAAACTGATGCAGTGAAGAGTTTCTCTCATATCTTACAGATTGATATGTGGGGAGAGGGAACCAACTGGCACAGTGTTCAACGTCTAAACAGAAACCAGTTTAATCCAAGCTCAGAGGACAATGTAATTAACTTGTACATTGTGTGGGGACTCAAGAACCAAGACCGCAGTGAATGCCATTTCACTGACTATAAATGCAAAGGAAAAACAGTGTTGGATAGAAGTTTTGACATGAATCCTCCACCCTGTCAGATAGCTATGCTGGTAAGAAATCACTCTTTAACACTCGTCAAGATCAATAACTGGCCCAGGCCTTTTTTATTTGTCATGACTGATCGAGAAGGTAACTAAGTATGGTATCTATTTGTTTGTCAAATTGCATCGCTCATCGCTCACCGTACGTCCCCACTTCAATCCATTCGAACCACAGGTGAACCAATAGCGCCCTAATGGACTAGGTTCTTAAGTTTATTTATATCTTGTGCGAGGTATTAGTATTTCACGGTTTTTCATTTCTTTACTGGAACTCGAAAGTTCATCGTTTTTCCTAAAGGGTTCCTATTTAACGGGAGCTCCCCTTTAAGGATTGACTTAAGATGCTTTACAAGAAAGATGGTGCACGTTGTTTCTAAAAATTAATTTTGTTACACTGATGACACAGAAGAAATCAGTATCCTATTTACATTTACAGTCAAAGCATGTCAAGCGTTCCTGCCGCTAGTGGACTAATAAATTCATGAATGGAAAAATGATTCGGTTTGTCGATTCAATAACCCAAAATGAATAATCCAATAGTCAAATTGGACCTCGATTCAATAATTAAATGTTGATTTGGTTTATGAACAAAATCTACCTGTTCTTTATTCTTGTCTTTTGCGTTCAATCGTACTTGCTTCCCTTTTCCTTCCGTTTACGATCGCGTTTTTCATTGCCTTTAATCGCAAACGCAAAGAAACTGACAAAGATCGAAATCCGTCAATCACTGCACATACACTGACCACAGTTTAAATATCGTGTTACTCTGATTACCGGCAGCAAAATGGCGTACATGTACGCACTCGACTCTTAGAAAAAAAAAAGGAAAAAACAAAATTCTGAGGTCGACTTGTGGAAAGTGTAGTTTTTCAAAAAACAGTAATCGAATCAACATTCGATTATTAAATCGAGGCTTAATACGAATATTGGATTGTTCACTTTATGAATAGATTATTGAATAAACAAACGAAATCATTTTTCCATTAATGAATTCATTAGTTCGTTAGCGACAGGAACACTTGACCTGCTTTGACTGTAATCATTTTACTATGAGTAGTATGAATATAAATTAAATAAATATCAGGAAAGAAACTTCGAAATGACGTCAATAGCACAAGCTATCGCCTGAAAAAGGGACAGCAACCTTGAAGCCCTAAAGACGAGGCTGCGTTAGCTCAAATGTTTTGGTAGAGCTCGATAAAATGGCGCAAAAGTTCACACGGTTTGTGAAGAAGAAATAGTCGAACTTCTGCCTAAAAGCATAGCAAGAACAGCAAAATACAACTCAAAGGATGACAACTTGTATTTGAAGAATATCTGCAAGACCAAACATCCCTTTATATTCTGAATTCGTGCAGGAAAAGACAACCGTACCTTGATCTGTATAATTCTTCAGAATATACTCAGCCTCACACAATAATTGCCAAATATCTCAAGGAGATCATGCTCCATCATTATCTGTTTTACAGATTTCAACTTATAGTGACCAATATTGAAATCCTTGGTCAGTTACGCGGCTACACAGCCCTTTAATTAACCTGTTTATGTGTATGCAAAGAATATGCTCGATGCTCAAAGAACCTTCTCGATGGTGTTAGAATCGATGGGAAGAATAGCTTCTATAGTTTCTATTGAATAATTTTGAAGATGTTCTTTGCTTTCATCTAGGAGTTTTGCAAAGAACTGAGAAGTTTGAACAACGAAAAGCTGGAAGAGTTAAAGATCAGACGAAACGCAGTAACCAATGAACCGGACATACAATGTTTTGTGGAGGACATGAATACATTTCTTACGGTGAGTGAGTAAATTTGTTCAGGAACATTGAGTGAGAAAACAACACCAAGCTGATTGACGCAAACTGACGGTATACTATAGGAGTGGCATAGGAATAAGTTGAATTAACTTTAACTAATCAAGAGTTAATGACTCTTTATTTTAAGTCAAATATGAGTGGCGATATACATTACACAGTGATCTTTACAACCCGGAAGGGGGACTCCCATATAAAAGTGAGGGGGATGCTCGTCGTCTCGCTTAAGGGTATAAATTGCAAATTATTTAATTTTTGGGCTCACTTTTGGTGTCTGGGACAGAAATTCACTGTATTTGCCCATTCAAGTATCGCTTAGGGCTTATGTAAAGAAATTTCCATAAAAACAAGTGACGTCTGTTTTAGTGCAGTCTTCTTTAGGGATCAGTTTAAGCTTGAGCCACACCCATATTGGTCTCCCTTAGCGGTTGAATTTTAATTTTCCGACGAGCATTCCTGTCACTTTTATATGGGAGTTCTCCCCCCAAGCTTTACAAATAGTCTTTTTCAAATAACAAAATCCCCTGCACTTGAATTTATATGTAAGGTGTTTCTTTCTGTATGTTTTTGTATTTCTTTTCTTTTCTTTTTTCTTATGTAATTTAATAACGTCTTTCGTCCTTCCTAGATTAGCATTATAGCTATTTGCAGGACATAAAGTATTGTAAACTTTATATTTCTTTAAATAAATACATTGTTGTTGTTTGCTCGTCGTTGTTGTTGTTGTTGTTAATCGACTTACAATTTGACTTAAGTTGCTGTCGTCCTATGAAACGGAATAATTGTTTACCCATTTTCTGGTATCCAAAACTACAGTTTGAAATCAGACCTTTTCAGAGAACAAACTTTTGAGGTCGCAGTTAGTGAAGGTCCGACTGTAAACGTGGTAAAGTACACTTTTGTCCAATGACGTGCAGTAAAAGACAAACAATTCTCTTGAATTATAGTAATGTCAATGATATTGCCGTCAGGTGTTTGATGCCTTGCATCACTTGCATCATGTGCCGGTGGTAAGTTATGTAATACAATAAGTTTGATTCCACTGTTCAATGATATAAATATGTTACTTTTCAGAAAGAAGCAAAAACGGCCAGATACCCAAACGGCACAGATTTTAGCATCCCTGTTAACAGCCAAAAAATCAGAACATTGATGCAGTACAACCCCACCATGTACAACTCTTCAATTCTATCGCAAGCTTATTATCGCTATTATGAAGTAGCTCTCGGCTTTTGGCTGACGCACGGAAACACATCATACAGTAGTGATGATTACTTAACTTACAGTTCGCTTCTTGGTGGAGAGATTGATGCCACCTACAAGCTTCAGAAACCCAGTTTTCAAGGTTTTTAATCTTTTTTTTTTTTAACAAGTACAGGTTAGAACCTTTTATAATTGAACTACTACCTTTCAATCGGAAAAAAAGGAGTTGTTGCGTTGGTTATCAAGAATAACGTGTGAGCTAGAGAACTACAGTAATGTTACATACATCTTCTCTTGTGGTTAAGGGTGTCATGTTCAGCGGTATTTTCTTGTAAGCATGCGTGCATGTTTGCTGGGTCTTTTGAGAAATCGGCCATATTGAAGAACCATAGAAGTTGTTAATTAATCCTCCTACATCGTAGTCTCTAGTAAAGATTTTTACAAACGGGTGCGGTCCTAGAGTCTTTTTCAAAATGGAAGTGCAGTAAAAAAAAGTCCACGAAAGTAAAATCCTTTTCATTACTCTCACAGTTGTACGTAAAAAAGATGAAGATCACAATCTCTTCTTCCCTTTGTCACATTTTTAGTCACAAATATTGATTTCATCTTCCTTGAAATCCACCCTAGGAGTCTTTCGGTTATTGTCGTTATTACGCGTGGATTTAAAAGATCGAGGACTCCAAGGCACTTTTCAGGCTTGGTTTCTGAGAACGAGTACCTGGGTTCCGGCACAAAATCAGTGGTGCTGAGTTCACACCTTGCTACCCGATTTATAACTGTGTACATATATAATTATTTCGCCCTGTTTAGCGCTATTTTGAAACGTGAGTTTGGCAGGAAGTTATGGGTATGCAAAGCAGTGGACTGCCTCGGAACTAACAGAAATCGTGTGCACACGGGGTTGTTCCAGACGCGGCACCTACTTTGGTGCGCTTTAGTGCCCGAGTATAAGGTCTCGACGTCATCACCTGGGCAACAACACCGTGCCCGAATTCTGGGGTGGGTACTTTAGAAAGGGTGTGTTCACATTAGTTCATAGCGAGTACCGAACTTGAGCACCTTGTCCGTGTACCAAGTGAAAACGCTGCCTTACATACTCTTTCTGATGTATAGGCGGCAAGTATGGAAACAACATCTTGTACGCTGCAGTCAAGATTCATACAACACTAACAGGCGGAAACATAGGATACGATAAAGGACTTCCTGTACATGATGCCTGGGAGGAGTTTGTGAAGACAAAGGTAAGGCGGCCATCTTTATACTATCGGATGGTCAGTTGCTTGTTAAAGCATATAACAAGAAAAATTAAAAGTAACGTTATTGTTATTTTTTGTTTGTTTCTTCGTAATGATATAAGAAAAATGGAAACGTCGAATGACGTTATTTATCCTTAACTAAAGCTATGTTTATGTACAGCCTGCATGTATGGCAGATGCTTAGAGGAGGAAAGGAAACGATCAATTAAGTCATGAGCTTAAATTCTCTTTTTTTTATTTCTTCTTATTCAAACGCCTACCGCGAACGCTCCACCAAATAATACGGTGCAAGTGACACGCAATCAAGTCATTTTTTTTATACCATGTATCAAGTTTGTTCTCTGATATAGAGGAAAACTTCATGACAATCGTCAAAATCTTATCCTTTGTTCACTTCTGTCCGTGCCTAAGGAGATTTCTCCTAATTGTTTCGTCATTAAGCAGGCGTTATTGCAATTTAACTTGGTGCTGAAATTTTTACCACCCATGACTTTTTCAGATGAGCAGTATGCCAGCATCGTGCAACAGTGCTTTCCAGATCACGCCAGAGTTTAACAATCCATGGCACTGGATTAAAGTGCAGAAGGTTTGTATAGAGATCCTGTTCTCTGCAGCTACTAAGTATCACGTTAAGCTTAAGGAATCCATGTTCATAAAATGGGAAAAACCCGACCTCAACCAGCAGGTGAAACACCTTTGTAGAGATCCTGAACTCTGCGGCTATTAAGTATCAAGTTAAGCTTAACGAATCCATGTTCATAAAATGGGAGAAAGCCGACCTTCACCAGCAGGTGAAACACATAAACTTGACTCTCTCTCTCTTTCCCCCTTTAACTTCACTGATTTAAACTTTTAAAAAACGCAATATTGTCAACGCAATGTAATGAACTTTGTAACATCGCGCGCGATTTAAATTCAACGGCAATTACACAATATGTAACAATGTTTTCAAGCTAAAGATGACGGATGTACTGTCGAAACAAATTAAAGTTGTTTTGTTTATGCGGCTGTTTGTAGAGTCAATTTAGGCTTCTCCTAGAAACTAAGGGTCCGTTTTATTAGTGAAAAATATTCCGAAGGAGACTGCACAATGATATTTAACCTCCTTTTTTCTATATTACACAGGTTCTGGTCCAAAGTGCTGTGAATGGGATTGTTTTGGGTCTATGTTTTGCCGCACCGCTTCTCATAGTTATGACAACAAACTGGATTGTAGCATTATTGTGCTGCATGACAATTTGTCTCATCACTTTAGGAGTGGTTGGTATAATCCCAATGGCCGGATGGAAGCTTGGAATGCTTGAGTCACTCAACCTGACTCTGGTTGTTGGTTTAGCTGTTGATTACGTCGTACACCTTGCAGATGGTTACGTTCGTTCTCAGAAGCACTCTCGCAAAGACAAGGTGCGCGAGACTCTGGGTCACGTGGGCATCTCTGTGTTGTCGGGCGCGTGCACAACAGTAGGGGCATCAATTTTCATGCTTTTCGCGAAAATCGTGTTCTTTTTTCAATTTGGTGTCTTTATTTTCTGTACTATCGGGCTTTCAATACTTTTTGCGCTGTTTTTCTTTACAACTGTGCTTGCGCTAATGGGGCCTGAAGGTAACAGAGGCTCTATCTTGCCGCTAGTGCAATGGATCAAGGACAAACTCCGCAACAAGAAACCAACTGATGTCACTTGCCAGAAATGTGACGGACGAGGATTTCATGCCCCTCACCCTCCCCCAGCATCGAGCCTCGTTTCTTTTGACCATCCTATTCCTACATAGATCAATTGACTCAGTGGAATCCGAATTAGTGTCTAAACGTAAAGATTATCTTTGGTTGTATCATTTCCTCAATATCAGAAAGAAACCTGGAACACTTGGGACGCTCCTAAACAGCCTCAGAACAACTCGGCAAACCCGGCAAATAGGTTAAAAGACAAATGACGAACAAAAACGCTAATAACTTGTAAAATATTCAGGAAATGTTTGTGTTTTGTTTTGTTTTGTTTTTTTAATTTGGTTAACTTATTGGTAAGTATTGAGAGGTGTTCCGTCAGTGTCCCTGGTTTAAGTACGTTCGGCCTGAATCGGCTATCCGGCCTTAGCTAAAACTAGAACTTCTGCTAGAATAGGCTCTATATATTGCAATAATGAATCAGGAATCAATGAGCGCTTCAGTGAGCGATTTCAAGGACTTCTAAGGGAATTCATGCTAAGTTCAAGGTATTATTGATCATTAAAGTCCCATTGGTCCTATATTGCGGGTTACCGCGCAGCACGGAAAGTTGTGTAAAATTTGGACTTTTAAGACAAGGGTCTGCCTCGTACCCAGACGTGATCTCTCTTTCGATGTGCGCGCAAAGGAAGGCGGGTCCCTTGTGGCTCATTACTAGTCACTCGCGTTTCGCGCTCGCCTCTGCCATGCGAAAAACGAAGCGCCTGAGGAGTAGACTGGACCACGGTGTGTTATCCTGAGATCAGGCTCTATTTTCGTTTCGCTTTGTAAATAACATTTTAGCGCGACCACGTAAGAGAGAATGTATGAGAACTGCTAAAATTGGGCCTGATCTCAGGTTAAGGGTGGGTCAAAAGAGCTTAACACTGCCGGAACTTCCTATATTTAAACCATGGGTAACAAATAATGTCACAATCGTAGGTTTCCGACTTTTTTATTGTGTTGAGAGCTCCAAACATTGGAAAGCATACATGTTGATTGTTTAAAGAATGCTTTCCAGGGCATATTTTTAGTTAAGACTTCAAACTGATCTGTACTCTTCACATAAGTCTTATTATTTAGCCAGTTGTGTTATTTCAAAGGTCAAATTTAATGATATATTTCTTTACTATCTTTAAGTATAGCGGACTAGATTTGCTTTCCCGCCTAGTGAGATTAGGCCTGCTCTGACTTGCAGGTAGAGTAATATAGTAAATATTTCACCTTGTAATGTTGTAAAACCTGAACTATGATTATGGCGTCATGAAGACGGCGAAACTTCGGGTTGTTAAATTCATATTGGCTTAAGTTCCTAATATCCTGGATTGTTCGACAAAACTGAGCCCAATAGAATCTAGACTTGCCACAAGTCGACTGGGTGAGCGCCGAAGGCTCGAAGGACGCTCTCGAAGCGAGCAAAAGCGAGTCTACATAGAATCGTTCTTCTACAATATAACTGGCTCTTTCGTTATCCTGCAGCGTTTTTTAATGCTTCATTTTAATATCTTCGTGAGAAATTCTAAATTAGCGCTGTAATTTCGTGCCAAAATTAAGGAGCAATTTGTCATCCATGATATTCACTTTGTAATTAAAGTTGCGAAGTGACAGTAGTCAATATATTCCTGTCCCCTACACATTTCCAGTGCCTGGTCCTTGTAAATAAAAGGCATTATTTCATGTAACTAATAGACTTAGTAGGCCCTCTAACCCCATTCTGAAATGGGAACATACATTATGGATTATTCCAAAATAACCTTTACCGAAAAACCGATTTCTCCGTTTTCAGAATAGTGACCGCGTTTTTCAGGTATTTGTTTTGAACATTAATGGTTCAGGAATATTATCACAACTTAACAGCCAACGTTGTTAAGAGGGAAAGATATTGAAATTCTGCAGGAAGACTGAAGATGGAGGAATTTTATCCTATGGACAATAGTTTGACTTTGCTTATCCTTATCCTCTCTTGATTTAGAAGAATATTTTAGTATACTTCAACAAAAATCTTGGGAAAAAGCCTTTTAATATTCAACATTTGTAATCTTCCGTAATATTGATTAGTTTAATTTTTCACCTGATATTATATTGTACCTGTCGCCGTAATTTTTATGCCATCTTCGAAAAATTGTAATTGAGGAGGCCTAATTAGCATAAGCTCTATAGTTTCTTTTAGGCCTCCTCGCCATCTCTTCCTACAGTTTTTTTTTTCTTTTGGCATCTTTAAGTAATTATTGTAATTCTGTGGAAAATAAATAAAATACCTAAAATACCTAAATACTTAAAGAGCACTGCATGGGAAGCTGTTTACATTAGAGTCAGTGAGGTCTCTGAGAGCTTAGAAATTCACGGACAAATTTTCTCGCTTCCTGTATGTCAGGAGATATGCTTAAGAGTTTCTTCTCTGATCAGTAATTATGTTTTCCTGCTGAGTGTCTTACGTCTCTCGTTTAAATATCGTGTATTTCACCAAGGAAATATGCCTTTTTTTGAAAGAACTTGCCGCAACGCGATCGAAGAAACTGCCTGTGATCCACCACTACTGATTCACCTACCCTTGGACCAGAAACAGTTGTTTATTACTATATGTGTTCTTTTTCCACAATTAAATCAACCGAATGCAACCTTATAGTAATTCTTTACTATCCACTGCCTGTCACGGGGGGGTAACCAGGCTCACTCCGGACTTCTCGCCAAGGCCAATACTGAAAACTATGAAGAGTTGTTTGGGGTCTTACTAAAAAATGTCGAAATCTGTAGAAGAAATTCAGAAATTTGTTCATACCATGTTCTTCCAGGAATTAGAAAAGTGAATACGAAACCCTTGAGGGAACCATTGGTTACGCAGGAACCTTGAAAGTTCGCGATTTAGAGTACTTTTAGTCAATATGAGAAGACATTTTGACACAGGCTTTCCAAAGCCATGCTCATTTACATGTTTTCTCTCTCTGGACAAGACTAAGGTCTAAAAATTAGAGGGTAAGAACTGTCTCGTCTTTTCGTGTATGTGTGTTTCTCTCTTCTGTTTAGTTGCAAATTTGTGAAGTAATGTTGCCCTTGATGATCCTAATTACTTCATCGCTATTTAAAGCTATTTAAAATATTATGGGAAATATTGATGTACTTTTAGCTGCAAAAGAATAAAGAATGAGATTCAACGCAAGTTGTGGTTGCTTAAGTAGATAAGTTAGCGTTTCACTTCTTAAAAAGTTATTCTATAGATAACATGTTGCTGAAATAGTAAAAAAAAAATTCCTGTTTTGTGGGACTATAACTGAAGACCCATTAATTTCTTCGCCAGGCTTCTTATTTATACATTGAATTGCTTTAGGCAATTTAATACACATAATAGTTAGTTGTAAACAATACAAGAATAATCATTCCTCTATTGTTTATGGAAAAATGAAAACATACGGTACACAACTTTATCCAGTCACTTGAGAGGACTATTTTATTACTTTCATCGGGGAGGTTTGTCTCGTATTTCCGAGAAAAAGTCTCGTTAAAAAGGCATTAAAGGGTTCAAGTTCTAGTCAAATTATATTAAAAAGCATTAAAAGAGAGTAACTGTGTTTTGGTCACGTGACCCGGGGGGGACTCCGCATGTGAAAGGGGTGGGGATGCTCGTCGGAAATTTGAATTAAACCCCTGAAGGAGACCGATCTGGGCGTGGCCCAAGCTTTTTTTGATCCCTAAAAGAGACCATGTTAAAACACAGACAAATGAGAAAACTTGGATTATATGAATGGAGTAAATAAAACGAATTAAAAATACACATATCAATATTTTTGATATTTTCGCGTGCAACCCTAAACGAGACCTTCACGGCTAAATATGATGGCGTTTTGCCCAGAACACCCTAAATGAGACCAAAATCCGAAATGTACACCCCTAAGCGAGACGACGAGCATCCCTACCACTTTCATATGCGAAGTCTCCCCCCGGGCACGTGACTAGCTTGTCTGGAGGCGGGGAGAGGGCGGGACCGAGAAACAATGAAATTTAGCTTGCGACTGTTGAATTCTGGGAGAAGCAAAATGGCGGATACAAATGCACTCCTTTTGTTGTCAATTGTACATAGCGTTTTGAAGATCTCCTTTTAAATGGAAATTTCTGAGATTTTTACACTTGGTACTGCCATCAGTTTAAACATGACGCATAATGTTTCCTTTTATGCTGAGAGCGTAAACGCTGCCGCGTGGAACAGAGCGAGGTTGGTTGAAGCTAAACTTAGTTGTTTCTGCTGGTGCATAAATGCAGTCATGAAATCAACCCGACTGGAAAGTTTCCAAAGAGACCATGGGAAGAGAGTACAGTTCACTAACGAAGGAAGTATTTGGAAGTATTGGTGTTTTGTTTGACTGAGATAGGAAAGGAGCAGTGCCGTAAAATTCCGAAAATAAGCCCCGGGGCTTTTATTTTTCAAAGACCATTTTTGAGGGGCTTATTTTCGGAGGGGCTTATGTACGGAGGGAAATTTGCGTTTAAAAATCGATTGTGCTAGCCTTCTTCTTCCTTTTTACCGTTTTTCTCTGTTTTACTTTGTATTTGACGGAAATTTCCCAGTACAAGCCCCCCGGGGGGGCTTATATTTGGAGGGCGATTTAACGGAGGTTTTTTGCGTTACGAGTTTGGGGGGCTTATATTTGGAGGGGCTTATATATGGAGGGGCCTATTTTTGGAATTTTAAGGTATACGGCGAGAACTACAAACATTTTTTTTTTAATTCAACTGGAAAAACAACCTCTTTGCCAAACGTGTGAGGACAAACATTGGCAGAGTAACTGCCAAGACATACAGTGGGGATCGTCATTTCCATAATGTGCGATATTTTAATATTTTAAATGTTTTAAATTAACTACTGCTATGTTTGTTATCAAATTGTGAAAAAAAGACACTTCAATATAAAGTTTACCAGCTTACAGTATTTTACAGAGATGTATTGAAATACTTTACTTTTAGTGGCTTTATTTTTTGGAAAAAGAAATGCAGAAACCATTGATCTTTTGTCCCATATATTGTAAAATAATGGACTTTAAGGCTAAGAGAAAATTTACTCTTCTAACTCAGATTATGTCTCTGTTAATGTAATACTAAACCAACACCCTTGATATTAGCCTGTGCCACAGATGGAACTAAACTCTGGGTGAAGTCCGTCTGCAAAACAGCAGCAAAATCCTAGTTCTGGGCCCCCTGTGTGTGGATCAGGATTTGAGTACATGCCAGGACTGGACTGTTAAAAATGCCATTGTCCATTGGTCAATCATGTTGAAGGGAAACTCTAAATTCATTGAGTATGTTGGGACCCAGAACAAGGATATTAGTACCCTGTGAGCTGTGGTTTCTCCAGGCCGGTCGCTACGCTACAAAGGGAGAAACCACTGCTCACAGGGTAGGATATTAGTGCTGCTTCGCAATGTTACTAATCAGGGTTAGAATACATCTGCAACACAAGCTAGCATTACTATTTTAGTTTTTTTTATGAGATTGTTGAAAATTTGGAATACTAATGTTGATGTCTTCGAGACTGAATTAACTTATGCTATGACATTGTGTCCCTAGAGAAGTGGTTTTACCAGTAGATTTCAATTTTGTACATGTTGTAGTACTGTTAATATTTATTTCAGTTGATTTTTATTTTTCCATTGTTTCCCGGTATGGTTATGTATGCTAATGAATTTAAAACAAAGGAAAACCAGAAATTAACTGAAAGCCTAAAGTCACCTTGAATCGCCTTAAGTCACCTAAAATTACGGCGACTTAAGGTCCTAGAGTACGCCTAAAGCCTGGTTGCCGCATAATCGTCTTGATACATACAGACACTACCTGAGACTTCTCAAAAGTGGTCAGGCGATAGAAATGATCATAGAATACTTCTGATGCAACACAGGGTGATTCAATAAGCCCCGAAAAACTGACCGCGGAAACTACCCAGACAATTATACAGTTTTGATTGGGATGCGATGTGGAATATAAAAAAAGCTTTTAATTGGTAGCAGTTAAGTAAAAACTGAGCCTAAATAGATCATCCAAGGATGGGTAATGTCACCTCAGTCACGGATGAATTCTGTTAGCGAGCGGGTGTAGTTGTATTTTAGTTGAATTGTATCAATATGCGAGAAAAAAAATGAGAAGAACTCAATTAAAAAAAACAGTTTCCAAAAACAACCGTAATTTCTTTGTCATATATGTTGTGGTTAAATTTTATCCTTGGTTTAAATGTTATTTTCTTTTGTTTTGGGGCATGCATGGTAATGTATGATAATGAGTTTGAAACAAAAGAAAACAAAATTTAAACCAAGGATAAAATTGAACACGACATATATTTTTCTGGTTAGTTAATTAAAATCAGCCTTGCAGAAAATGGATTGCCTAGCAGAAAATGGATTAACATTAACTTTGACTGACCTTTCACTGAGCTTCACCGCAGACATTGCTTAAACACTACACTGTAAAGGAAGATAACAACGAAAGCAAAAATATGGTTCGAAATTCTGCACGTCAGAAGCAATCCTACAAAAAAATGACTTTCCGGATATTGGCAACAGGTTTGGTTTAATTTCTAAACAAAGAAGAGTGTTGATATTTTTGTACCTCCATGTGACACGCAAACCATTGTCTATTGAATTGAAGACAGAAAAAGACTTTGATCTACATAGATTAGGTGTTAAACGACAGACTGGAAAAATAAATTGTTATTTTGACTAAACTTCTACCTTCCTGCAAAGGCAATACCAGGATCGAGCTTGTTCAAGTAAATTACAAAGTATTCTCGAAACAAGTTCCTTTTCTAACATCACTTCTAAAACTTTCTTTAATTATTCGCAAAAGCAGGTGCTAAAACCTTAGCAATTAATCTATAAAATAAGCTTTTTACAAAGTTTAGTTTTCGGTACAGCATTGTTATCTCTTCCCTTTCGAAAAGCCTTCCTTGTCAATCATGCTCTCTAGGCATCTTTCAGTTTCTGTCACAAAATTACCATAGGCTATTAGCGATGCCTTTTAGCGATGTGTAAACTGGAGACAACTTATTGCCCACTCTGCTGGAAAGATCTATGAGCTTTGAGGACACGAGATGACTAGACTCCCCGCTGGCATCGGACAATCGTTGCCAAACACCTGTCTATCGGCTTAGCTGAACAAAGGAGGTTGTGCTGCGACAAACCGCTGACGCATTCATTTGCATACCAAAACAGGCCTACGCAAGCAATTATGTAAATACTTCCTCGCCAATAGAAAGGAAAAAACAAAAAATCACTTGAAGAAGAAGACAGATACAAACCGGTGGCATATATTTGACCATGTGTTTTCCGGCTCATCAAATTTCTGTATTAATGAAGAGTTCAAAATAGTCGGGCTCGTATCATGGCCGCATGGATCTTTCGATTTCTTGTAGAAAGGCCAAAACTATGTTTCGGTAAGAAATCTTCTTACTATGTTTTTTCGGTGTGTGTGTATGTGTGTGGATCTATCTTGTTTAATACACATGTCAATAATTTTCTTGTCTTTTGAATTCTACCGGTAGGTATAACGCTTGGAGCGCATTTCATCTTATTATTGGTAACTGGTTCGTTGTATCTCTCTGGTTATGACATCTTGCCGGCCGATTTTACCCAAGTTCCTTTGAATCTCGAGGATGATGTGACCAAACTTCGTGCGGATGCATGGAAATTCGCCCGGCAAGATTCGCGAGTGAACATCAACCCGACTTCCGTGGGAATTCAGCCCGAACGTAGTATCCAGTATGACGCTCTTGAACTTATGTACGAAGCCGAACAAGGCAATACGTTCACCAAGGAGAATCTAAAATTAATTCGAGACACAGAATTTGAAATCTTTAACAATTCAATTTATCAACAACGCCTTTGTCAAATCGTAGAATACGGTCTTTGTAAGTTCCCACTGTCAATCATTCGCTTTTTTGATGGCAGTTATAGATCGATTCATAGAGATTTATTTGATCCAAACTTTGAAAATATTACAGCAATTCTAACCCTGGCTAACTCAATCAACGTGACGCGGGCGATTCTTGACTTCCATTTAGACAAGCAAGCGGTCATCGCAGACCCTACTAAAGGCCACAAACCAGTGAAATCGAAATATACTAGATCGTTATTTTACATTGGGTATCCACTAAAGGGATTCCACAACATCGAGGATCGTGTTGATGAGCAGTGGGAAAATGCCCAGTCATTCGCAAGCGAGGCTTTTGCAGAACTGCTAGACAAGAAATTCAAAGAAGGGATCGGCGACATGAAATTTTATTATTTTTTGACAGCTTTATTTTTTAATGCCATTTCTCAGCAGGTTATTTATGATCTTCTTCTGGCCGGTGCAAGCTTTACTTTTATTTTCCTCTTCATGTTATTTCAAACTCAGTCTCTCTGGATCACCGGCTGGGCGGTGTTTAGTATACTTACTTGCTTCTTTGGTGCCAATTTGATCTATCGTGTTGTCCTGGACTGTCGCTATATCGGCATTTTCCACGTTCTTTCGGTGTTTATAATCCTGGGTATTGGTGCGGACGATGTGTTTGTATTCATTGACGCATGGAAAGCTTCAGAATCTAACTCATTTAGGGATCTTTCATCAAGGCTTTCTTTTGTGTATCGGCGAGCAGCAAGCGCCATGTTCACGACTTCTTTCACTACAATAGTGGCTTTCATCACCAGTGTCTTCTCCCCCTTATTGGGTGTGTCCACATTCGGCATATTCTCAGCGCTACTAGTTTTTGTAAACTACTGCTCTGTTATTATTTTTTTCCCTACTGTCATTGTAACATATGAATACTATTGGAAGGACTATCGTTGGCATTGTTTTGGAGATTTAAAGGCGTGGCAAGCTATAACCTCGCGCCGAGACGACATCGTACAGGGCGACCAGGGTGAGGAGCGGGAAGGAGAACGAGAAAAATTCGTGGAACCGAGCAAACATATTAGCGAGTTTCTGGGGGGGAGATTCTTTGACAATTTTATCGGACATCGAACAATACGATGGATCACCATGGGAATATTCCTGATTTTTCTTTGTGTGTCCATTGGATTTGCGACACAACTTGCTCCTGACGAAGAACCGGCAAGTTAAACTATTTTTATGCTCTGTAATGGTAATTAAGATGGCAACTTACCATGTACAAACAACACATTTTAATGATTTTGACAGATTTTAAAGGCCGATCTTGTTTGTTTCCAATTAGGTAACACGGCGCAAAAAACTTTACGCGCTCACAACTTTTTTTAAACATATTTTTTTTTTCATCCTGTTTCAGTTCAAAGGCTTTCGTTTAGCAGTTTAAATTCAAAAATATTGTCAATTTCGGACTTGTGCCTAAATTACTTTCCGCATCCTGTTTCATAAAAAACTGTCCTTTTGAGACAGTTTCACAAAAATATCCATTGTTGTTGACAGTAAATTTTGTTGATAAAGTTTTCACCTGTAATCTCCAAGCCAAAACACTTTCTAACTGAACGAATGACATTAACAGGTTTGATGGCACACAAACATGTCGTAACGGCCGTAATTGATGTAAGCAACTCTTGACTTTGGTTGATCAAACGTAATGTTTTGTTTGTTGTTTTGTTTATTTTTTTGTTTGTTTTTTTACCACCGTGGGCAGTGACAATTTCCTTAGTTCAATCTGTTTCCAGTTGTCCAGATTGAAAACCGAAACGTTAATTTCAGGACGATTATGGCATAAATTAATGATGCTATTTTGGCGTTTCAAGATGGAATTAACCATCAAGTCATCCAATGCGGAGAAAAATGTTTTGCAGTGATTTCATCAAGCCGACTTAGCCAAAGATAAGCAAGCTATTTGAATCACACAGCTTTCTATTTGTTGATTTTTTCTCACGTTTATATTTTCCATGCATTTGAAATGCATTTTGCGATATTAAATGTTTGTGTTTTATTTCGCAGAAAAATGTTTGTATTATTTGCCATTGAGACGAAGGTTGTATCAAAATTGGCCACAAATCCTGTGGTCATAAAGCCCAAAACAATTTTACTTTTCGACAATTTTCAGTTTTTCTGTTAAATCATGTTAAATGAAGCAAAAACCTACATTAAGCATTGAAATTAAAATTATGTATATGTCTTGATAATTATCCATTTATAGAAGTACATTTACTGTTCTCAAGACAGCTGGTCACCCTGGCAAAAACAAAAGTTATTCCAACCCAAATGACGAAATTCTATTCATATTTAATAACTTTGAACCCATCAATCATACTTAGGTATCCAGCTGGTGTGTTGGATAAAGAAGCAAAATGTATTAAAGGCAAAGATAATCGTCTTTGTAAACAATCTCTTTTGTTACGGTTCCAATAGTTTTCATGAATTATTCAAATGAGCCTTTCAGTTTGTTTTCTTTTTATCTTGACAATTAAATGAAGAAAACAGAAGGCTGAGTATCATTTACTTTTGGCTTTTAAACTCAGCCAAGTTCTTTTATGTCAGTACTACTCAGTTTTGTTTGGTACAAAATCGCATTGATCAATGCAGCAGGCGAAGCAACGGAGTGATATGAGAAGAACTGAGCAATTTATACTGAGTTACCATGAAGCTTTTTTTTTGGGGTGGCTGGTGGAAGGTCATGTGACTGTTTTCATTGTGTAACTCATTATTTTCCCTGTTTAGGTGGACGTTTGGGGACCAGGCACCAACTGGTACAATATAAAGCTCTTAAGACGCTCAGCATTTCGGCCAAGTCAGGAAGATAACGTTGTTGAAGTTAACATCATTTGGGGACTAAAGAAACAAGATCGCAGTTCCTGTCACTTTACAGATTTCAAATGTAAAGGAAGGACTGTATTTGATACCAGCTTTGATCTCAATCCCAAAGAATGTCAAGAAGCCTTACTGGTAAGTTAAAGGCAACTATTCCTACCACTTGAATTTGAAGAAGCTAAATTTAAATCAAATGCAAGGCTGATCAAACAAAAATAAAATATCCCTCCATGGCTAATCGATCAGTCTTGCATTTAAATAAAAGCTTTATTCTAAATCAGGTGATCCTGGTCTACACCAAGATCCAGATTCTCCTCGCTAGTCCGGCGCTACTGCTTTTCCGAGTGGTCCTCGCAAGATTTTACTCAACTGAAGAAACGGCTACTAAAGCGGGGAGCGGGGAATGAGCCCGCAGAACTGGAAACTAAAAAAATGGAAAGAAAACAGAGAATTGGAAATGAAGTCACTGACCTCATTGATAGGGCTAGGGTTCATTAGCTAGGTTTTGTTCTCATTTTTCATTTCCCTATTCCGAGTTCTCATTCCCTCCTCCTCGTTCCCCGTTTTAATAACGTGCCTGAAGAAACTAATGATTTAGTTGGGTTTTTTTTTTTCTGCGCCCCACCCCAGTTCTCATTTAGCAGAAATGTGAATAACAAGCTGACCAATAATTAACATAACAAGCTAAATTTTTAATCTTCTGCCATCTTCGAAGGATTTTTGCCAAGAATTGAGAAGTTTGCCAGACTACCAAATCAGCAACCTGAGAATTCGACGCAATGCTGTCAACGGAGAGCCAGAAATTCAATGTTTTATGGAGAAACTGAAAGATTATCTGCAGGTAAACATCAGTTTCATTCTCGTAAAAGTCGAAAATGTTAGTCCAGCCTCGCATATAGTCAAGACCGACCGATTGACAAGGACTCTTTTTAGACAGTTTTCCATGTTCTCTTATTCATATTATTGGTGGGGAATTGGAGGGTGTAGTCATGTTAACATCATAAGGAAGATACAGGGGGAAAATTGTGGGTGAGAAAGAAAAAGCAGTGGAAGAGGAGAAAACAATGTAGTCGCTATAAAAATCGAAACAGATCATGAATGAGTAAGCTTAATTAGTAGTCTACTTTAATATACTCTCGTTGTTGTTAAATGGAAGCACTCAGTGTGGCGCAGTGGTGAAAACAATCTTTTCGCACAAATATGGCTTGTACTTAGTACATCTTGATGTTTGTATAAGGGTTGAGTTTATTTTTGTTTTGTGTGTTCCTTCATACGTTATTTCATTGATTTTAACCGTAATTACAATTTACTTTGCAGACAGAAGCCAGTAAGCCAAAATATGCCAATACCACTCCTCCCACAGTGCCTTCTGATGAAGAGGACGCACGTCTACTAATGGCGCGAAACCCGCAGCTTTTTAACATCACACTCGTGGGTAACAAGTACGACAGATATTTTGAAGTGATGCTGGGATACTGGTTAACAAATGCCAATCAATCTCTGACGTCAGATGATTATCACACGTACGGTGCCCTGCTGGGTGGGTCAATGGATCCCACCGACCCCTCCGAAATGCCAAACTATCAAGGTCAGCGTGTAACTTCTTGTACTAGTTATTAAGAGAAAATAAACACCGATTAACAATAAATTACTGTCTTTGATCCAATGACCTTGACCTGCGTAGTTAGGGTTGATCAGGGTTATTCGGAGACAACCAGCATAGGAGCGAAATTAGCATATTATATCCTCGGTTAGTTGCCATAACACCTCATATGCTCTGTTTGTAGTTAAAGCGGGATTAAAGCTAGTCCAAACATTGTCACAATTATTTTAGGTATTACTTTGCTGACGAAATCATACAAATATTGATACTATGTAGAACTGGAACTCTCCCGCAGGTGGCAAGTATGGAAACAGATTATTATTCGCTTCAATTGCTGTAAACACCACCATGGTACTCAGCAAGACAGGACAAACAGAAGGTCTGAAAGTTTATGATCACTGGGAAAAGTTTGTTCGGCAAAGGGTATGTGTGAACTATTGATTTAGCTTATCGGAGTTTACTGGTCGGTAGAAAAAAATTTTCTTACTTAATTTGCAACAAAGTCATGAAGAATGATCCCCGAAACACTGTCAATTGAAACGTAAACAAACTCCAAGTAAGTGACGTCTTTTGTTTACAAAAAGTTCCGTTTTTGATTTTTATCCTCTGATTTGGTAAATACTAATTCAACTATCCCCCTCAGGATCGGTTCATAGCGCGAGATATGTACACCACTATTCACCTCCCCTTCGGTGGATAGTTGTATAATATTCGTACATAGTTGAAATAGAGTCCATTGAGTTATATACAGCACGTAATTTACACATGTATTGTTCACATATATTTCGCGCACTTAAATTTTTTGTACATGATATTCCGACCACTAAACAGATCTATTGTAATCTTAAACTCAATATTCTTCCTGACCGAACATTTTGTATTCTTATATGTTTACCCAGATTGCGAAGATGCCTGCCTCATGTAACAATGCATTTCAAGCCACTCCCAATGGTCATAACGCTTGGCATTGGCTCAAAGTCAAAAAGGTTTGTAGTGTTTTAACTTGAGAACGTTTCTCTACAAAAATCAGTCAACCAATCGTTAAAAGAGGGGTTGCCAGAAAACGCACTTTGCCGAGGGTTTTTAGATTACCTCTTATGGCATTTAAAATGTTTTCTTACTGGGTTGGTTGCACTAGAAATGTGGAGAAGGGAGACCAAGTAAAATGTAGCATTGAAACAGTTTATTTTTTAAAAACAACAAAAAGTTATGATAAAAGAAAGACGTCGTTTTGCTCACAGCACTGATGTCGTCTTCCCTTCATTTTTATTCTCTCACCAGGTCCTCGCGTCCACTGCAGTTCGAGGTATCCTATTGGGACTGGGACTGGCCATCTCGTTGCTGGTATTTATGACGTCAAACTGGATAGTGGGTCTGCTGTGCGGAGCCATTATTTCATGCATCACTGTGGGTGTAGTTGGAGTCATACCACTAGCTGGGTGGAAGCTGGGAGTCCTCGAGTCTCTAAATCTTACGCTGGTAGTCGGACTTGCTGTTGACTACGTAGTTCACCTTGCTGACGGTTATGTGCGATCCCAGAAACAATCGCGCAGGGACAAAGTCCGTGAAACTTTAAGTCACGTGGGTATTTCGGTGCTTTCTGGCGCTAGTACCACCCTGGGAGCCTCTGTATTCATGTTAGCTGCTAAAATCCTCTTCTTCTTTCAGTTCGGCATTTTCATGTTTTGTACTATCGGTCTTTCAATCATTTACGCTTTAATCCTTTTCACTACCATACTGGGGATCTTTGGTCCTGAAGGAAACACAGGATCACTGGAGCCATTCTATGATTGGTGCAAGAGAAAGGTTGGGGAGCCTGTGGAAGAGGAGATTCCTTGCGAAGAAATGACAGGGCCTAGTTGCCGATCTCCCTCCGAGAGTCCAACAATTAAGGCCACGCTTTTATGACAGCTGCTAAATACATGACTGCGTAAAATATTCTTCAGAACAGGAGCAGTGAGTTGATCTTTGAAATCTTGCCTTGCTCTTGTAAAAAAATCCTCATAACATAGATTAGAGTAGTATGATGTCTAGAGTGAGTAAATAACTCCAGTGGGACCCAAGAAACCTGTTGTATGGAACGCAGTGAGTTACATATCAAACAGTTTAGTGAGCTGAAAGTACCATATGATAGGATAAATTTAAAAACTAAGAGTAACCATCTCTTGAAAAAACACACCGAGGCATACAGAGTCACTCCCTTACTTTGAGCTATGTCACTGGTTTCACAACCGTAAAAAGTTTCGCGTTGTTACTAATTTGTGAAGACTTTCTAAATTTGATCAAGTATTACAATGAAAATGAAATTATTACCTAAACAAAACTGAAACCAAACAAACAAGACAGAAAATAAACGCGAGTTTACAAACTCTCAGTTATTTCATGGATACCAAAAGGGAACATTGTAACATTATGCAATCACAGCCACCCCCACCCCCCCCCCCTCCCCTCCCTGTTTTCAATACAAACATCAAGACTTGAATATTCAAACTACCCAAAGATTTTTTTGAAGGAAAAGATTGTTTTTGAAAATTTACTCTGCAGCGAAAAGTGTGTGGAATGGAACAGATGGGGCAATTACCATGAGGATAAAATGATAATAACCATGTTTGTCAATATTTTGGAATAAAGTGTATTAAAGTACAGGCTATTTTGACGCCAAAATCGTTCTAAAAATAAACCGGTCTCTGAAAACGCCATGACATTCGCTTTAGGTTATGGGCTCCTAGAAGCACAAAGAGAACGTAGAAAAGATGCTTACAACTTTGAACCAAGGTGAAGAAATAGTATAGAGTAAACAGTAACTATAATCTGAATATAATGTAGCTTCTACCGTATTCTCAAAGAGTTTTGAAGGTGTTCAGCAATCACCCTTTCTGCTTTGGATCATTTTAAAATTTGTTTACAATATGAAATACAATAAAGCTACTCGTTTCTCAAGAAAACTAGTCGAGGTTCATCTTTACTTATAACCTTTATTTTCGCCCAACAAGTCTCCTTAGTCTGTTCACATTTTGACATATAAATAAAAACGATGGATGTTAGAGTGCATCAAAACAATTCGTTAAAACGTTCTTCGATGTATTTCATCTCAAAATAAATACGTGTAGTTTCTAACCAGTTTCGTCAAGAAAATGATACAGAAATCAGAGACTTAAGGTTTGAAAGAGAGAACTGGTAAGTCATAAAACTAGAAATAGCATGCAAGGGTATGAACTAAGACTCAGAAGTCCGGGTGCAGGAAAGGGATCGCTTGTTTGTAGATTGAATGAAGCAACATCAGGGCACAAGGCTACGCTGACAACGGTCTATAAGAGTCAAAACGAAAACGCCCTGCGCCAATAAGGAACAAACTGTGTCTTAACGAAGGTTTACTGAAGACCGAACGAGAACCGCATGGAATTACAAAGACGAGCCACGGGCGCATGCGCGCGCTAGATACCGCTGAAAGTAACGCAATAACAACGTAGTGGCGTGATTGCCTCCTCCTTCTTTCCTACCCTAACTAAGAAATAAAACATGAACAATAGGCTGAACTGATACGAGCACTAGACTAAAACCGCATAGGATAACAACGGCTAAAAGTAATGAAAGAGCTAGAATAAATATGAAACTGAATGTAACGGTGGGGTGTATTCCCCTTATGATAAGGTACGAGTGAGCTAATAAAATACGCAGTTCATGGTAAAGACCGTAGTTACGGCTAGAGAGTACACGGCAGAGTTATTAGTCAAAGTCCCAGTCCTTATTGTGCCAAAATGGGGCTTTCCGCGAGCGGTCAGATTTCCTAGTGGGGATAACAGCAGCAGGCGTCGGCTGTGCATCATCAGTAAAAAGAGGGGTCCAGGGGAGCTTGTGGAGGACTCCGAGAAGGCATAATGACTTCAGGAATTGGGGGGTGTTCCTGGGCGGGTAGCTGAGAATGAGCTGGAGACACTGAGTGGTGTACCGGAACAGTATAGGTATCCACTGGTGGAGAAGCAAGCACTGTAGGGGGTCTTAGTGAAGGGACGACGGGAACAGGATCATCGTCAGAGTCAGAAGCAGTGGATTCGGTCTGGCCACGGATGGGTCCTTGTGGAGTCTGAGCTAGGACAGTTGGGGTGACAGGGTAGCAGTCACACATAGGAATGGTGTAGACCTTACTGCGGAACTGTGAACTGGTAAACTTGCGGAGCTGACAGAAAAGGTCTTTATCGATGCCGATCACAAGATACTTGTCGCGGGCTTTCAGTTTGTCTTTGTCACCTTTGATGAAAACAAGGTCACCAACAAGGACAGTGGGGATGGAGGCTTTGGTAAAGCCATGGGCCTTGGACTTAGCACTCGGCATGTGATTCTGCTGGCGGGAAAAGTTTTGACTGAGGATAATCTGGCGGTCGACAATTGGAAGCTGCGCACCAGTGAGCTGGTCGCGTTGCGTCCACAACTCAAGAGCTGAGAGGCCATCACGGCGGATGCGGGAGTTCATATTGGCCGTTGCTAAGGACAGCGTAGTTTGAGAGACGGGGCCTCCCTCAGGAGACAAGTTGAGGATCTCCAAGCCTAGCTCTTCGATTGTGCGCTCAGCCACAGGATTCTTGTTAGGGTTTTTGCGCCTACCAACCTCCAGGGTGATCCCATAAGAGAGGAGTACTCTGTCTTTGGCAAGGGCGGAGAAGCCAGGGGCAGGATCAACGCGGACGATCACCCCTCCGTCGCGAAGGGAACGGAGCTGAGAGCAGAGCATGATGATGGCATTGCGGAGGTCTTCGAGTTTTTCACTCGCGATGAAGGAAGACACGGTGTACGAAGACACTGTTTCCCTTAGAACCATGATCAGTTGACGATGACGCTTAGCGACATCAGCTGCAAATGATACGCCAATGGTAGGAGGAGCATCGGCAGATGACTGCGGGTGCAGGTGTTTAGGGATAGTCTTCAGAGATTGACAGGTGTGACAGCAGGAAGAGACAGTCTCAATTGCTTTGTCAAGGTCCAGAGCAAAGAAGTACCTGCTAAAAAGGCGCTTGGTTTGGTACTTGGAAGGATGACTGAAACGGATGTGAAGGGCTGTCAGGAGTCCATCAAGAACAGTGCGAGGGACAACAATGCGATCGCGAGGGGGCTGGAAAGGCGGGTGGTCTTTGACAACGAGAAGACCATCAGTGGCGATGACGACGTCCTGAAGATAGCGTTTGACATCAATTATTTTGGTAGCCTTCTTTGAAGGTCGGGTACCTTGACTGAGGTGAGAATGGGTTCGCCGGAGGTGAGGGCATTCCAGCTGGGTAGCTTGCCATGCGGCGCGGCTGGTGAAGGGCATTCGAACAGAACCCTCTAGGACTTCGCTCACGGAGATGCTGCGCACAACAGAATCTTCCAACTCCGCAATAAAGCGACAAATCTGACAGCTGGAGTCCAAGCATTCTCTTGGGTGCCTGCTGGCGAAGTCTGAGGGGAGGTTTTCAACACCTGCAATGTGGCGCACATGGACAGAATAGCGGCTGACTGTAGACAGGAAGGTGGTAACTCTGGAGCTGGCTGAGAACTCTCCTCTCCTAAGCTTATTGTAGGCTTGGACACAAGGCCTACTGTCCGTCAGAACTTCGGTTGTATGGGATGACTGGATAATGTAAGGGGCGAAGTGCTTGATGGAGGAGGCCATGGCCAGAGCTTCGATCTCACACGGTAGCCAGGTCACTTGATGCTTTCGCAGTTTCGCGCTGAAAAAACCAGCCAACAGCAGTTTACCGTTCCGGTGGGTGTAGAGTGTGGCTGCGATGCCTCTATTCTTCACAGAACCATCTGTCACGATCCACAAAGCGTCGCGGGGTTGGGGGATTGTGATGGTCTTGTGGTTTTCCAAGGCATGTTGGGCGGACTTGAAAGACAGGAGTAACTCATCGGACCACACTAGTCTTTCTCGAGATTCCTTTCCAGCGGTGGCCTGATCCAAGGGGTCCAGCAATTCAGCGAACTTAGGGAGTACTCGGCTGAGCACCTTGTATGCACCAACGAAAGATCGTAGGCCTTGAACAGTAGTAGGAGGGTCAACAGAGGATAATGCGGCTAACTTGTGGGGGGCTAGCCTGTAGGGTGCCATTAGACCATACCCAACCCAACACGGTGGCCTTTCTGGGACAGATGAGTGTTTTGGGCGCGGAGAGACGAAGATTGTTGCGTTGAAGCAAGGAAAGAACGCGCCGCCAATTATGAAGGACATCTGTAGGGTTGCTCCCACCAACGTACAGGTCATCAGCAATTTTGGCAACACAACCCTCTTGAATTAGGTCACCCAGAACTCGAGACATTAGCTCCTCGAGGCATGTTTCCGACCCAGGCATGCCCATAGCAGAGCGGGTATAAACACGGATGTCTTTAAAGGGTGTGGCTACCCCACAGTACTTCATGGAAGAGTGAGCCAGTGGAATTTGATAGAACGACTTTAACAAGTCCGAGATAACTATATACTCCCACTTCCCAATTTCACGCAGTACACCATCGACGTTAGGCATTAGAGAAGGCTGGGGCTTGCTATACTGGGCAACTTCGCCGAAGGATGTCACAAGTCTGCTACCCCCGTTGGGTTTCTTAACAAGGAAGGAGGTATTCAAGTACTCAACGTGTACGTTCACCTGTTCAGGTCTGGCAAACACACCAGCCACTTCGAGCTCGTCAAATTTGGCTTGCAATTCCTCAAGGGTGCTTCTGTTGTACTGTGGGAGTCTGCCTTTACGCTGAGGGGGGAGTGTGGGACCAATGTTGACAACAGCTTCAATGGTACCGCTAGCGCCGTTATATTTCGAGATAGTGGGGTTGAAAACATCATCAAACTCCAGATTCAGTGCTCTGAACTTGTCACGAATGTCCTCGTCTAAGCAGCCATCGGGGTCAAGGATCACATTAGTGGAGAAGGGCTGGCAGCAGGTAGGGGCAGTAGTGGCTGTAGAGGTAGGGGCAGATGTGGTGTCTATCCTGTCAACAGGTATAACATGCCTTACATGACACAGCTGCTCGCCGGTCCGAAGAAGTATAGGAGAGTCAGTCGTATTGGTTATGCGTACAGCGTGGTCCACAGAGAGGACTTGTTGAGGTGGGGGCCATGCTCCTTCTGCCTTGAGGGGGGTGTTGGATGGACAGTCTAGTCGGGGTTCAAGGGCCCATAACGTATCTGGGTCAGAATCACAAGGGGTGTCAAGCTGAACGTACTCTCCTGGCAGTATAACTGTTCGTTGCGGGTTGCGTAGGAGAAAGGACATGGGTGCGTCGCACAGCTGGTTGAGTAGTGTGTTTGGAAGCAGTACCATAGTGGATTACGTCAGACCCGCCGATTACAATTTGGCGCCTGGCAGGACGGATGCCGATGTCGTTTCGGGCCAGGAAGGGGTTTCCCGCTAAAATGTCAACATCGAGTTGGCGAACAACTAGGGCGTCTAGATTAAATGCTTGCTGTCCACGAGTGAGAGTGCAATGCACTTCACCCACCACATCCATAGGGGTAACTCCATCGGCTTGGCGGGCCATCTGAGAAGCTGGGGTAACAGGTAGGCCATATAACTTAGCGGCCGAGGCACGAACCATGTTAGACGTGGCGCCAGTATCAAGGGTGAGCTGCACGGGGTGCTCGTGGTAAAAGGTGTTGAGAACAGGTGATTGAATGATGCTGACACGGAGTGCAGTAGGTGCAGTAGGTACATCACTGTGCTCAGGCGGGAGGGCATGATCGCAACACTCATCATAAGGGCCACAGTCGCCGGTCGCAAACTCATCAGGATCGTCGTTTATAAGACGTGAGCGGGCCAATGGTCTCCTGTCACGATCAGGCAGGTAACTGCACTCCATTAGATCATGGGTGTTGTGAGGGCGTCCAGCGGTTTTGCAGAG